AAAAAAAAAAAAAAAAAGACATACCTCTCCTTCAGAGCAACCACAGGGTGCACAAACTTGAAGTTCGGACTGGTGCTATCGCCCTCATCCAGACCAGGAACAGGAAGCTGCACGGAGCTTTTGGTGCCCTTGAATGCAAAGTTCTTGGGTGGTTCATAGATGAATTTGCGGAGATCCGAATATCTTGCTCCGTGAACAATCATCTTCATCTTATAACCCTTCTGGGCTTGTGACATTGTTAGCCAATCCTTGAGTTCACCAGGATTGCCTACTGTTGCCGAAAGGGCAATAATAGGACAGGGCGCAAGTAGCAGCAGCTGTTCCCATATAACACCATCGTCCGATTGTCCTATGCAATGAACTTCATCAAAGATTATCCTCTTCACTCGTCGAGACCATGCATTAGTACCAAGAGCATTTGTAGGAGCCAGTAACATGATTTGCAACATGTGAGGCACAGTGACCAGAATCTGGCACTGGGCAGGGTTATTGATGCGGTAGTCTCGTGTATGAACTGCCCATATCGATTTGCCGTTTTGCTTTCGGTATGACTTGGAAAATCGTGCTTGTATCTCTGCAGCAACTTGATTTACCAAGGCTTTCGTCGGCGCCACGTAGACCAAAACGCCGTCATCACTCTCTTCGAGTATCTTCTTCATTGCGTAGAAAGAGATGAATGTTTTTCCTGCAGATGTGGGTGCTACCACCAAAACGCTTTCGTTAGCATCGATTGAATCTAGAACATCCCGCTGCCACGCATCTGGTTCAAATTGAACTCGAGCATCAGGCCGAGAATCGAACTGCCTGTCCATGTACGGTCCGCCATGCTCTAGTTGCAGAAGTCGAACGTTATTCACAAGCTTGGGAGCATCTTTCAAGAGTACTGGTTTTATGGAGAAAGGGAGTGTTCGCGAAGTCGCGAGAGTGTTGATGGGTAGTGGAGTAGTCGCCAGTACTTTGAGAATCTCCTGAACAGCGTCGGCAATGTTAGGTGTGCAGTAAGCTGACTTGTGTATTTCCACAAGCCAGCTCCAGATCATTGAAACCAGATATAATCCTGACAATGTTAGCTAGAATAGACATTATGAAGTGACCTGCACTAACCTTCAGGTGAGTCTCCGCGAGCTTGCTTCCGTGCCTCGGACCATGTTCTCATCAAAATGTGACACAGGTATAGCTGGACCTCTGGCTTCACTGCTTCGTGACTGCCACTAGATGTTGTAGATTGGAAGTCCAGTGTCTTGAGGTAGCGATCGGTTAGGCTGTTGATGTTCTCAAGCTCGGTGCATTTATCGCGCCAGTGGTTCAAAGTATCAGTCAACTTTTTCTGTGCCTCTTGATCGATGAGTCGTTGGGCTTCTAACCGGGCGCTCTGCTTGCCCCCCTTCCCTGGTTTTCGCTTGTTTTGCTTGGGTTGGGCAGTCTTGTCGGGCTTGCCAAGTTTCTGTTTATCTTGGGAACCGACAACGATGACTTCGCGGTTGAAAGTTTTGCCAGTCGAACCAGTAAGACTTGCCGCGTAGTCGGTAACTTCGGCCATCCGCCACTGCATTCTCTTCTGTCGACGCATTGCCTCCCAAGGTGAAATTTGTTCACGGCCCCTGGTTTGGTTGATGGGTTTGTAGGCGTGCCAGTGCCTGAGATCTTCAAAAACGAGCTCTGCAGCTGGATCTTGGGTCTCTTCAGTCTCTCCAATCTCGACATCTTTCAAGAAGCTGTCTAGCACCGGGTGTTCGAAGGGTAATGCAACCAAATTTCTTGGTGCCTTTTGTGGCAAGGGTAGACCCTCAGGCGATTTCAGAGTAGTAAAAGGGGTTTCCCCTTCCAGGTCCCATCCTTGAACGGTTTCATTATAGAGGACACGGGCGTGCTCAAGAATCTCAGAAGGGATCTCTCCAGTGTTTCTGATGGATTGGAGGAGATAGTGAAACACTCGTCCATCGACAATATCACAAAGATCCCACCCTTCGAGTCCATCTAGTTCAAGTGACTTCTCCAACAAACTCTGAGTTGCTGAGCAAAACAGATGAAGGAATTCTTGGTCTTGACAGCCCGCAAGTTTGTCCTGCTCCAGAGACTCCGCGCAAGTCCTCTCCTGGAGGGAGCAACTTTGGATGGTTGCGATCTGGAGCAGGAAAGCTCCCACACGCTGCAAGTCAGCTTTAGTGGCTGCATTTGCAGGAGGATGTTCGATGTAGGCACGGCAAAATGAGATAGCGTGTTTCTCTCTCGCTGAGAGGTTCAAACTGCTGGCTGGATGCTTGTCTGCATTTAGAGGCATAGCTTCTGAGAGCGAAGAAGGATCCTTCGCCTCCAATTCAGGCAAGCTGATAGACAGTCCAAGTGGTGCACCTTTCGTGCCACTCAACAATGACATAAATACCTACAAGGTCAACAACACTGTCGTCACATAATTGTCAAGGGACAAACCTTCGAGCTTCGCCAAGTAACAGAGTTAATGATTGCGATGTGTATTCCACTGGTCATGACCCTCCCAATCAAATGCTGCAGGTGAATAGTCTGGTCAGCACTGCTGGCTCTGCCGTCGTCGCATAGCACAAAGTGCACCGCGTTGCTGGACAAGTAATTTCGGCATTCATCACTTTCGAAAGATTTGAACTCAAGGACCTGGAAATCAAGGTTCGACTTCGTGAAATGTTCAATAAGGATTCGTCGAGCCAACCGGTGCTTGGCACCTCTGGTCGAACAAACTGCCCCCTTTGCAACACAGAGATTTTCGCGGTCTTTGAAGAACAGCACGTCGAAGTTACAGTCCCTTCGCTTCAGTTCGCTGAGAAATTTCTCCACCGAGTGCACAGCATGCAGGAGTTGAAACCCTTCTGTACATAGAGGATCAGACACGGGGTTACGTTGAGAGATAGCCAGGCAAGAGACTTACCATCAAAATCAACTCTGGCCTCTGCCAAGCAGTAACGAATCAACGACTCGCCATGAATTGCAAACAACTCGCGGCCAGCGAAGTCTCCCACGATGTCCACTGTGAGTGGTCTCAGCTTATGATACCATTCGCGAAGTTCCTTAGAACCCATGGTAGAGAATTAATTCGCCGCAGTTGTTGTGAAAGAATAGGTAGTCTAATATGCAGAAATAAATCTTGATGAGTGGGAAATTCAAAGATCAGGCAGAGTTAAGAGAGGGGAGGAGTAGAGCTGCTTTTATTAAGGAAGGCGCATTTGCTTGCCAGTGTTTGCCAGTGTTTGCCAGTGTTTGCCAGTGTTTGCCAGTGCTTACCGGCTGCCACTTCACCAAAGTGCCACAGGCAGCAACCCGTTCGAAAACCTGCATGCTATCTTAGTACTCAGGTAGGACGAACTGGCCGGCCACATCTACAACAGAAAATACAAGTAAAGCGCCTGCTCAAAGCCGAGGCAAGTAACAAACATGTCTTACAAAGAAATCAAGGACACACTCACAGTTATGAGCTGTTGGTTCCGATCTGGGACAATGGATAGCTGAGAGGGATCATCTGGAGAGATATCTTCGTTGTCCACAAATACTTACAGGTTCTGCATAGGGATTCAGTAATCACTGTGTAGAATAACCATATAAGAGACAGAGAATGTAAACAGGACGTCAAATAGCTAAGTAGGCAATCCACCACTATGGCAGCAGCACGGGTATCCGCCTCTGTCTTCCATCCCTCCGACTTTTAGGTGTGTACAAGCTTTATACAAAGTCCATGTTTCAATCAATACTCCCATTTTAGTCCGCCTTAACGCCACGCGCAATGCAAATTGAGCTCAAGTACCTCGGGATACATAACCACGTTCATCGTGCCAGTCTATTAGATGGTCCCAAGCATTATGCTCTCCAGCATACCCTCCATTTGACATGCGTTTTGGGCTCTCTCCGTCTCGGCCTTAACACGACGGTGTAGCCTCCTGAATCCATCATGCAATTCTCCTGAGCCACTGACAAACTCCGAGTAGAGATCGAAAAGGTGAAGACCAACCTCGACACAGACGCTCAAATAACGGGGGTCGCAAATATGGCGACAGACCCATCTCAGAATGGGCTGAACTGTATGCTCATCCCGGGACTCCAGAGCATCTCGAAGGGCGCTTCGGTGGCGGAGAGCCAGGAGAAGATTGAGAACGTTGAGTGGAGAATGGTCGGGGCTTTGGTCATCGAGGACCAGGTCTAGAGCACGCGCATAACGAGCATGTCGTAGATCACTCTGCCAGGGGCGCTCCTTTTTCTTGGCCGCCCGAGGCTCGTTTGCGATAACAACGTCAGCCCCTTCACCAGCCATATCCAGGTTCTTAGCGGAAGTGACCCGACGCTTGCGCTTCTTTCGCTTCGCATCGTGGGCTTCTATTGTGCCAGATACAAGTGCGGCCATTTCCTTTTCGCGCTCGGCTTCTTTCTTCGCCTCGGTGCCATTAAGACGGGTTCGTACACTGAGGACACCAGACTGCATACCAACAGCAAGATGGCGGTCGCTTGCATCGGCATCATCACTAGATGGGATGACCTTGACGGATAGAACAGGAGATTGGTACTTGGTGCTTGAGACGACATTCCACCCCGTCGTCTCAAAGACCTTAACGTGACCCTCGAGACCACCACTGACCAATCGTCGACCATTGGATGCCAGGCTCAGAGATGTAACAGTCTTTTGGTGGTTGGTGATCATGTGTAGGGGGCGCGCAGCGACCAGGTCAAGAACGCTGATCGATTCACCGGCAGCGGCAAGGACGGTGGTTCCGGTTGGCATCGAGAGGACATCCTCAATAGGCGCCGCATGCTTGAAAGTCATGACAGCACTGTTGCTTCCTGTTCGTGGATCCCAAAGCTTGACGGTCGAATCGTAACTTCCAGAGACGACCATGTTAGACATTGTACCTGGCATGAAGTTGGCGCATCGAACGTAATCGGAGTGGCCAACAAAGGTAGTAGTGGGATCATTGCTAGGGAGATCCCAAAGTCGCACGGTCTTGTCGTCACTTGTACTCAAAAGAGTAGTCAACTCAGTTGGCGAGAATTTGGTGGTCCATACAGGCTGCTTGTGGTGCATCCATGTCTTGAGGATGGCTCTGGAGCTAACATCAAAGACCTGGATCTTTCCGGTGTCGTCGCCTGCCGTCAAAACCCTTCCATCTCTTCTGATTTCACCACTGCGCGCAACATCTCCGAAGCGCGTGACCGTCTTGATAAGCTTGCGCGTCCGGTTCGAGAAGATCTGCACGCGTGTGCCTGTTGTGACCGCAAAGGAATCGTTGTTGGACGAGATGTGAACGACGGGAAAGTTCGTAGGCGACGGAATCAGGATCTGGTTCTTGAAGTTCTGCCAGTATCGCTGCTCTGCAGTATAGGGCGTAGGGCCAGAAGGCAGCTTAAGCTGTGGTAGGGGTCCCACCTGAGCTGCCATTGTGTCGTTTCGCGATGACGGACTGTTGTGATGGTGCTAGGAGTTGAGCTGCTGTCTGTGTCTGCTTGCTTCAAAGTCGCCGTGATTTTTTTTCTGCGATAAGGATAAGATATGAAATTTAGATGGCTGAGAAAATACAGTGGGGTGCGTGCATATAGATACTAGCCAATTTAGGTTAGTGCATATTCTGCCTCCAAACCCAAACCATTACCATAGTAAGTCGATAACACAGCTATGAGGAAAGAATATATTCATGAGATAATAGCTCAAATTTTTGATTAGACACAAACAATGGTACAGCGTCAATATAAGCAATTCTAGTTGATGACGGCTCAAATCCTTTTTCTTAGAGATATCATAACAGCACCATACACCAGTTGCAACTTATATCGCACTGCCCGGAGACTCCAACGTTGATGTTAATAATGTCGATTGCATTTTTTTAAAAGTCAAGTTGGTGCAATGATAAGTGAAGTGCGTTGAATACTACCACAGCTGGGTAGTTATGGTATATATGAATCAAATTCTAATTTTGTCCGTCTCCACCACCTGGACATCTAAAAGAAAACTCCAACGTTGCCTGCCTGAACTATCCTCCCGTCTTGCTTAACTCAAACGCCAAAATCATTACCAGTGACTACGATTATAATAGTGTACATCTCTTCTAGGTCTCGTTACTTCCGTTGAGCTAATAGCCTCCCCTTCTTCTGGACCTGCCTGTCCCAATATCAATACGCTGCATCTCTTGCATTAGTGCCAGCTCCTGGCCGGTGCCATTTGCACCGCTCATCACCGGCATAGGGATCTTGGCCGGAATTGGTGGGCCTCCATAAACCCCACGATTCTCGTCTTCAAAATCCCATGTGCCCGCACGAGGCAATCCTCGAAGCGAAGCGTTGCCATATGGTGCCCTCTCCTGGTAATTATCCTTAGAAATTGGAGCCAGTGGGCTTGAGGCTGCTGGAGAGTTGTCCGCTGATACTCGGTTTGTTCGTTTTTGGAGGCGAGTGCGACCAGCTTGGGGAGGCGTGCGAGGCTCTTCACCGAAGGAATAAGACGTGTTCACGGCAGACATCGAATGACGTCCGCTACGTGGGGCTCGTCGGTTGCTGGGAGGCATTGGCTTGACCCCTGAAAGTTGAGGTCTTGAACGAGTTTCGGTGCCAGGCTCTGGCTTCTTCTTCTCTGGTTCAGGTGCCCATGTCTCCATCGGAAGATGGTCAGATGGGTCGATCTCGCGCCCGTCATATGTGATGATCTTCTTTGGCTCCTCGTCCATAAAGTCAGGTGAGGGGCTTGTTCCGTTTTTGGACGAAACAAGACTGGGGTTGAGAGCATCATATGAATCAGGTCCAAATGGAATATCCGATTTCCTCCTTTGGTCTTCGATAGGAGGTGCGGGACTCACTGACTTGCGCTTGATTCTGTGATGAGGGTTCGGACTAGTACGCGGGTCAGGAGACACGCCGCGATGCCTTACGACTTGTTGTTCAGGTGGGTTGTAAGTAATAGCCCGTCGGTTATAAGGTTGAACCGCGTACGCATGCTCAGGTGGTGGCTGGCCATAGCCTTGATCAGGTGGTGGCTGATTGTATCCTTGGAAGGATTCGTTCCTAGGGCGTCCTCGAGTAGATGTAGGCATGCTGGGCATGCTCTGCGAATGCTGTCTTCGGTCTTGCCGGCGATCTTCGTAGATAAGGTTTGTCAATTCCTGAGATTGGCTTGCATCCAGTCCTGGTACAAGGGCCGCTGGCAAAGCCGGGGGCGCTTGGTTGTGTGGGGATTGCATGTGGGTGAGACTCATATCAGCTGGGTGGCCTGTATAATTGCCTTGACCATTGTGATGGTAATATGCGTTATCTGTAGGACTTCTAGAATAGCTCCGTCCATGAGATGGTGACAAAGCCACTTGCCAGTCCTCGGGATTCTGGTAGCCCCGGGGAGACTGCGATGGCGAGTAGTCTTCTCTGTATTGAGCAGGGACAGGAGATCGCCGAAGGACCAGAGGCGCAGGGCTTGGGTTGTCATCAAAACAGAGTTCGTCAGAACGCTGGAACTGTGAGCCATTCTGTGGGTTCTTTTGTGCTGGTGCGCCAGACATCTCAGGCACATCCTCAACGGTGGGCTGCATAGATCGATAATGAGGATCATAACTCGCGTCATATGAGCTGTGTCTCGGCATGCCATCATAAGCATTCGAGTTGGGAGAAGAGGCTTGATTAGTAGCGGGGGCTGAATCATAATTCCGGAACGCTGGTCGACCTGGGTAGGGCACCATCGACTGTCTCTGAGCCTCATGTCTCAAAACGTCATGTCTCATCTGTGGGAGCTTGTTTGGCGACGTCTCCATGCTTCTCCTCGGCACAAGTTCTTGACCAGAACTGTTACCTCTGCTACGGTGTGCAGGTGGAGGTGGGGGGTGCTCACTCTCTACAGGTGAGTACTGTCTGGGATCATCTAACAATGCTTGTGGTCGCTCATAAAAGTCTTGCTGAGGGGAGTAATGACCACGAGGGTCCATCTGTTCGTGTTGAGGGGCATATCTGGGGCTGTACTCGCGATCGTCGTATTGTCGAGGCTCATCATAAGCGATCATTGACCTTCGAGATGGGCGAGGCGCCTCTCCGCGGGTCGGAGTTGTATAATCCTGGGGCACATGCCCATGTGGGGACGTAGAATATTGATCCGTCTGACGGCGGGATGAGTGCGAAGGTGGTGTATTGTACTCGACAACTTGCAAAGGAGACTGAGTTGGTACAAAGTTGCCTGAGTGTGAAATCTGCTTAGCATGTGCTCGTGGAGGCGTGCGATGATCAGGACCAGCAGGCGGTTCAGAAGGTGCCGCTGCTGGGACTGGTGCAGGAGCTGGCGCAGGAGCCGGTGCTGTTGTCGGAGCTGAAGCTGGTGGTGACACAGCTGGAGCTTCGCCCGTGACAGGGTCCGATGGCAAAGGCCGTCTTTTTACGGGTGTTCTCTGCTTGACAGATCCCTGCTCTGGTTCAGCTGGAGCAATCTGCTTTGGCTTCGCTGCCGGCTTGTCGGGCTTTGGTCGAGTGTCGTAGAATGTGATTTCAACTCTGATTTCACCGGCGTATTTGCCTTTGCAGGTCAACGTTTGCCAAAAGTCGTTTTGTCCACCACCAGGAACAATGATTGCTCGCAAGTCGATCCATGACTCTCCGATCAGGTCTGTTCGCTTATCGTCTGTAAAGATGGAGAGCTTGAGTTGGTAGTAATCTGGGCAATCATGAACTGTAAACCGTAGCTCTTGATCCCTAATTTTTGAGTTAGTGTGAATGATCCTCGATAGAACTCGACATTTAAAATCTTACCATTTTGGTGTTTGTCCGCCACGGACGTCAGTCGTTGTCTTCCTGGCTTCCTTTCCCAATCTGGCCGCACAGTAGGGATCTTGCTTTCCGATTGTCTTGCGGTTTGGCAGGTTTTTGGCTCGGTCGACGATAGCGACCAGGGTTCCGATTTCTGGACCGTCTACCGCAATATCGGCAAAGATGCCTGCAGTGTGCGCCGCACTCATGAGGTTCTTGACCTTGGCTGCCATTGCAGCTATGCGCACAAGAGCGGGAGTGGCAGTGGAGTGAAGAAGGTCGAATTGGATGAAGGGATCTCGATAATCAGCGCGGTCGGTTTGTTTACATAGACAATGGTTGCTGTTGACTAGAAATAGCTCGGTTTTGGTAGTTCCAAAGTTGGACTGGTATCAGGAACGATAGATTGACTAGCGCAAAAGCAAGACGACGCCTGAGAGAAAAAAGTCGAAGCCAGAACAATGAAAATAGCCGAAAAGAGATAGACCAGAAAACGAATAGTCGAGAAGGTAAAGTTTGAAACGAACCAGGTGGGCGTTGATTGACAGTACCGGACTAGGAGGAATTTGGGTATCGAATGGAATTAAGCTTTGGTAGAGCCAGCGTTCCGGATTGCTTGTGTTGAAGAACGGGAAACAATCGATCGAATTGGGGCGCGAAAGAGAAGAGAATATAGAGAGAGAACAGGCTGAGTGAGTTGGATAGAGCGATGACGGAATGACTGGCGCTGCTTGCAAACCTAGGCGAAGCGAAGCGGATGCGATGGACAAGATAGTGATATAGAGCTGAGGAGCTATCGAGTTAGTAGACCAGCCGCGAAGGATTAAACTCTTTGAAGATTGAATAAAAGAGGGTAGAGTTTCTCAGATGGAAGAGAGCATTCGTTCACTCTCTGTTAGAAATGAAGACCATGGAGCAGGATATCGAAGCGTTGTATACGGCTGGCTTGCGTGTGGTTGGGGGCCGAAAGCGGTAATCGAGCGGGTCACAGTGGAACAGTAGCAGTGGAGCCTCTGACGGGAGGCTGGGCTTTGGGCTGGAAACAAGGAGGCTGGTGCACCTACTGCAGGGGCTGAAGCAGCCCCTAGAGCCGCCTATTCGCCAAAGAGTTCTGGGGGATTTGCAGGGAATCTATGCCCAGATTTAACAGGGAAGCTCTAAAGTTTGTGCGTCCAGGGGATTGGAACCTTGGCAGCATTGAATGGGCAGTTGAAAAGTCGCGTCACGAATAGACAGATTAGATTCAATACCTAGGTAGGTATGGACATGAGAACTAATGGAAGGTCTTGTTTCTTCCGACCTCCCGCTCTCATCCGAATCGAATCGAATCAGGGGATCATTTCAGGGACTGAGTCGTTGGAATCCACCTCAACCTGGTCCGGCATTTCAGGGACGAAGACAGACAGACAGACCCCCATCAATGGTTTCATCCGGATCATCGCTTTAATGCTGTGAGGCATGATGAGAAGGCGACTATTCCAGCTGAAGAGGTACCAAGGTACCTATTGTATAAGCTATCCCACCAGTCAGGGCTCTTCTTTACCCGCACTGCCCTACACCACACCATGTTCAGGAATAGAAGACATACAGTAGTTTCTAATGTACGCGCGTGTTTGGCGAAGTCATGCTCACAGCCACACAGATATTGCGTATACTGTACTGTATGTTTGAAAGCACCTCGGACTCGCTCGCTATTGCCAAGCTCCTGGCTGACGTTGACAGTTCCACTTGCCATTCATCATTCTCATTTAACTCGAAATTCTATGTCTGTATTCTGTCTTGAATCGTATCAGCTCATTCATTCACTGTTCACGAGATCAGTTGTGGTCAGTGCTGTCCATACCATGTCCAAAGTCTCTTTACCGCCTTGGATGGCTGGAATTATGTTCAAGTTGGGCTAATGGCGGGAAGCGGACAAACACCAGACCAGCTTTCAAGCCTAACTATGGGCATCTATTGATCGTGCACCCAGGCAGGGCCCATCTCGACTGTGGGACTACCTCCAACAAAGGTAAATCAAATCGCTGAGGTGCGCCGCAAACCCAAAAGCAGAGCCAGGATAACGGGCCCTGGACGTTGAAAAGACCCCTGCTTTTGCATGTCACCTGAACTGTCGGTAGGTCTTTGAAATAAACGGCCCTGAACCTTTCCGAGTCTAATTGTGAGATGCCATGTCCTTTGACAAGATCCCCGATTCCATGATCCACTGATTGGATCGTTCTCGCCAGAAACAATCTCACCAGAACATTCATCGTCATCATTATCGTGATACTGAATCCGGTTTGATGACACAGCATCCAATGTTTTCGGCGGTTAAGGGCACTTGGTTGCCATGGGAGACGACAGAATTATTAGTGTCAAGCCCCTCATTGTAGACTTTAGAGCATGAATTCTCAAGCTATTGACTACTCCTCTCGGCTGACGTTGAATCCATTACCCACCAGTTTCACAAGACGGCCGTCCGTTACCGCATATGCTAACAGAATCCCAGGTTTCACCACCAAAAATCCGTTTCTGATATAAGTGGGTAGAGAGGTGAGGCGAGGGAGAGAATCCTAAGATCAAAGTCAACAAGGGGCGTGCGATATTGTTCGATGTCAACAAGATCCAATATTTTCCCACATCTAGAATGCATCGAGACCATGACGGCATACCTAGTCACGATGGATGTCAACACAGACTGTTTAATTTCACACGCATTGAGAAAATATGCAAAAACAGAAGTTTGCTCAAAGGAATGCCGGCGATTGTTGTTGGTCATATTGTGTCATTGCATATGTTTTGCAACTAACTTAGTTACCAATCACAACTCGTAGCGAGCAGAGCCGCAAGCTGCTCAAGATGCTTCTTATCGACCTCATCAAACCCGTTGAGCTCAGCACAGTCGATATCAATGATAGCCACTAGCTTCTTAGAACCGTCGTCCTGAGCAACGAGGATAGGCACAACTATCTCGCTCTTGCTGTCTCCATCACAAGCAATGTGTCCAGGGAATTCCTCCACATCTCGGACCAGCTGTGTCTCTTGAGTTGCGGCCGCTGTACCACAAACTCCCTTTCCGAACCTGATGGTCTGACAAGCGACCTTACCCTGGAATGGGCCGAGGATGAGTTGGGGGTCTTTGGAGGACTTGTCGAGGACGTAAAATCCTGTAGTTGAAGGCATGTCATTATTGGATACCATTAGAGCCCAGAAGGGTTATGACCTACCGGCCCAGTTCACGTCTTTGCTGGGTGAGGCCAAAGATTTGTATGCATGCCACAGCAAAGAAGCGGCGTTGGAAAGATTGCTACATAATTGTCAGCCATGTAGATGAGAAGAAGCCCTGATTTACTCACCAAACCTATGAGTAGTAATAAGTTAGAAGGTGAGTCAAGCACATCCAATACTCAAGGCAATATGACGAACCCAGTTGCGCTGGTCAGTAACTAGACCTTCAGCTTGCCAGAGGACTTGCTCGTAGGCATCGTCTTTGGTGACGCCCTCGGCAAAGTTTGACGCATCAGCATGAACCTATACAATGAGTCAAGTCAGTCAGTCAGTTAAATCTCTGAGTTTAGGAATGCAGCATGTGTATAACAGAAGCAGACTGAGCCATACCATCTTGATTCTATCGGTAGTCTATAAATCTTTTGGGGGACAACCAAAGTAGCAGTGACAAAGTTAGCGATATGCTTTAATCTGTTCTAGAAGAAATTTCGAAGTCGGTAACAAGAAACCTGGTGGAGTTGACGGGACTTGATCGTCGGTATGAATTTGTTACTCCCCGCAAAAATGTGCGCCTGTTATGTCATTTTAGCGGCAGTGAGAACTTACAATGACTGGCTATACAAAGAAACACAATACTTAACCATATCTTGACTGCAGTCTCTCACTTCTACGCCAATGTATTTCATAGGACTTTGTCTACATACTCACAGCCAGGTATCGTCTTCCTATTCTGTAAGTATTCGAACACGAGCTGCATATCAGCAATGGCCCACCCTACCTAGGGTTTGATGTCGCAGATAACTGAGATGAGATCCATTGGAAAGTCGATTGACGACCCCCATAGAGTTGACCGCTACTGTAACTACGGATACTAAGTTAACCTAACTAACACGTAGATCTCGGCTGATGAACGTCTCCATTCAGAGCCTAACTCTCTGATGTTTGGAGGCTGGTCAAGAGCGAGGCTGTATTTGACGATCCAATGACAGTGGAGGTGAAGAAATTCCCGAGATACCTTAATGCAAGGCACTCGCCGATCTTTTCTTTCACCGTGAATTGACCCCCTGAAGCCATGCCTGACTTGTACCGGGGCCATGCTCGCCAAATGCAGATACTCTGCATATGGTTTTGACAACCTTGTCATCCGCTCTTTTGCAGTCCTTGTTGATTTTGGTTTACTTAAGGGTAGGTCAAACATACAGCAAAGACATATGTCTCTTGATTTAGATCATTAATATTGTGCTGTAGTAAAAAATGGTAATGTATCGATTTATGTGGTCATCTATCGCAGTATTAAGCTCTGGTATTGCGTAATACGTGTCTCGGTAAAGGCACGTATGAGAAAAGTGTGATGAATATTCAGAGTTTTTATGATACAGTACAATAGCCATTTCTAGATTTGTGTCCCATAGCATATCATGGCTGGAATAGATGACTGACGTTTTTGTGACAGTTCCTGAAGATCTGCGCCTCTAAGAATTCGCCGACGTCAACGAACAATCTGGCCAATGACGCATCACGTTTCGGGATTTGGAACTCTTGGCCTCCAAAATCCACCTCCAAAACTTACACATATCCTCTTCTATAGCTCATCTGATAGCCATGAGCTCTCGAATGCCATGGCGACTCTGCCAGAGTAGTCGACCTTTACGCCAATGGCCACTTGTTACAGCCAGCTCATTGCTACAGTCATCAATTGCGCTGCGAATAGCATCCCGTTCCATCCATAATGATGGTCCAAAGAACTTGAACCCGCTCATCAACCCTCCCGACGTCACGCGACCACCGCCGCTCACTCTTCCTCGACGCAGAGACTTTGAATCGGCACCCAAATATTATTTTGAGCTGGGAAAAGGATACCTCAAGTTCTACAAACAGGGTCTCAAGAATGTATGGACGAGCCGACGTCTTCTTCGCGAAAAGCTCCAGCGAACGCCCGCCGATGATCGACCATCCATTTTCCGACCTCACTATGTTCCCAAGACATTCTCAAGAGCCGACTGGGTCCTTCTCTGGCGGGTGCGACACGATATGATACGACTGCCTCTGTTTGGACTAATGTTGGTTGTCATTGGGGAATTCACCGTTCTGGTCGTTGCCTACGTTGACGCTGTTGTACCATACCCATGCAGGATACCTACCCAAATATTCTCGGCGCTAGAGAAGGGAGAGCAGCGTCGCAAGGCTTCCTTTGATGAGCTGGAAGCAAAGTACCCTCACGGCGTCCTTAGCCCACGTGTTACACAAGCCGTCGCCCGCGCGCATGTCCTCAAGAGTCTACACCTGAGCGGTACCATATGGGATCGTCTAGGCTTTATGCCTCCTGGCATGTGGCAAGCCAAGGGACGGTATCGCATGGCGTATCTGGAGGGTGATGACAAGAACATCCTGGAGGACGGTGGACCTATGGGACTACACTACGAAGAGCTAAGGATTGCGTGCGCAGAACGAGGTATCGACACGCTTGGCAAGAGTGAGACGGAGTTGAGAGGATGGCTCGGTGACTGGCTACGCTTGACGGCCTCTGAGGATATCGATGAGAGAAGACGACGCATGGCCGTCTTGTTTCTAACTAGGTATGTGCTTCAAATATGTGCTTTGGATGATATTGCTAACTTTAAGTGAACCAGACCAGAATACTGGCCTCAACATCGGGATTTCGCTGTGCCTGAGTGGCAGTTGTAAGGTGCTCTGTACGGCACATGAGAGGCCAGATACCCATGCAATATAAAAATAGATAATGATCAGCAAAGTCGGCACTCTCCTCCCACGTGTAAATCATGAGCTATAAATCAAGGAATTGATGTGATAGGGATGAAACACTATTTGGTCGTGGAGAAACTAAAAGAACTGTGTATGGTCAGTAAGCTGACCAGAATTTTGAAGCGATAAAGGGAATGAATGAATAGCCGGTTCTAGACTATATTCACCAAGTAAGAGACAAAGAATAATATTGACTCTTCCTCTATGGCTTGAAGATGGCAAAAAGCACGTGGCCACCATACCTACTGTACTGTACTGTACTGACCGTATCCGAGTCATGGAGTCTTTATGGAATCTTCCCCCGCGTGGTCTTGGTCTTGGTCTTGGTCTTGGTCTTTACCCGGTTGAGACGGGAGTGATAGTGATCAATTTGTGGGGGAGGAAACATGTGGATGATCTCATCCCCAGATCCGCCGAGGTTCCCATCACATGTAATCACTAAAAACGACCCCCGGATTCTTTTGAAACTTCAAGTCAACGACCTTCTGCCACATTTATAAACCTCGGCCAATTCCCCACGTTTTCTTCAACTTTTCTGTAACTACATCCATACATCCATACTCTTCAATCTCACCTCCTATACCTCTCAGTCGCCATGTCTCTCAAGAACGGTACGTTACTGATCCCATGATATACCGTCTCTGCCGCTCCAAGACCAATCTGAGACTGATTCCTTTAATAGACAAGTTTCCTTCCTCGGCCGCCTTCGACGCCATCCAAGCAGCCATCAACGCCAGCGACGCCGATCGCAAGGACGCTATCAAGCAGGGTAACGGCATCTACGCCTTTACTCTCAAGAACTCGAGCGGCGATGAGGCCAGCTGGCATATCGATCTCAAGGAGTCCGGCAAGGTAGCAACCGGCACCGGCGAAAAGCCCGACGGTAAGTTGCGACCCCGACGCGCGCGCGTCTCTTTGCTTGGCGCAGACCTCACTGACATCCACGTTTTAGTCACACTAGTTCTTTCAGAAGAGAACTTTGGCAAGCTCGTCGCTGGCAAGGCCAATGCCCAGCGCCTTTTCATGGGCGGCAAGCTCAAGATCAAGGGCAACGTTATGAAGGCGACCAAGCTTGACCCTGTGCTGAAGAAGGCCCAGACCAACTCCAAGCTGTAGATTAAGCGTGTCTTTTGTGCCCTTCGGGTTAGCATTCTGCATTGTTATTTGTTTACATTTGTATGATATCAACTTGCTGTATGTCAGTCGCCCCATACTACCTGGATGCGAACGCATATAGGAGTGCGAGTCTATGCGTCAATGCCAATCCTGATACCTTTTATACACAATAAATGAGAAAGAGCAACTATGTCCTTTGATCATGACAGGGGTTAATTTGTCTCGATTAACGCCTATCTCGAGCCTCTGCGTCCCTGTGTTGTGTAACTACAAGTGTACTGCTTGCGAGCTTACTGAATCCAGCAAACAATTCTGGGTATAGGACTGAAGCTTCTCTTTGAAAAAGGCTTTATTTTTATAGCGTTCAATGTGGCAGGCCTTAATGCTCTTATTCTATTTCCTGTCTTAAACCCAGATAGCTGCCCTTTGTATTTCACGCTTCGCCTGTTCGCGAACCTCACGAACAATTTCCCCCGTCGGCTGCACCTTGTTGATAAGTCCAACACCAGTTCCACTATCCATATCGTTAGAGCTATAGAAATGGGATAGGATGACTGCACTTACGCCCAGGTATTAACAATATAGCGAGCTTCTTCCTCGTGATAGTCTTCTTTCAAACTTCGCTGACACTCCTCGAGACTCGTTCCAGCCATAAACTTCTCATGGATAGGACCGACAATGGCACGTCCATCGTAGAGAGGTCCCCAAAGAGGACTGTTTGTTATCCTGTCGTTAAAGGTAGACCTATGTCGTGTGAGCATTGGGCACTCAGGGTGAAAGGTATATGACATACTTGAGCGTGGACACGCCGCCATCTACAGCCTCAAGGACTTTCTGTTTTCGGATATCTGGATAGTTAGACTCGGGCGCGGTAGTAAACTGTAATTCATATGTCAGTGAGTCGTCGTAAATTTGATCCTGGAGACCACTTGCCTTTGTGCCCATCACGACTCCCTCCGCGCCTATGTATTGTTAGCCTTCCATATAACAATAGCCTCTGTTTTATATACTTACCTAGAGCCAGGGCCCCGGCGACGCCTCGTCCATCTGCAATTCCTCCTGCAGCCACGATACTTATACCTCTATCCGGAAACTCCCTATCCAGCATATCTCTCACTTCTGGGACCAAGCTCACGATACCCGAGCCTTGGCGAAACTGATGGCCACCAGCGTCAACACCCTGTGTCACCAGCACATCTGCACCGTCTTGCACTGCCTCTCGGGCTGCAGCTACATTTCCGACCTGTACAAACACAACAGGAGGGTGTTCCAAGCTCTTAAGGCTGGGGATGATCTTGCTGTGCGGCTTGAGATCACCATCCGGGGCGAAGAGCCATATCGCTGCGGGGCGGTTCTTGGCGATAAGCGGCAGTGCCGTCTCTTGAAAGTAGCTCATGGAGTTGTGACTGGTGATGAAGCTTGCTCCAACTGGAAGTGTGCCATCAGATGGTTGATCGGCCCCAAGAAGTGTCCGGACCTCATCAAAATGAGCTGCAAGCCTGTTGACGTGCTCCGAGTCGGGTTCGATATAAGCCGAACAGGGGAGGAAACCTATTCTTGAATGTCAGATAACCCAGAAATTCCCTGCCACGGCTTTCAAGTAAATCTTACCGAGACCGCCGGCCTTGGTGACTTCAGCAGTCATAAGAGGCGTAGCTATTCCGAGCATCGGTGCATTGCTAATGAGGGGGCTTGTCGCCCAAGGAAACCGGCCGATCAACTTGGAGGGACTCATTATGGTAGAAAGATGGTCTTATGTCACAAAAATTGTTGAAGTACCAAGATCTCAAGGTTGTGTTTATTCAATATGAAGTATTTACTTGACACGACGAAAGTGGATATAGAGTGTAAGCTGACCTCGTGGAGATTTGTCATATATCCTCGGAATCGATGCAGTAGCGGGACATATATTGCACCGTGATCATGAGCTCTCCCTCCGTGCTTGTATCAGCAGTCCCACTTTCAAACATATGGACAATTGCTACTAGGATGTTGATATGTTGGAGATACAGCATCGTCAAACGGAGAACCATATAATAGACCTGAATTTTGAATGATACACTCTTCTACCCTGTATCGATTTGTTTGTTCCCGTGCGTAATTGTTTGATAGGATCTGGGGCAGCACTCCCAAAATTTGAATAAGACTACCCTACATCCATACCCACATACCTACCCAGCAATATGGTTGATAACGTTACCTACTCGACTGGAATAGTAGCTGTCAACTTTAGCGATCCGATATGTCTCTGATTTGTTTCTCGTCTAAACACGACAGGGAAAGTCCAAGTCGCTCATCAAATCTTATTGTTGAAGCGAAATACTTTATGTTAGTATTTCCATGGACTCTCGTTCGGATATCCGATGTCCTATGTGAGTTATCACTGAACTTGCGCGAAACCAGGGGATCTGCCATGCCAGTCGCCTGCAAGCTTCATGATATGAAACCCTGCTCATACACAACGACATAAGAGTTCGAGACCATAACCGTTGTATCCCCCCACGAATATCAAACAACAGGAAACGGAAGAGAGTTAGCATAGATTAGGAGTTTGCATCGTATTTCACCCTGTGCCATGGGTAAAGCCGGCAAAGGTCTGTACCGAGTCTGACCCTGTCAAGGATGTCATAACAACTGTAAACAATCAATCAAGGGTCCAAGTTCAGATGAAAATGCTTTGGACGGATGACGAAGAAGCACGTAATTGTTTAGACGACTAATACAGCAGATACTGGGTTGTATAATATTCCAACGTCTCAAGGTCGATTATAAGCGATCGATCGTAATTGCAATTGGTCGATCCCAAGTTGAAGTAACTAAAACGAGCTTTGACAAGTAGAATTTAATTGGCCTACGTATTACGATGTCATGCAATGACTGTCTGTTTGTTTGGCTGAGGACGAGGACGGGGACGAGCGAGCGCTAGATTAGATTAACTTAACTTACCTTAGCTTTTTCGGAAATTTCAACAGGGAAAAAGAAAACCAAATCTCCGAAGGTGACGTGCAGACAGACCAACAGCCTTCACTTCGTATGTAAACGGAAACAGGGAAATTGAAAATAAAAATAAAATAAGGAATTGAACATGACGAGGTTTTTCAATTGAGTGCAATGAACAAGACTGGGATCTTGCTAGATAGATAGCTATGGGTACTTGGTGCAATGTAATCCTGGCAGGGCAACGGCTGAGGACTGGCATTCAATTTCGAGCAAGTAACACAATGTATGTACCTGTTTATGCAAATGGAGAGTGTCGTCAAAATGTCTGTGAGAATAGTAAAGTCATGAGGCTTGGGATGAGTGAGGTGTAGAATCCTACAGGGTCATAGCATGGGAGTACTGTAAGATGAAACATGACGAAAAAGAGGCTCGGCGAGAGTGAGGCTCATCACCACAAGTTCTAAAAACAGTGACTACAGACAGCACTCTGCGTAAGCTTGAGCCGCAAAACCGCCGTTGATGAACAGGATTGACCGATGGATGTGGCGAGTATGTGTGTGTACAATACAGAGGCAGAGAGGCTGTGTTAACAACTCAACTGTGGCGAGTGAATGACATGACAGACAAGAAAGCAATTGTTTACTGGACGAGTGACCTGAGCCTGCATTAGCTGCAGGGTCCAGGCATCTTATTATTAGGTACAGCACAGCACAGCACAGACTGGATCATTGGCAGGAAGGTTAATTAGGAGACACGCGATACAGAAAAAGGGAGGTGGAAGTCGATGCGATGAGTGAGAGTGAGCGTAAGTCGACAAGAGCCAGCCGAGACTGAGAGTGAGAGCCGCCTCAGGCGGGGGGACCCCTGGTCGAGATATCTCTTCTAGGCCTGTTGCTGTTGTTGAGACCGGGGTAGCTTCAGCAAAAAGGCCAGAGGCGCATTGTTCTGCGGTGAACTATTGGATAATTTCACGATCAAGACCCTGCTCGATGGAGAGGAGAGACATGACAGATGATGAGAAGCGGAGACAGGAATCGCAGTCATCGAGAAGAGTTTTTCCCCTTAAGCTGTACATAGAGGAGATCGATTCCGTGATCTTGATCCTCATACGATGAACGAGGGAGAGTAGATAGGAATTTGAATCGGATCAATGGGCAACGGAAAGGTTCCATGTCTATCGTGGATCAACTCCCACTCACTTCAACAGCGGATTGGATGTCTAAAGCCAAGACCCCCCAAGTGTGATAGACGGGCGCTAGTAACGTCTTGACTCTTTTGGTGTGGTGCTGTACAGTTATTTTAGCTTTTGTGGTTGCATGCTTTTCATCAATATGCAGCCTATAGAGTCTGCTTTCGTAGAATAACCATTGACGTCCCAGGAAATGCTTGAATGAGTCGCTAGACTCAACGGTAATAGTAGGAGAAAAGAACTTCGAAACAAAGGTTCAAAATAGTGCCTACTCTATTCGTTGATGCATGTTGCGGTCAAGACAGGATCACGACCAGAAGCGCGGCATTTTAGTGAAGCGAGGTAGATCGTCTGCTTCCCCATCTGTTCCAGTTCAGGTCAGGTCAGGTCAGTCTAGCCTAGGTACAAGTGAATGTTGTACAGTACGGAGTACATACACGAGTGAGAGATATGCACAAGCTCAAGCTCGGAGCTCCCCATGCACGCACAACACGAGACAACATAAGTAGATCCATTCTCCTCAGATCAACTCAACTCAACTCAATTGAATTCAATGGAAGGGGATGGGGTCATTCTCGAAATTGCTCCATGAATGTTCTGACCGGCTGCAGGTCCAGGCAGGGTCCTTTTCTTCCGTGCAGAATGAGTGAACCAGAAGCAGATTCTCGCCGACAAGAACCTTGAATCTCAACCATTTGACCCATGTCGATAGCATCACAGACCAGATGATAGACGGTGAATGTTAAGAGACGAACGGGCCCAGTACCGGTACCTGAAGAGAGCCTGGGAAATTGCGCATTGGTCCAGGTAGAGTTTTGTACCCCGGCTCTGCCGTTGGGGTACGGTACGGTACGGATCCATCAAGAGATACCTCCATACCTGGATAGGACATGTACCTACCTTAGGGCACTCCACAGCTTTAGCGGACAGCGCCGAGTCAAGTCGTTCATTCAATTCAATTCATTGGGGAAATCCTGCGAGGGCACAGACGGTGTTTGTCCAATGTCTACAGTATCCATAGGATGGGCAGTTTGGAGGGGATACATAACATTGTCAAAGCGGATCAACAAGCGACCACCAGACGAGAAGCAAAACACCATCAAGACAGATACAGATCTCTCATGCGAGTTTCTGTCAGAAGCTGCAAGACTTGGCTCACCGATAAATCTACGTCAATGGCTATGTGTCAAGTGTTGGCCGCATTGTGCAGGTGACAACACCGAGGCGACAGGCTTTTTTATACAATCATGTCTTGTCTTTTGACCTGCGACCCGAGGTAGGATTGTCGTTGCTTTTTCATAAAAAGAGAGAGAATGAGAATATCTGACACTCAAAGGGGCTCAAGGGGGGATTGACTCAAGGTAGGGGAGCTGGAGTAGGTTACGAGAAAGATTCATGGGATGGATGATACTCGTCGCTCAAGTAGACATGAACACCTAAAGTCTAACTCGGCACAGTGTATCGAGAGACTTGGCATGTGTTGTTACTGTTGATAAATGACAGAACTTCCCATATCATACAGTATGTAGTTCGGAAAGTGGCTGCTCATGCTCTGAGAATCCTCAACTCTGAGCCTTGTAGACGGATACTCCTTTTCGAGGTACCCTGTTAGCCTCAAAATGCGAGTACCCAATCCAGGTCCGGCTGGTGCTGAGCTGGTCATCTCCCTAGACGGCTGGCCTGGACCCTCTGAAAGCCCATGTTGGACGGCGGTTGCTGGTTGGCGTATGGGAGCTGTTAGTGCTAGGCCCTGACCCCCTGAGCACCTAGGGTGGGCTCGCTTGTTCCATTCTGTAGCGCTCTTATCCATGTCCGCTTCCATTAGGTTGCCCGCCCTGTGGCCGGGGACCGGGGGTGTTCCCTAGCAGTCCCAGTGGAGTTGGACCGCTGATTTGATTTCTGAGGTGCCTGGCCTGGGCTTTTTTCCTGCTCCGTGAGGTTGCTGTGCTGAGAACTGAGGTAAGACGCAGGTGCAGGTGCAGACCAGGCAGGTACCTAGCCCGGTAGCCCAGGCGGACAAGTAAGGTAATAGTAAGGTGAGGTGGTCTCCTCTCCCGTGCCGGTTCGGGTCCAGTCTCGTCTGTCTCTTCCACTGCTTCTCTTTCCCCTTTCCTAAACTTGATCTCCCCATCAACGTTACCGACCGTCGTCTTGCTCGCTCTCGCTCTCTCTTGGGGCGTTCCCCTTCGATCGACTCTCCCTCCGAATCGACTCGACTTTAATCGATAGCCTTATGAGCTGCCTTTTCTCTATTGTTTTTTGGCATCTCTTCTGTTAATTCTGGTGAGTTGATTTGACTTTTCTGCGTTTATACTGGGCCTGGCAGCCCGTCTCGTCTGTCTAGGTGGTGGTCTGTTCAGCTGTGTTGTGGTTCGGTCATCTCCCCGACAAAAGGGAGCTCCCAAGCCGTGGATATTCAACCGCCTTGCTCTGGTCTGCTTTGGATTGCCGCGCTCGATCATTCCCTCAGGCCTCATCAACCCGACGAATCCTACCGGCGACAATACAGCATTTGGACCTTTGCAAGACGCGTCAAAACGACTATTTCGGCTTCGCCATCAGGGGGCTTGCACATTGAAGCTGCGGCTGGCGGCTGCGTCCCCGGGCTAGAAGTGTCTTTTTGCCGCGCCTCCAATCAACCCCAGCACCTGGCAAAGCAACCCAACTTGACCAATCTAACCGTCGCCTCATCTTCCTGAGTTGTCCAACCGCGACCAGCGCCACTACTTTCTGTTTCTCATCCGCTTGCTTTCCTGCGTTCTGTGCATACTGCATCCAACATTCCATCAGATCTCGTCAATACTGACCATCATTTTGTGCTTTGTGCTTGTAGGCATCGATTTGTTGAGCCCGTTTCGATCCCAAGCACGATTTACGCCCTCATCGCGACGACCGAATTCCCCGTATTTGTTCAAACATAGCATAACGGTGGTCTCTAGACCGCCTCCGCCGCCGAAATGGCTTCATCATCATCCAACGTCGTCGGTGTTCACTACCGAGTAGGCAAGAAGATCGGAGAGGGTTCTTTTGGTGTCATCTTCGAGGGTACCAACCTCCTAAACAACCAGCAAGTTGCTATCAAATTCGTTAGTCTCCGAATTGCCGAGTGCTTCCTTCTCTCTGTTGAGCTAGCAGTACTGACATGATCATAGGAACCTCGCAAGAGTGATGCCCCTCAGTTGCGCGACGAGTACCGAACGTACAAGATCCTTGTTGGCTGCCGTGAGGAAACCCAATTTAGATTGAATTTGACCTTTTGTGCTAACACGAAACTCAGCTGGTATTCCCAATGTTTACTATTTTGGCCAGGAAGGACTCCACAACATTCTGGTGATCGACCTGCTTGGTCCTTCGCTTGAGGATCTCTTCGATCACTGTGGCAGAAGGTTTTCTATCAAGACGGTCGTCATGGTCGCCAAGCAAATGCTCTCAAGGGTGCAGACCATCCACGAGAAGAACCTGATCTACCGCGATATCAAGCCCGATAACTTTTTGATTGGCCGTCCCGGCACCAAGGCTTCTAGTGTAATCCATGTTGTCGATTTCGGCATGGCCAAGCAATACCGTGACCCAAAGACGAAGCAACATATTCCCTACCGCGAGCGAAAATCCCTTTCTGGAACTGCCCGATACATGAGTATCAACACTCACTTGGGCCGCGAGCAGTCCCGCCGAGACGATCTTGAAGCTCTTGGCCACGTTTTCCTGTACTTCCTCCGCGGTGGCCTTCCCTGGCAAGGCCTGAAGGCTGCTACGAACAAGCAGAAGTACGAGAAGATTGGCGAGAAGAAGCAGACTACTGCTATTAAGGATCTTTGTGAGGGCTTTCCCGAGGAGTTCTCCAAATATTTGACTTACGTCCGCAACCTTGGATTCGAGGACACCCCCGACTACGACTACCTTCGCGAACTTTTCACACAGGCGCTCAAGAACACCGGCGAGGTCGAGGATGGCGAGTACGATTGGATGAAGATCTCTAAGGATTCGGGAAAGGGATGGGACTCCAAGAACCACAGCAATGCCTACCTTCACAACCCCAATGTTCGCCCTGGGCCTTCCCAGATGGAGCTGCACAGCGGCCATCGTCCCGGGAATACCACCTCTCACCAACAAGCACAAAACCTTACTGTCGGCCGTTTAAACGCCGCGCAACCCCCTCCTCCCTCTCCGATCAAGCAGATGGGCAAGCAGAGAGATCGGCCAAGCGCCCCCGGCGCATTATCAGCACAGAGGGGGAGCGGGGTTTCGGGTCTCCGGGACATGGCCACGCCCACTGGCTCGACTCAGGCCCAGTTCCAGAACAGTGCCCAGAACCTGCCCCAGCAGCCGAGGACCTCCCAGCAAGGCCCGGCGACCCAGCCCACCCAAGCTAGCGGTCAACAGGCTAACCCTCAGCCTAGTGGTTTCCAGAAGCTTATGAAGACCCTATGCTGTGGTTAATGCCTCTCGATTAATAGCTAAGACTTTTCTTTGTTTCTTCATTGCTGCGGCGTTGTGCTTCAGGATCTGTATACGACGACAGACCGAGTTTGAAGAGGATCGCCCTATTTGTTCCAACACGGGAGATGGTTATTGACTGAAACACCCGGCAAAGCTTTGGCTACCCTGCAGATAAAGGCGCCTGTAGATGCTGGGTGCAGTATCCTCGACGGGACTGGTTTGGGCACGTACCTCTTCCTGAGCCAATCGTTCAAGTTTTATTACTCGCCCAGAGAAGCCCCCGTATTCGAACTCGATCCCCATCATCCCGGTACCTTAGAACCCTTCCACCACCTGTTGGTTCCTGCTATCAGTCAAAAATTCTCTTGGAATCGTCCTAGAGGGAAGCAGACGTGGCTAGGAATCACGGCAAAGGGCTTTCCTTTCTCATGTCTGACAACCATCACGAAATTATACTAAAGCCTCGTTTAATCTTCAGCACAGCGCAGCACGGCGCAGGGAGACGGTGTAGGGCAGCATTTTTGGGTCTGGTTGGGTGTTTCTTCTCTTATTTCTTATGACGCTGTCCATAATATCTGTGTAATCACCGCGCGAGACGAGAGGGACCATGGGGTGGCCTGACGGTGCCCAGTCTTGCCTGGTGTAGATGGAGCGAGCAGTTAGCGTGGGGATGAAGTTTGCAAGTTTGGTGATTTGTTGTGAATGAAGATAGAGCACTATGGGGAGTTCTCGTTTTGGCAATTTTTAATGGGAAAAGAAAAAGGCGTCGCCATCTTTATCAACGTTCCCCTGTTCCAACTCTGCACGTATACTAGTAATCGATATGTAATAAACATCATCATGTATCTGTAACATTACACGGCTCTTAATCAACGGCAGAATAGCTGCCAGTCGTAAATCTACTGCCTATGAAATCCCTTTTTACCCTTTTCTGACCCGCAATCCTATCAACATCTTGGCTCAATGGACAACTTCATGGCTGGACTTGAATCGTCAAAGCTAAACATCCAATTCGCAAACAAACGTTTTATTTGTGGATAATTTAGGTCAGCTTCTGCTTGATGAAGAAGGATCGGAGATGCGAGAGCTGCCAGGTGCAAGTAATGCCAAGGACAATAAGCTGAATAACGATCCATCGGATAACACGGGCATTTGTAGACTCGGACTGGTCTCGGAACTCAGCCTCTCGCTCCTATATACCTGGTCAGCTCAAAATCACTATAGCAATCGAAAAACGGGTAACACTTACACGCTGGAAAACTTGTTCTCTTCGAATATCAGCAAGACGGGCGTTGAGGTCCTTAACACGCGATGTGATGTCCTGAATCTTGCCCTTGTCACTGCTCTCAATCTGGTTGGTCTCGCCAATTACGAGGTCGAGGTTAAGCTTGATGCCGCCGTTGGGGTTCTTGGCAGAGAGCCATGAGGTGCGGCCAGAGCTGGATGACGGGGTGAAGCAGATCTTATGGTCGCCAGCATCGGCAGCGGAGAAGGTGAAGCGGCCGGAAGACAGGCCACGCTGGGAGACAACACGGTGGTCATTGTCGAAGATTTCCTGCTATTTGTTAGCGAAGGGTTTATATGAACAGCTGTTCAAGATGAACATACGTCGACATTGATGTAGATGCTGATTCCGTCATGCTTAACCCAGGCCGATACTCGCTCGTCCCATTCCTCGGCGGTGTAGTGCCCGACAACAAGTGTGTCCTTTGGAAGCTCCTCGTAGAAACACTTGGGAGTTGTGCCGTCGATGAAGAAGTGTAGCGCATTGACAGCAGCGCTGAGCGATAGAACAGGAAGTAGGAACTTCATGATGGCGACTTGTGTTGCACAAATGGATCCGGCGCAATCGAAAGGCTCGGTTTATATTCGGGGGCGAGGCTTTTGTCGATGTGTAATAACGAAGTCGTATCGTTGAAAGTCAATGGTTGGAAAGTATTGTACGGATAGCTGTCCCCCTTTGGCTCTGGCTTTAGCACTGGCGCCCGCGAAGCTGCCACGTTCAAAGATCGGCTTTGGGTCAGGGGTGTTAAGCAGTGTCACGTGGAGATAACGATTCCCGATTCTGGAGAGAATGGAAGCGGCGCATCTTTAGTTACTTCACTTAAAACATCCCCAAATTTCAACGCGTCCAACGAAAAGACCGGTTCGAGCCCGACGAGAAATTTGAGAAAAAAACCTAACAATATCGAGTACGACTATATAAACGGGTAGCCAGGTTTGATAATTTTGGTGATGAAAGGTCGAATCTAGAGGTTCTTGGACCAAACAACCTTACATTTGTTTACCCTCGTCAACGATATACGCCAACCATGACTTCTTCCGACGTACGCGATGTTCTCAACTTGGGGGATGGAGCTGCTGGTCCCCGTCCGAACAAGAAGCAAAAGATTGCTGCTCCCAGACCAAACTTGAAGGGTTTGGCGCGTGAAGTACACAATCTCGGCGGCGACAATCCTATCGCCATCGTCCCCGAAGTCACACATTTTAAAAAGCGACGCTTTGCCAACCGGAAACCTGCTGCTAGATGGGAAATGCGTCCATTCAAAAACTCGGCTCGTGGCGATTCCGATTTCATTTTGCGACATTGGAGGCGGAAGGATGAGAAGCAAGAGGAGAACGATGCATCGCAAGAACATACCAGTCAAGGAGAGCAATCGCAACCGCCCAAAGACGGGCTCGAGGATTCTGCTTTTGCAAAATACAATGTGCAGGTTTCGGTACCGCAGTACAGCGAGGGGCAGTATCAACAGTCACTACAACATGTTGATTGGACCAAGGAGGAAACGGACTATCTGTTGGAGCTGGCACAAGACTTTGACCTTCGATGGCCCTTGATTTGGGATCGATACGAATGGAATCCTCCAGCTACTAATGGAGAGGCCGATGCGGACGGTGACGAGAGCAAAGCTATTGTGCCGGCAACAAGGTCCCGGACACTGGAAGACCTCAAAGCGCGGTATTACGAGGTTGCTTCGAAGATGATGGCAGCGCAGAAGCCCGTGCAGTACATGACACAACCCGAGTTCTCCCTCCATGAGCTTATGGCACACTTCAACCCTCAGCAGGAAAGGTTGAGAAAGGAGTTTGCGCTGAACGCCTTGACACGGTCACGCGAAGAAGCCCGCGAAGAAGAGTCTCTCTTGCTGGAGATTAAGCGAATACTGGCACGCAGTGAACGATTTAACGACGAGCGGCGTGAGCTGTACAACCGTCTCGACTATCCCAGATCGGACACAGATATCAATGCCTTCAAGTCCTCTGCTGGTCTGCAAAATCTTTTGCAAAATCTGATGACCGCCGACAAGACTAAGAAGCGCAAGTCGCTCATGCCAGGCGACGGCACCAGTCCTTCTGGTACCGCACCCCCACAAACTGCTGCTGCTGCTTCTGCTGCTGCCACGGCTGCCGCGGCAGCACAAGAGGCAGGGCGACGCGAAAGTACAGCTGCATCTACAGGACCTCGTGAATCAACAGCCCCAGCTGCTACGCCGACAGCTGCAAACAATAAGAAAGGCCAGCAACAGCAACAAGAGCGACGTAAACTTACAACTCAAGAAGAGCTATTATACGGTGTCACTCATCACGACCGACTGGGATCTGGGCCAACTTTCCGTACCGAAAAGATCAACAAGTTATTCTCGCACAAGTCCAATCAACAGCAAATGCGCATCACAAATGTGCTCAACGAACTGGACGTGCCTAGCAAGCTTATTATGCCTACCGCAGCGACTACTCACCAGTATGAACAGCTGCTTGCTGCAGTCAACAGCCTGCTTGATGCTCGTAAGGTATCGGACAAGCTTGACCATGAGATCAAGACTGAGCAGGCAAAGAAGGCGGAGCGCGAGAAAGCTATGGCGCCCGAGTCCACCACAGGTAACGACCCTGCTCAACAGGAGAAGAAGGATGGTGAGGATTCAGAAACCCGAGCCGCCACCGCCACAGCGGAAACAAGCAAAGGAGAAACAAATCGTAACGCCACGTCTGCCCCTGAAGATGAGAACAAGGATGCTTCAGAAACAGCCATTACTGCCGAGACCCCGGTCGCTTCGAACAAGGAAACGGAACAAAATACTGAAACCGACAAGAACGAACGCCCCGGCAGTAGTGGCGGAAGACAGAAACGAAGTGCTAGTGTTCTTAGCAGTGTCAGTGACAAGAGCAACAAGCGGCAGAAGAAGTAAGATACTGGAATGTACCGTCTAAGTACCACAGTACATCGGTCTACGCGCCAGTGACTTGCTGCACGTAACCAACTTCAGCAACGTTCCTGCAGGAACACAGGGATCTCCGAGCCGGCATGGCAGCAAGATCTACCAGGTTCGGCAGTCGTTGGTTTGGGATTTGTTATACGCATGAACCGGGCTTTGGCGAGACAGGGTATCACATGAGCTTGATGTGTGGGCAAGATAGATATATGGCTGTTCAGACTAGAAGTCATACAGATCTTGTCTTCTGAAACATATCATGCTGTGTTGAAGCGCCGTGAGTGGGGACTCCTGTGTGACTGTTCAAAGTCTTGCATTAGCAGTAGCTTACGCCCTTCAGGGGCGAAGTTAAGTGAGGGTGTTGATGTCAACAGATGAGCGTCCTGACTGCGTGGGGCAGACAGAAGATGCCATCCTCATCTTTGAGCTTGCATCAAAGTGCTCATTCAGCGAGTGCAGTTGGTACAGCCAGAGATCTTGGCGAATGAAGTACACCGTGAGGGATGCAATGGGCGCTAGGAAGCGTGTTGGATACCAGGGATGACGTTGCGTTAAAGAATCTGCAGTTCATCAGCGGCTGCAGTGAGGCTATCTCTTAATATAGCAACATGTTTCTAAAATAACCAACGCATCGCCCCTGAAGATGATCTATCCCCCTGGTTCAGTAAGACCCCTGGAGAATAACGTGGCTAGGAGTGAGCGTAGAGAGGGCACCCGGCATCTTGGGCCTGTTCGACTTACTTCCAACGTCGTTGTTGTCATCCTTCTACTTACCTAAACAGGCCTCCAAGCGCCAATCGAGTGGTTCAGATCGACTTGGATAGCGCTGCCATTCCTTCGGAACCTGCGTCTTTGGCGCCTTGGAGACTCAGGATGGGGCGTGGCTCCTATAATAGAGAGTGTGTGCATGGTGTATAGATCACAGGAGCCTCAACAAGGGCCATGACTTGGGAGAATGAAGTCATCTTGATATCTATTTTGAGCGAGACGCCCAACACCTTTGCTGCATGATGACAAGCGAACGCCGTGGGTCGGCGTCTATAGTCTAACAATAGAACAGATTCACTGCTTCTCAACCTGCAGAGACGATGATGTGCATCAGGATATCTGATCTAAGATAAGATTGACCCTTGCTAAGCGCCAAGATCATGACCATTCCTAACAACTGTGCGATGAAAATAAACTATGCAGATGCAGGGCCGGCGCTTAGCTGGCGGTTAGCTATAAACTCGTGAAGCACCATTGGATATAGGACCTGTAAGGCTAGGGTCAACGCCGTTGATGTATTTTTAGATGAAACGACGGCGATATAATTAGAAATCCATCTCTGCAATATATTATATCGTTGTCCTGAACGATAAATATCCTTGTGGTGTTGAGGCTCTTTGATGTGACGTCTATTGCATCCAGTAAAACGCCTTATGATTGGCTGACAGCTGTGTCGACCCACGACTTCGCGAATCGATCAATCCGATACTCATAGGCCGACATGTTTTAATAATGGCATCTCCATTGAATATCAAGAGTCGTCCGACTACGGATTAATAGCTGGAGTTTATTATAGGGCTGATATCGTATCCGTATGGTCGCTCACATTGGTGATCATACCCATGCATGCTCGGACATGAAGTCAAGATCCGACATATACACCGGAAAGACATCTTCAATCTGATATTATTCAGCTGACGAGTACCAAGTGGCGAGGCTGGATTCAGCATTATCATAACCGGTGTCTCTTCTCTCTACTCGAGCTCCAGCAAGGGATAAATCCGCTGTCGTTCGGAAATGAGGTGACAACAAAAGTGTGCACCCTCGATACGCAAGCAACCAACACAATGCATATTATTTCACATGCGCCACCGCGGCGTACAGTAGAAGAATGGTACTGGCGATGGATATCTGATGCACGATTCGAAGGGGGTGGGGGAGCAGGAGCAGCAAGCAAGCAAGGAGTTAATACGAAGAAACATAACTCGACCAACACCAAATAGCCACCAACAACCTATTTGAGACTCTATACAACCATGTCATCGATTGCAATGCTATCTGCCAGACCCAAACTCGAACGGAGAGTATGGCTCAAGCTGCCAGCGACCGTCATACCACACCCGGCATTTGGCATATCCCTCAATGTCTTTGTTTTCGCAGATAATGGCGGCATTTTGGGCTTATTCGTCCCAGAGTAACGAACTGAATCCGAATTATTGACCCCACGGATCTATCGAGGAAAGACGGCCTGCTGCAGCCAACAGGGTCAAGATGTGTGAAAGTTGGGCCGGAGGAACCTTTGGACACGCTAGATCTTGGCAAACCAGGATACAACTCGGCAGTCTTGTGCCTTCAGTAGGTATTCCAACTGTCATGACAAGCACAAACTTACAGTCCGTCATGTTCCCTGCCTGCCAGCGTCAAGAACGCGACTACTGTGCGTGCAATGATCGCCAGTGATGTTATCTTTGTAGTCACAGGTTGAGTGTTTTACCCACAGGGGTAGTATTCAGACCCGCAGCACGGAATAATTCTTCCAATCCAAAGTTCGTTTCGACTTTATCGTGCTGATCAATCATTGGATCGCTCAACAGGAGTGACTCGACCATCCCAGGTTTGGTTTCTGCAGGCTCGCGGGCTCGTTCTCGCGTTGGCGTCGCTCATGAAGAATATTCGCACAATACGACACAGAATGGACACCCTTGTAATTGTCTGAAGTTTGACCAATGCCCCTGGTCAGTGGAATGAGGTGAGAATATCCACCGTCCGAATTGACTCTCCGCTTCCCCGCGCTTTCGCGTGCATCAGGAGCTGCAGAGTCATTATCTCGACGTCGTAGCCAACACAGCGGTGTGCATTTGGAAACAAGAAGTGCAGTAATATAGACCTGACTATTACCTGCGCGGCCATGGATTTGCAACCAGAGGCGCTAAAACCACAACAGCATTGTCTTTAGGTCCTCAACTATCTGATGTGATAGCTTTGGATCACGGAGAACAAAGCCCCCTGTTCCAACAAATATTTAGCCAATCACAGCTGCTAAACGGGCTGTGTTCATCACAACTTGACCAAGACAGACCTCGGAAAAGCTGACTATTCGCATCATAGACAAAATATCTTGATCGGCTCAAGCCTGATCGGGCTATCTTCCAAGCTATGTTATTCTGGCACCCTAAGCTTTTGTCTCGTGTTGTCTTTCTGCCGTCCCCTACCGCGGTTTAAAAGGGTGGTACTGCAGTTTACCCACCTAGGTACTTGAGACTCTCGATGGCCTGACGAATGTGAAAGAAGAAGAGAAGGATTTGACCCGAAATCGATGAGGTTATAGCAGAGAGAGGCAGCTGAGAAAAATATTCTGCATAGGATTGTTGGCCACGAGCTCAGCGATGATCTGCTAGCATACAGTATTGTAGGTAGTGGACGAAAATAGGAACATCGGCATTCGTCGAGCCAATCATTTCTGTTGATACATAGTACTTCAACGTTATGCCGTTTGCCGTCCATTCAGTAGTCGAAGCTTGTTGGGTGGACTACCTAACAGCACGGCGACGTGACAATACGATAAGTTTGGGGTTTCCCATTTCATCAGACTGACTAGGTACCTTGCCAGGCGTTGATTATCTTGATAAACCTGTAGATGTTTCATACCTGGATGCATGCATGTTGTAGCCTGAAAACCGGTCCTCTGCGAGTAACTTCAAGTGACCCTCATGATGATCAAGCCCCTGTATTGAGCAAGGCGACAGTGGTCTCAGGGTTGGGTGAGGCCGCCAATTTATGGGTCTTCGTATACATCCGCCACAGAGAGGATTCGAGCGAGACGCGCGCCAGCCTCAACTCTTATGCCAGTATTCGTAAAGAGCAGGGGTATATCAAGGTCAGCAAGTCCCATCGTGTATTTGTATGCTCAACAGATGCTATCGCATGTCTCGCTAGGTAAGTTCTGTAAGTCCTGGTGTTTGCTCAAGCGCTATGATGTTCCAAACGCTCTAAGCGGACCGAAGGTATGTGAGCTCGGGTCAATAATCCAATATTAGGTTCTGAGCTATGGCACAGCCGCGGACGGCGGGCGAGTGACACGAGACAATGGTCTTAGCGTGTTAGACGCGGCGTCAATGGATTCTGTCTCGTCTAAGGTGTCTGAACAACCACACCCTGGTAAAAGCCCTGATCTGACTCCGGAGTACCGTCTCTGATTGGTTGCTGGGGCGAGAAGGCGCATGTACACGTCCCGACACCCATCCGCCGATATGCGGTGGACGGTAGGTTAACGGCCTGGTTGGGCAACGTTCGCTTTTTGTAGCCGGTGTCGCTCAGAAGTACCCGTAGCTTTAGGGTAGTCCAGGCGTTGGGCATACAATATACCTGGATAAACGAGCTTTGGATAATCTCTGATTTGAGACTCAGAAGTTAGATGATGTTGATGGATCGTTGTGAAAAAAATGGATCGATACAACAGGCTCTTGATTTGTGCCTTCCTCCACCTCCGTTAGGAAAAGCTAAAAGGTAGGTGCACTACACTACTGGTCCAGTGCCGCGGCAAGAGCGAGTGGGGACGCTGATGGCTCTCCACCCAACTGTACCGCAGGGAAGGGGCCGGCGAAGGCTCAAAGCTAACTGCAAATGTACTAGTGCGACATCCAATTCAGGTTGGCAGTTCGTCGTTGTTTAAGACAGCACCAGAACTAAGAAAAGCAGGTGCGAACACTCCCAACCTATTATCGCTGGTTGAAGAGCCGGAGCGGACGAGAGTTTGGAATAAATGCATTAATTGATAAGTCTGCTAATGAGAAACAAGCCCTGAACAGTTGGTCTTGGCGAGCAACCAACATGGATAGGTAGAGAAGACCTATTACGGATATTACAGCACTTGTATCCTAGGCAGGTGCTTCTTCTACCTGGGTACTAGATGCATGGTGCGGTTGCGAAAGTGACAACGATATTAATAGTTCACTTTGCCACCTCCATTTGGAGAAGGTAGTAGTCGACTTGGAGACGTCTCTTGTTGACCTAAAGACATTGTTTCAGAGCAGTAATGGTGGTCGATTCCAGTAAAATTTGACAGCCGGGTACTAAGGTACAGTACTGTAGGTTGTTGCCAATACCTTAGTACCGAAATTGCACCCCTAAGAAGAAATGAGATGCGCTAGAATGGCTGGCTGGTAGGTATTGATTGTGTCATATGAAGGATCCTTCGGCTAAGATGGTTTAGAGTCGCGCGACTACCATAGTACGTCTCGGCAGGCGTCAGTTACAGGCGTCCAACAGGGAGACGGAGTTTTGCATGTCGCCGCTCTCTCTACTCTGACAGTGACACTGATCCCTCTGAGGGCGGGCAAGGGTCGCTTATTGGATCCGGTATCATTACCCCAATGGCGATCGTGGTGCGGGTACTGTACACGTTGGAGGTCGCGGGTTATTACCGCTCCAGGTTGAGGACAAGATTTTGTCTGATCATGTCTCATGAATCGTATGTGCAGTCAAGTGAAGTGATATCAGCGATCGACTGGCTGTGCCTGGAGTTTCTTGATTAGAACATAACATGAAAGAGTTGGCAAAGACGCCGACGCCGACGGTGGCGGTTGGTGGGTGGTAGGTACTGTAGGTAATATTGATGACGATGAAGCAAGCAGAAAGCAACAAGAAAAGCTTGTGAAAGGCGCCTCTCCAACCCCGGGTGGAGAGTTTTTGCCAAGATCAGTAGATTTACATATCGTCAGTGATTGATATGCAGCGGATGGATGTTCGCGGCACAGTTTTCCGAGGGTCACTGTCGCGCGTGAGATAGACGAGATGACTCAGATAATTGAAACGACCAACAACTACCTGATTACAGTACCTATTCAAGGCCGACAGGCTATCTAAATTAGTTTTCCTCAGATCAGAACATTGCAGTCAGTTGATGAAACCTTGAATTCGAGCTTTCTCTCTTTGCCAGCTGACAACACTTGGGTATCGTCGCCTAAGACGACCTCAACTCGACATCAATTGTTATCATATTAACACTTACATAGTATACACATGCCATACCATGCTGTGCTGTGCTATTCTATGCCATACTTTTGCTTGACTTCCAGCCTGAAGACCGCGGCAGAGCAGTGTAGCACGGTCCGTGATCCGCACTTGAGGCGGGCTGGCTAAAGAGACGCCCGGTGTTTTGATCGAAGCTCCCCCTGTAAGTTCTCGACTCGACAGACTCTCGCATTCTGGGCGGTCGAGGGAGCCCCGTCGTTAAACTACCACTATCTAGGGACCGCTCAGCCATGGGCCGCGCGACTGGCTACAAGTAGAGGCGCCCAGTGAGGGTTGGCCGCGCCAGAGCGACCAAGAATGTGGGAGAGCGCAAGGTAGCGCCAGAGCAGAGTCTTTCGATGAGGGGGAGACTCACAAGCGAGACGCCAGCGTCAGCACCAGAACCAGTTACAGTAAGGAGCGAGAGGGAGCATACATGGAGCATGTATGTATCCGTAGAAATACCTAGTAACGGACAGATTCCGCCCTTTCCAATAGGTACCAATGCTTAAATGGGCCTTCTCCAGCACTGGAAACACTCTGTTCCATCGATGGGATCCGTTATAGAGACTCTCCATCTTGACCGCTAATGACCGACCGTCTATGCGATTTATTCCCTTGAACATGCGTCGGGAAATGACGTGATATAACCGATCACAGCTGGTGATAGTCATCTAGTGCTACAGATGTGGCAAAGCCTTCAGTCAAGCATTGCGGTGCAGTAGGTACGGATACAGACAGTACAGTCAGTATTGGGTGAGGTTGTGGTTGATAACTTGATGAGATGTTGCTCAGACCCTTGAGGCAGCAGAGCAAGGCAGGGTCATGCTTTGCAGCCTTGGGTACGCACTTTACTTTAGACTGCAATTCAAGCAGGTACCCTGGGGTTGCGTGAAGGTACCTGTCGACTCGGAGGTACCGCACCTCGTAGCCGAGTGACGCCGTGTGAAGCGCCACGCCGCCGCGACTTCGGAGGCTTGAGTTGACATGAGTTGCGACCTCGAAGACATTGCTTTTAGGTAGCAAACTCTCGGAGCTGTTGTTGCAAGGTGCCTGTCATTTGTTCATCCGTTCGTTGTCTGATCCTGTGACAAGAATACTACAACAGCCAATCTTTAGCTCAACCGCCCGCTCCTTGCTAACTGCGTTGTAGCTCTTACAAGACATACCTATGGTTTGGAGCACGACACTAGCTCGCCCCGTCAACTCACGCGCATAGCAATGAAGAGCTAGCTTAGCTTTAATTCAAGGGCACTGCTGGCACTTGAAGTATGGCTACGACCGACCACCACCCACGTCTATTATCACAAGTTGCCTTGCCTTGCCTGGCAAGGACACCAGAAACAGAAACGGAACCAACAACACCAACCGCGCGCCCCGTCCGCTTGCCTGCAGCACCCTACCCACCTTTCTTTGTGTCCGTTTCCAAATCCAAGGGTCCCCTGGCCCCCAAGCTCTTGATCTATACACTCACCCCTCCCTTGTTGACCAAGTCGAGGGTGAGGATTACAAGTCAGTACAACGCTATTCTATTTCGAAGTCTCTCAAACTCACATCGAAATCCGTACCTCACATCATTTCACTCATGACTGGATGTTCTGCTTCGTCGTTGAACTGATTTGGATGGTCGTCAAGCTGAAACAATTTGAGCGCTTCTGGTGTTACTCGAACATATTGTCCGTCTACCTAATCGGTAGACTGAGTAGTAAGTAGAGCAATGCTTGTTAATCTGTATTCGTGGTACCGTTATCTGCTTGTCTCCAACTGTGATGTCGTTCATTCACTGCCTCTCGCTCTTTAGCTTTACCTTAGCCTGTTGACCCGATCTCACTCCGGTCTTGAGTCTTCCTTCCTCGTACCTGCTTGCCCTCAGGACCCTTGCTGGGGCTCTCTCACATCCATATCCATTCTCTCCTTCTTCGGGCTCTTCTGTCCCGTCCCTCTCCTGCCTTGCGTTTGTTCGTCTGTTCGTTCGCTGGTCCCTTCCTTCCCGACACGCCCTCACTTCATCTTGCATCTCACTCTAAATCTCGATCCTTCGTCTTCTTTCTTCTTCCCCTTCATCCTCATCCTTCCTCCTACCCTCCACCAGAAGAGACCCCCCCTCCCTCTCCCCGTCCCGCCAGCCTAGAATTGATCTGAGCTCCCCGCCGCGAACACCCCCAGCCAATTTTTTTTTTCGCCGATTATTACAGACGCAGTTTGACTTAATCGCGCGTCAAAACCTTTCGACGCCCCAAGCGCGGCGACTCTCGTCATTTCCAAACTACAACCACCCGTTTTTTCGTTACTCAACGGGCAATTGTGCTCTCAACCCGATTATCTCACCTTGGCCTTTTGTACACGAGCGCGCATCTTTAACAGGCTTTCAGGCTATTTGTTCAGTTGACTTACATTCGTTCTTTACCTCGGCCTTGAGTGCCAAGTGAAATCACAACTTCAGTCTAGTTCTACGGAACAAATCGCGAGACATCAGTCTGGTTACTGTCTTGTATCCTGAGATCGAGCATCACAACGCCTCTTCTCCTCTCCTCTCTTATATCATATCATTTTATTGGCAATTAGGGGTATTGGCTTTGCCTCTTTGTCATCACTCATTGTTTAAACGGAATCTCGGCCAATAACGCTCTGGATTCAAACCGTTGGTTGTATTATAAGACGACGGACCGACTTTCGTTAAATCAATCATCATCGACTGCAGTTCAGCTGGGCTCAACTCATAACACAGTGTCGCCACCTCCTCTTGGCTTGGATAAAGCTTCATATCTACCAGTTTGGCCGAAAGCATCTTTGAGTCAGTCGTAGATCTATAGCCACGCATCACAGCTACCATCGGATCTATCGGAGTGAGCTTGCCAGCCTCAGGGCCTAATCGCGTTTCCCTGACGCCTGACGCACCACTCAGTCTCTTATATACACGCACGCCACTGTTCGCCATACTCAGCGGCTCACCATGGCATCTTTTACAGCCCTCAATGGGGGCTCGCCCCGGACTTCAGATCCGCCTGCTGTAACCATCGAAAAAATCTCGTCTATAGAGGAACGCGCACACAACGCAACCGCGTCTCAACCTCCGCCCACACCGGAATTGTCATCAACCCAGGCCCCAGTTCAAAGTGCGGAAAGGCCATCTTTCCAATCACCTGGCTATCCCGACGTAGAAGGCTCTCATAAGAGAAAGCGGTCTGATTCTGTCGAGATACGGCGAGAACAGGTTGTACATGCAAATACGCCGGATTCCGCCCACCCGCATCACGAACCCCGTGAGGTTTACGAGACACCATCAAGAGATTACCGTCCATATGGCGACGAGCATCGAGACAGGGATTCTTGGTATTCACATCAAGCACGCGATGAGCGTAGCTATGACTCTCAACAAAATTCTGCCACCACCCCCCATGGTCAAACAGAAGAGCAAATTGGCGATGCACTTCGCAGAGCTACCGGCCAGTTCGACCATGGCGACTACTCCAATGCCAGCCCAGATGCTGACGATCATTCCATTATATATGGAGGCCAGTACACATCTGATCAGAGACGTGATGGACTTCTGCAGCACGATTCTAAGAAACGAAAGAGGAATTTCAGCAACCGTACCAAGACAGGGTGCCTTACTTGCCGCAAGCGTAAGAAGAAATGCGATGAGCAGAAGCCCGAGTGTAAGCTGCCTTGGGTTATGTCTGTTGTCGATTCATGTCACTAACACTTTCCTAGGTGGAAACTGTCTTCGTGGTAGCTTTGTCTGTGCGGGCTATCCTCCTCAACGTGGACCAGGATGGCAGAAGCCTGATAACAAATCCGCAGCAGTTCCTCTCGAATCCAAGGACCCGACATATGTTCCGCCAGGAGCATACGGAATGCCTCAGCAAAGTCCGTATGGAAACCAGCCGGTGAAGCGTGAACCCCTGCCACCCTACCGAGGCCAGGCCCTTCGAATAGACCCCCCACAAGGCCGCCCTCTGGTGACCGATGACGACCGGCCAACAGCATCAACATTGCCCAGCGCGTCTGTTGCGAGCCCAGAAAATAAACTCTCTGCCTTGCCCTATACTCCCGCCAACGTATTCCCAACTCCCGTCAGCGCAAATCCTCAACCACCACCACCACCATTTGGAGAAAGAATGGCTAAAGAATATCAACGCGTGCCTCCGTTGCATGACCTGAGCAGAACAGAACCAGACTCTACTCACCTTGGGAACCAGCTTCCGCAGATCAACATTCTGCATCCAACACGGACCAATAGCCCTGCTCCCCCTCCACCCGCGCCGACATCCAACGCCCAAGTAGCTGCTCAATTGGCACTGTCCCATTCGCAGTTTCCGAGACGGACCCAAAAGGAGGAGATGCTGTCAGGGCGCCATTTCTACCCTTTCGACAAGGAGCTCTGTCTGGAACGTGAGCGTTGCTCCGCCGCTTGCTGGAGATTCAACAACCTCAACGGTATATCTCCCGAGGAGCGTGCTCGTTTGTTCCTTGAGATTTTGCAGCCCCGCGACCCTGTTCGAGTTTCCCCTACTGAAGCCTCTCCAATCACCAACGTGGGCCGCGTGGGAAGAAATGTCGCTGTTGAGACACCTTTTGTTTGCGATTATGGCTACAATATCACCATTGGTCATCATGTTGCCATTGGGCGCAACTGTACAATCAACGACGTGTGTGAAGTAAAGGTCGGCGATAACTGCGTGATTGGACCAAACGTCAGTATCTTCACGGCAGGGCTACCTGTCAACCCTAAGAAACGCCAGGGAAGTCAAGGTCCTCAGGTAGGCAAACCGATCACCATTGAACAGGACTGCTGGATTGGTGGAGGTGCCATAATCCTTCCCGGAAGGACAATTGGCAAGGGTAGCACTGTCGGTGCTGGATCGATTGTCACCAAGGTATGGCTTGCAAAACTCTGTCCGGGCATTATATTAACATATGGTTTAGGATGTCCCCCCTTTTACGATTGTAGCTGGAAACCCCGCAAGAGTCTTACGTGGCATCGCCTCTTAATATTGATATATTACGTTGCCGTTTTCCTTCTCATCTTCGTAACACGATACCTTGGTGTGTTTATGTTGACTTTTCTTGGCCCGAGGAGTTCACATATGTTCATATATGCTTGACAATAATGGTCAGATTCTAGCGTTGGGAAACCCACAGCGATGGGCCCTCTCGCTGTATCTCTATTTGGTCTGGTTTTGTTTATTTTACGTTTGTGGTTTTTGTTGATTTCAGCGGACTCCCGCTGACTGGCATGGGTTATGAAAGTGGCGAAAAGCAATTCTTAATGGAGGCGGTACGAGATTTACTGTGTTGGATTATTGGAGGTAGAAAACCTCATGTGATGAGATAAAAGGATGGATGAATGTGATGAATCAGGATGGTGGCATATTTGGTTGCTGTATTGTGTTACATGTGCTACGACTTATGAGCGATAAACAAAGCGAAGCGGAAGCGGAAGCGGAAACCTGCAGGAAGATATCCATTAACGTTATTAATTATTAGCATGGCGGACACATTTTGTTCAACTTTGTGTACTTTTCTGATACTTGTTTACCTGATATGGAACCTGATATGCGGCAAATAACCCCATCTCAAGGGGCTTCAGCTGATTGTGGCTATGGGCGATGCGACCTGGTTCTGACCACTCGCGACGACAACAAATACACGGCCTGGAAGTCTCTTCAGTTAGACTCGTTGCCAGAGTAATGGAAGGATGGAAGTCTGCATCTGCGGCCTTGTATGCAGCCCTAGAGTTGGCTGATTGATGCCTTACTGCGTGTTAGTGGGTGGCTCGAGGAAAGGTCTACACCGATAAACTGACCCAGTCGAAGCCCTCGGTAGGCCCGAAAATGGTATTCAGAGGAAGGAACTCTTCGTAATCTCCAGAAAAGTTCATATCTGGCATAGTAAAGTCGGAAATCTCACTGCATACAGTCGATTCGGTATAGGGATATGTTATGCTGACCAGACCTTGAGCTCCTAAACTGGACATCGTGCCTAGCGGCATGGCAACTCGATCCAAAGTCGAGCGAATAACCTTGGATCCATATAGTGCATCCTTGGAGTGTACGCCGCGCTGCTGCCAGGCCTCGTGAGCACGCTCCAGTATCCGTACATGTTGCAACTTGACTTGTTGGCTGTCTGTTTGTTAGCAATGCTCACAGACAAATACAACAATGGCCATACGCTATATCGGTCGACTCCAGAAGATCTAGACAAAGGATCATGGCCGCAACTAAAAAGTCATGTAATGTGAGACTTGAGAGCAAAAATCGATCCTTGTACATGCGTCCCCCATCTTGAATCTCATGCTCAAACTCGAGGTGAATCTCAGCGACTCGAATAGCCGCGGCGCGGCAGAGTTCACGGGACCTTCGATAACGTTCCTGGTTTCTATTGGCACAAAGATATGGGCGATGAAGTATGCAAATGGTTTTGAGGTACGATACTTCTATGATGAGTCGGTGCATGATGGTGTAGCCGGGCACATCCCACGGAGTGGAGGCAATAGGGCGTATACAGAAGCATTCAGGCACGGTATTGTGATATGCTTCTAACTCAGCCTGAAGTACCAAAGTCTCCTCATACGGCGGTGACTCAACACGGAGGACATGCCGGAGGACACGTCTTAAGAGGCGGCAGAGGTGGGATTTGATCTGCCACGCGAGCATTGGTGTAGGTTCAGTCGGAGGTCGAGATTCAGGCACGTCAGTGTCTTCATCAAAGTCGTTGTCTGATAGATTCCTAGGGTGCCCAGCATCGCATACTTCCTGATATACCATAGGAGGCATTCCAAGCTGAAACGAGAAGAGCAAATCAGAAGTCTGAACCATGAACCACGTCCTTCGGCGCATTTCAGCCTCGAAAGGGGTGATAGTAGTTGACACTCTGGCGGCGTCAAGATGATAGCCCCTGCGTTGCGCCAAGCGAACCGCAAGTGAGTAGAAAGACCATATAGTAGCATCTGAGTCCTCCTTGGTCACATTGCGCGAATGAGCATACATCATGAGCGCCTCGACAGAATATGCCTTGGCTTTGAGGTATTCTCCAGTGACAAGACATTGAGCCGAGCGTTGTATATAGAACTTAGGACCCTGTACAGATTCGAGATGACGGTTCTGCACTCTCGAAATCATGGCACCGAGACCGAGCACCGAAAACATTATACTCAACCATAGTAAGTTAGGCTCATGAGAGGCACTCCATAAAAGCTCATAGCGCCTCCAAAAATGCCGCTCGTGGATGAACGGAATGGCGAGGAACTTTGAGTTGAAGTAAGTCCTGACAAGGACATCTGCATCTTGACGAGAGGGCAAACTACTTCGAATATCGATGATTGTGATAGGACATATTCCTCCGATTGCAATGTCCGGTGCAACAGGTTGAAACTCAGACTCGTCATGGTGGTCAGGCTCATCTGGAGTATCAAGAACACTTTGAATATCATTGATGCTCTTGAATACAGCCTCCCATGATGTCTCTCCATGATACGCAGCATCAGAGCCTTCTTCCATTCCCAGAGATGAGTGTCCACTTAGACTCGTTCCTGTGCTTATATTGGTAGGCACACTGGAGGTTTTTGATGCCGCCGCGAGACGCATCACGATTTCTTCCAGCTTGGCCACTTTGAGCTGCATATCTTGCTTTCCTCCCGGAAACCCCGCATCTCCATAGATACAGATATTTGGATCGCCTCGCTTAAGGCAGGCGCCGCATGAGGGTTTTGCTCGGTCACACTTGGATTTGCGCTTCTGACATGCGGTGCAGGAGACAGGCTTTCGATTCCGTGTGACTTTGTGAGTGTCGGTGGCTCTGAAAACGCCAGTAAGATGCTTCATATTGGACTCGGTCATGACTCATTCATTGATTGGCCCGGTGATTATCTCAAGAATCACGAGTCTGAACGGTGTTTTTGGAATCGTCAATGATTGATGGCAGCGGCAACGTGAACTCGGCTGTTTAGTCACAACAAAGTTTGCTCGCAGTGGTATATAACTTTTGTTCGATATGAAAGAACAAAATTGAAAGATATGCGTGTATTAGACCTTTATGGGCTTTATCCGGTGATGATCGAGTGAGCGTTATTTGTGAGGTTTCTTAGTTGGGCGGAGATAACCTAAAGCGACCACATAACTCCACTCAATGAGAGCTGGCGTGGAATCGAGGCGAGCTTCATCGGATACAGGTAGTTCAGGGCCGAGAGAAGCTGGAAAACAAGAGAGAAGGCCACGAGCCTTAGGTATGGATAGTATAAAACATCTCAAAAGCCCGTCGTCGAGGAGAGATTCGGTTATTAAGTTGTTTAGAGTCGGCTTATTGAATGGCTCTCGGCCATGGAAATTCCTTAGACCACCTGCATATAGACACGTTTTTGGGATATGAATTAGTCAAATGATATATAACAGTTATACAATCCGAACTCCTCATTCGCTGTCGTGCGTGGTCTCTCATATTTATATCCAAAATTCCAGACATCATATGTCAACTCTATGATACATCATTGATGCTATATCGCAGCGATCGCCGTTCCGCTGCTTAGCCCATACCCATCTCATCCATTCCTGTCATGTTATACATTTATTGTAACTGGTGCTCTTCCAGCCTCTTCCTGTTCTCATCAATAATCTTTTCCATCATTTCCAGTGCCCGAGTTTGATCTTTTAACTTGGCAAAGGCTTTAAATGTATGCATATCTGGTTTGTATCCAGCAGCCTCAAGGTCTTGTAGTGCGTCAACCGTTCGAGACAGGTCCTGCATCGCAGCGTAGCCTTTGACAAGCGTGTTCCAAGTAATGGCATTGGGTTCCAAATTGTTTTCACGCAACGCTTGTCGGACTTGCTCTGCCAACATTGTCTCTCTTCGCATGAGAAGCCCATGAAGGAGAATACTGAAAGTGAACAAATTTGGTGCTGGGTGAACAGGAAAGTTTTCGCTCAAAATTCCTTGCTTGCCTTCCTCTGAAGGCTTGGCGATTAATGAGTCGCGAAGCATATCGCCAAAGACTTGTAGTGCTGGACGAAGGAGGACCTTTCGCTCCAGCATGACCAGAATCAGTGTGTCATGGATGATGCTTCCCTGTTCCTTGACTAGCTGTTGGGCTAAGTTCAGCTCAGTACCACGCTCTTCTAGACGGGATTTGAACCAGGTATAGAAAGACATCAAGTCGTAAGGCCGGTGGATTGTCTTGATGTATCCTCGCATCATAATTGCCAGCGTCTGCGTATTTGGTTTCCGTAAGGGGCCATCATTGCTATCAAAGAACTCATTCACGACAGGAACGATGGTGCTCTTGAAGTTCCAATGTCTTTGCGGACCCCACCTGAACTTTTCAGTGCCGTCCATGTTGTCTTGACTGAGAAGCAAGGGCAAAGTGTCGGGCAACAGCCACTGTAAAGGCTCCAGATCAAATCTTTTGGCGTAGACACGAAGCATAGGCCCAAACAAGGGTACCACATACGGTGCTGGATATCTTTTATCGCGGCTTTCCATCTCCGCAAAGTAAAAGATAGAATGGAGCGTATTGTTGAGTACATCAACAAGTGGTACCTTTGCTGCTCGAGCAACATCGAGGGCACGCTGTATGTTGAACGCTTTGAGGCTGTTTTTGGCACCCTTGAATACAGTGGTGTAGCACCGACGGTCAAGCTGAGCGCCGTTCTCCGCCAGCAATAGCGGAAGCCGAACAGCTTCATCGATGTCACCTTGCAAACATAGAGACTCGATCAAAGCCGTGAAGCTGACCAGGTTCGGAGAAAAGCCGCGTTCTAGAAAATATTCCATGGCACGCTGAGGTGAAAAGGAATCCTCCGACTCGGACCATGTGTGTTGTGGTCTTGGTTTAGTATGTAATAGCGTAGTGATAACACTCGCAATGGATGGTGAGTTCAGGTCGTGATTTTCTTCCGCAATACTGCGCAGAATCTGGAAAGCCTGTTCTTTGTGCGTATGGCTACGTCCAAGTTTACAGGCGAACTTCAGGAGTGTATTTCGATGTAGCTTGATTTCCGATCGTTGCAGAATCTGGAAAACCTCTGCTGTTTGCTCGACTGGCAACTTTGTAGCAACGAGACCTAAGGTGCTCTGACGTAGAGGAACATGACCAGAGGGTACGTCCGCTATCATCTTGGCGAAGAGTTCGAGCACCTCATCGGCCTTCGTGACACGGTCATGCATGACTTTGGTGTCCTTGAGATTCAAGGTCGAGATACAAAACTCAGCTACACCGGCCATCGCGTAACCGGGCGGAAGAGGATCTAAGGTAGCCTCGAGGACTTGGATGGCCTTTTCTGGACGTGCATAGAGGGTTGATAGCATAACGCCTGGCCATTTTTCCTTTCGTACTTCAACGTCCAGTTCGTTCCAGGTCTTCTCCATCTCCGAGACATTTTCCAGTTCGAACAGGAACTGCCCATCGTCTCGCCAGGAAAATGATTTCGGTTTAGTTTGGGCTGTAATTGCATCCAAGTTTGCATGCCAGGAGTTGAATTGCTTTTTCACAGTAACCAACTCATCGCCTGAGTATTGGTGGCGCAGATAGCCCCATTGATCGTACTTTTCCCTTTGCCTCTTTTCTCTTTCTTTTGCCTTTTGACGATATTCGGCAGCTTTTCGAATAGATTCCGGGTCCCGAGTCGGTCTTTGCTGATAAAAATGTGCGTCCGGCAATGTCTTTGAGGGGCCTTTGCTTCTTGTCTTTGATATTCGTCTATCTTTATGTTCCCGAAAGCTGCGCTGATCTTGGTTACTCCTCCATTGCGAACCAGAACTCGCTCGAGAGCCCTGCGTATCTTCGGCTGTACTGGTATCGGGTGAATTCGTAGTTGTTTTACGAAGCCGTAGTTGTGATAATATTTGAGTACCTTCTTCCGCATATGTTGAGCGTGCTTCACTATGGTATGGTCGATTCAGTATTGAGCGGTTCCTCGTTGTGTTCTGTCGTAAAGCGAGAGTTGCAGTCCTTCGTGTCCATGTCTGTGCCGTCACAGAGGACTCGAGCCTTGTGCAGGCACGGAGCATGAGAGCCGCTGGCATATCCTCCGGGTCGGCGTTAATTCCAGGTCAGACGCCTGCATAATGATCGCTAAGTGAATAGCGGTCTCGTCGCCGTCTCTCGTTGGGGCTGAAATTTGAGGTGGGTTAATGTTCTTGGTTGTAGAAAATCCAAATCTCTGCCCGCCCAAGTCGCTCATATGAACTGCCTCTATAAATTTTAGCTCAATTCTTAGGTAGTACCTACGGACCTCTAAAGCACGACCCCTGCCGACTGTTTTTTTAGTGGCGCTTGCCTGTCCGCGCCTACCTAAGTTAGTACCTTCTCAGCTGCAACTACGTTCATTGACGCGCTAGCTTCAGAAGGAAATGCATAGATCTTGAATTTCCATTTTACACCCCTCCAACCTTGAAGCTTCACCACATCGCGGTCATTTCAGCCCTATACTGACCTCACGTTCTTTACGCGCTTGTGTAATAATCTCGAATAATTTTTCACCATGTCCTCATCACACGCCAGCCTTAGCGCTGCTTCAGACGACCGAAAAGCTAGGCTCGCAAAGCTCAAGAACCTCAAGCGTAAACAACCAGCAGACGAAATTGTTGCGCCCGAATCAGAGCGAGCTGTTTCCCCTCCCACAGAACCAGATGTATCACGGCTACATGTGTCTGGTCGCAATTACGATCCCGAAACAAGAGGCCCTAAGCTTGGCTTCGAGCAAGATCCAACCCTTAGCCTTGAAAACCCGACCCTTGAAGAGCAAGCCGCTGAAGTCGAAGCTGAAATAAAGCAAAAAGCAGCAGAGGAGGCTCAGGATGAGAAAGGCGTCGATCTATTCAAACTACAACCGAAGAAGCCAAATTGGGATCTGAAGAGGGAACTCGACAGGAAGATGGAAGTTCTCAACGTCCGAACAGACAACGCAATCGCGCGCCTGGTACGCGATCGCATCACCGGCGCGCAAAAGGCCGCCAAAAAGGACAAGGCGGTCGATGATGCTGAGGGTACCGGTGAAGCGACTGGTATGGATGGTGTGGCGCTGGTTGAAGGCCTAAGACTTAGGGAACAAGAGGAAGAGGAAGAGGAGCGTCGCGAAAAGGAGGAGGAAGCTGCACTGGGCGCATAAAGGCTCGGCCTTTTCGTTGTACGTTAAAATGTTGTTTCGTTGCATTGTGTATTACATCTTGGGGGGTCCGGCGCCTTGTGCTGTCATGATAACACTATGTTTACAATTATACCCATAATCATCTTCCACCCTGCTTCATGGCCTTTGTCATGGCTAATCGTTGACTAAAAGGGCTCAGACTTCGCTCTCGTGCATTCTCTTGATGGCGACCACCGCGACCATTCCTCCTCCCATCAAATCCTCCACGAGGTGCAGGTCTCTCACGCTCGTGTCGAGTACCAGACCGATCGGGTCGCTCATCACGTCTTCCCCTAGACTGGGGCGACCTTGAACCCTCATCACGTCGACCTCGGTAGTCAACTGGACTGCGAGACCCCGATGAGTCCCTCCTCGATTGTTTCATATGAGCGTTGCCCCTATCAGAAGGCGGTGGATCGCGAGATCGATACTGACTATGACGTTCATGAGTTCCTAGAGAACGATCATCGCCAGACACAGATCGCTTGCGTTGAGTTTCAACACGGGGGCTCCGGCTGCGGTTCGAGCTGAAACTGCGACTGCGACTTTGAGTGCCGTCTCGATCGCGGCCTCGTGAGCTATCAGAATAAGGACTTCGTCCTCGGACTTTAGGTGACGCAGCTCTATCTTTGCCAGGAGAAGGGGATCTCGAAGCACCGGTAGAGAAAGTAGATACCGAATGAGAGGATACAGATCTGTGACGCTTCGTAGATGATTCGATCAACTCATCGTCTCTCTCCTCGCGCTCGCGCTTGCGTGCGCGTTCAGCATCTGCTTTAGCTAACTCTGCATCAGCAACACCTTCCCTGAGAGAACGTTAGTAAATGAGAAGAATTGGCTAGCCGAATCAACATACTTCTTTTCCAGAGGATTTAACGTCTCATTTGTCAACTTGGGCACAAGCTTGGGGTTCCGCAACTGCTGAGATCGTGATGGACGCGACACATACGGACGCTCCTGAGTAGTTGCTTTACATTCGTAAGAGTAGTGGCGTTCTAAGAAAGTCAGTACGGGCGCAAGTATGAGAGCACAAGAAACATATCTCTCTTCAGGCATTTCTGGCACTGAACATTGGCAGGCGTTGATCGCGATGGGCCGCCGCGACCTCTGTAACTAAACATTATGGGGTTGTAAGAGCCTCTTTGGCCAAGTGTAACTCTGTGTCTTGTTGGGAAACAAAATTGAAAAACCAAGTCAGCTCTTCGGTATGTCCTGATAATTGCGGAACGCCTGGACAAGTTTATTGCGCAGATCACTTGATGGACACTTTAGAGGCACCCTCGACTTGATGACCGCAAGGATGATTCTTGAGTGATGGCGTCTGTCCACGTGACCAAGTTTTAGATACGGAGTGAAGCACGTACCACATCACCAAGTTCGTGTTGATAGATCTAGGTACTATTCTAATTATCAGAAAAGTTGTCCCCTAGGCTCAGGATGACGGTGTTGAAGGGTCGAAATCCTGGTCTAATAAGCTGGCATAAAGTCAACAAAATATCTGTCTCTTAAGTTCTTGGTTCTCAGGGTTTCTATTGCCCTGACAGACCATATTACATCGAGTAGCTGAAACCTTACAGTGAGTGTACTGAAGGCAATGATCTAGGTTCGTTTAATCGCAATGATGGAGGCGACTGTATTTTGACTCTTATGACGGGCCTTTAAATGTGCTAAAGTTGTGGTGAGCCTCATCACATCCAGTGTTGGGCATGAAGTAGATCTCAGCGTGAACTAACTGAAATATGAGGAAAGGCACACACAACTGATAACTGTCGTGTGACAGCAATTCTGCTGGATAGATACTTATGTATCATTTGACCTGGCTGCCTGGGTACGCAACTGAGGAGCAAGGGTAGCGAAGACCAAATCTCGCCTACGCTTGAACAGTGGAATAAAACTTAAAGGAAAGGGGGACGCAAATACCAGATTCCATCTAGGTACCTGGCTGCCTGGTAAAGCAGTTGAGGTTGAAATTGAGGTACGTATTGCATTTACATGCAATGTCTTCTCTTGTTTCAACCTGGTCCCCAGCAAGAAACAGGCGCCACACAGTATCCAATACCTACCGGGCAGCAAAACCAGAAAGTGGCTGTGATTTAAGTCACAAACCAAGATCCATCCATGTAGGTACTACTTTAGTCCTCATAGATCACCAGAAGAGATTCTTCAACCACACTTGCGTTTTAGAGACACTTTGGTTTTGCACCCTTGACATTCAGCTGTTTGCCTGCGGAATCAGCAATCCGTGCCGACTCGAAGAAGTACAGAACCTGTAAATCTAACGAATACTGGGGAAGGGCTGAGGTCTGATAAGATTTCCACTTCACTGGCCCGTATTTCTTCATCTCCAGGCTTGATCTTGACATTGAGCTTGGTCGCCAGCCGCCTACCTACAATTTTAGTGGCTCGGGCACCTCCTTCCACTGTGCCCTGCCGTGCCGCTCGCTCCACAGCTGGAGGACCTGAGCAGCAAAGTAAAGTACCAGACAGTTATGTGAGCAGGCAGGTAACAGAAGAATTGGCTGCTACCTAGGAGTATGAGAGACAAAATAATCTAGTCGCTTTATTCTAGCTTAGACCAGTATTTAGGCTGTCTTATTATGATAACTCAAGCCTTGGAGGACAATTCTAATATCCTGAAGGTAGCCCAGCCCAGCCCGAGTAAAGTGACAACCTGAACCCAGTCAGTATAAAAGCCAGGGCAGGTGGGTAGGCAAAGTGACAGTGCACGTCCTTGTGACAACCTCCTCCTGGTTCCCCCTCCAAATCCTCGACTAACCAACTACATCCAATTGATCCCGCCCATCAGCAACATCACATCGCATCGCCTCGTTCTTTGCTGTACTGTGCGCTTTGGGCCGCCTTTTTGTCAGGAATCGGCTACTATCGATTCTTTTCACCTACTCTCCTCAAATACGCCCAACCTCAGATTTGGGTCTCTTGAGGTTCACTCTCGACTACCACCCCGATTTCGACTCGTCTCACTTCGAAAAAGAGACCGCATCTCAGTGTTGGAGATTGGGTAGCAACAAAACCTTGGACAATCGATCTAAATCAACAGGCGAACAATGCATCTTACGACACGACGATGAGCACCGAGACTCCGTTTTCCTTCTGCTGGTCCGCTTCCATCGAATTCGCTTCTTGATTTTCCTCGATACTGTCCTTTCTGTTCCCGTCATCACAGCTGCAGTCTCAGCCGCAGCCTCAACTCTAGCTTGGAGCCGCAGCCTCATATTGTGTGGTCAACCGTCGCTCTTACTATTCTGTCTCGAGCACCATAAAAATACCCACCGCCTGCGGTAGTGTACTGGCTCTGTAGCCTTTGTCAAAATCTATCATGGCTCCCACCCAAGTGTCTCCTGATATTCCCAAACCCTCTTTTGCCAAGGTAAAGTTTATCCCGTGTTGATCCCCTCTTTAAGTGGTTCTCCCTCGAAGGAACCTTATCCATTTATTGACCGACTAACTCATACTGTTCGACAGGTCGCTGCCTCCGTTTCGAAGGATTCTGCATCGCCCACGAGTCGACGGATAGCCACACCGTCCAAAGAAGCTACAATGAGCTCGACGACACCACCTATATCCACTACGCCTGTAATTGTGAATGGGCGATCTAGTAAGGCACCAGCCGTAAAAACACCCTCGCCGCAACATGGGACTACCGTCAGTTCAGCCGAACACAGAAGCGGTGTGGACGAGTTTGTCGGATCCCTGAATGATTTAAGCCTCAGAGAGAAGGCACCTAGCCTCGTCGTCAATGGCAGCGGACCCCTGGCACCTGAACGACCTGCGGTTATCGTTGGTAGAGATAGCGGGTCCGACGATTCTCAACGAGCCGATTCAAGCTCCGAACTCGGCACAAAGCCTCCCAGTTTGGATGGAAAGAGTATTACTTCAGGCACAACATTTGCCTTGGACGAGAAGGAATCATTAAGGCCTGACGATAGCGCCAGTGTTAAAGCCGCCGCAGAAGATGATGATGCGTTCTCTATTCGCGGCTCACTTGTCGCTGGCTCTCGTATGGGGTCCGAGGTAGCTGCTCGTGCCCGAGGTATTCCTCTGGGCGATATTCCCGAGCGCAGGCTACCACAACAAGCTCCAGGTGTTACGCCCCAGGGAGTTCTAACTCCGCAAAGCTCTTCATCGGAGCAGCCTCCTGGCGCCCCTCTGGATGCGGCTGGCTCTTCGGATGCGCTTGGTGTCATCTATCGCCAAGCGCCGGATGAAAAGCTTCTCGAAGCTATGGGCTCTTCCAAGGACAGGTTGTTCCTTCTCAGATTGGAGAAACAAGTCATTGATTTTGTGCAGGACTCCAAGTATGTCTACCTGCTTCGTTAGTTACCAGTCGTGCTAATCATTGTCTAGGGAGCCATATATGGACCTTCCACCGTCCAACTCATTCTGCAGGATGCTCACGCACAAATTGGCCGATTACTATCACATGACACACTCGTTCGAGCCTCATGTGGGATCTGTACGCATCTTCAGAACACCTTTCTGTCGAGTTCCCACTTCACTGGCGCTCATCAACCCAAGCCCAAGCGCCCCGAGCAGCAGCACACCTCCCCCGGTAGTTCTACCCAAGAAGATCATGCGACGTGGCCAAGATAGTGAGGGTGGCCCAAGTGCAAGCCCTTCTAAACCGGCTTCGGAGACTGGGAGTGATGCCAAAGACAAGCCTGCAGCCAACCAGAAGTATGTGTAGTTCCACAAGCTGTTGACAATATGCTGTACTGACAATTATAAGATTAACCCGGGAAGAGCGGGAAGAGCTTTACAAGCTCGCTCGTGAGCGCATTTTCGGCAGCTCAGAGGAAAACGTCGCAGGTATGTGATGACAATATCTCAGTATCTGAATCTAGCTGACATGGATGATAGAAGATGGTGATAACGGAATTTCAAGAGCTAGTTCAGTATCCGCTAAGGATAAGTCGAATGTTGGAAAGAGAGGCAAGACTGGCAAGCAGCGCCGTGACGATTCCGATAGCTTCGATTCACGACACCATTACACCCCATACTGGGGACCTCAGCAGCAGACATGGGTATCTCAGCCACAGTATATGCCACCTCAGAACCCCCAGTATGGCGCTCAAGCGCCATCAGGCGTCGCGTATCAAAACCAGTTGGGCCCGGTCTATGCCCAGCAAGGCCCTGGATATCCTGCGATGCCTGGCATGTCTGGCATGCCGCCAAACCAACCGTACCCTCAGTACTCCGTGCCTCCGGTAGGTTCCTCTTGAGCGGTAGATTGTTGACCATTACTGATTCGCAACCCCAGTACGCGGCTCCTCCTCAAGCCAACCAACAGAGATATCCGCCTGGAGGAAGTCCTATGACAAATTATGGTGCCCCGGTGCCTCCAGCCGGGTCGCAACAAGCGGGATGGCAACCAAGCTTTGCCCCTCCTGCCCAGTTCCAGCCGAGAGGGGGTACACCAACCGGCCCTCAGGGGCACATGGGTATTCCTTACGCTTTTGGACAACTCCCAGCAAATCTCAATCCCCACGACCCTAAGAGCCAACATCCAATTCCAGGGAGCTATAACCGAAACCATGCCTTCAACCCTAAGACGCAGTCGTTTGTGCCTGGTGGTGGTATGGCTCCTGTCCCGCCGCCCCAGCCGCCATTCACCGCCCCTGGATCTCATCACGGCAGCCCTCAGGTTGGATCACCCCATCTAGCTTACCCCGGCGCATACCAACAGCCGATGCCTCAGCCTTATGGGGGCGGATACGGCATGGTAAGGCAAGCGTCTAGCAGTTCTATGCCTGCGTACCATTCTCCTCGCGTGGCTCATGTCGCGCCGCCCCCCCCTGCGATGCCACCAAACCCCCAACACATGGCTCCTCAAGCTCACCCTCATAATCCCCAAGCTTACAATATTCCTAATCGACCCAACATACCACAAGGGCCTAGCCAACCCTTCTCGCATCTGCCAACATACGGCAACCCGGCATCTCTACCCCAGAAGCCGTCTACTGGAATTTAACAATAAACAAAAGGGGGAAGCATGATATGGTGTTCACAGATTGGGAGACCCATTAAGGCGTACACGGTATGTTTAGCATCTTGGCGTTATCGGTGGATAGGATGGACGGCATGAATTTGTAGGCCACGGCCCAATTTACTAGACGAGTTCAATACCACTTTGATATACTTCTTGGTAGGTGCAGATCAAGCTCAGGTTTGATAAATAAAAAAAGGAGGATAGATTCTTATGACGATTGAATTCAATTCTATGGCCAGGAGTGCCGGAATTTTCATGCCTACCACAACGCCATGATTTTTATTGAAACAATAACCCATGCTTCATCTCACATGCATGCCAGGGGGAATATCCTAGACTTTCTTGTCGGGACGTGACCTTCTTGTAACCTGGACTCCAATATCTAGTTCTCATTTCTTCTTTTCACCGAATTCCTTTACTCAGCAGGCTCGCGAGGTTCCCGGGGCTCCCGGGGCTCACGCTGTTGACCACCGCCTCGGCCGCCGCCTCGGCCACCTCGCTTGCCTCCCTGTCGGCCACCCTTCTCCTCTGACTTGCCCTCGCCTTCCTTCTCGTTGCCGGCCAGGTTGGCTGTCGCCAATCGCTGGGACAGATCGATCTGGGTACGGATAGTGTTGGCCAAGTAGCTGACCATAAGAACGTCCTGAATGTGGTTGTTGAAGTCGTGCTCAATCTGCGAGGGGTCGACCTTGGGAGCCAGAGACAGGGCGTTGAGGAGGTATTGGCCGACAACGTTGTTGGGCTCCTCATCCTCATCCAGAACACCGTTGATCCACTCGCTTGCTCGGTCAAGAAGGCTGATAGTCTGCTCGATCGATCGTCCGAGACCCTCGATATCAGAAACGAGAGGGGCCGTTCGGGATTCGGCGTCCTTTGCGCTGGCGATGGCCTCGAGAGCACTTCGGTCGGCGTCACCGTAGAGGATCTTGTGGGGAACTTGAATAAAGAGACAGCTGTCGGCAGCACGCTCAGCGTTGACGGCAACAGGGGCGCTGATATAGCATCGAGACTGGATATCCTCGCCAGGCTCGGTAGAGATGGTCATGTGGATGGCGGGGTGGGGGAATGTGCCGGTATCCTGGTTGCCGAAGAAGTTCTGGATGAGAGCGCTGAAGCTGTTGAGTTCGTGGGAGGTGGTGTACCAGCCGAGGAGGGACTCGCCGCGGTTGGCCTTGAGAGTCAAAGCAAGCATGTTCTTCTGGTACTCGACATCGACCTCGACCTGGTCCTCCTCTTCGGTGTGGGGGATGGCAAAGCATGAGCGAACCTCGACTTCGGTGCCATCTTCAGATCGGGTGCCAACGAGGGCGCCGATGACTCGGGTGGACTGGGTATCTCGGATGTCTCGTCGAACAGCGTGGTCAAGGATGGAGAGGACAGCCTACAGATAAAAAAGAAAGAATGTTAGTCGGGAGAGTTTCTTTGACAGAAGCCTCGAATATCAAAACACCATGATGGTCGAGGCGAGAGGGGTCATCGCAATCGAACCGTACCTGAGGCTGGATATTGACAGTGAGCGGGGCAAGGTTAGTCTGGAGGCCGACAGTATTGGGCGCCAAAGGCCTCGCCAGGTGGATGAAGCTCTCAGAAGCAGCGGCAGCCATACTGGGCAACTTGGAGCTGGATATATTAGAAGATGTAGGTGTATGCGGAGAAATGGGTGAGGCCGGGCCGGGTCTTCTCTGATCTCTTTCGCGAAGCCGTCCTAAATTTCGCCGATTTTGAAGAATTGCAGGTTTGGCGGGAAAGGCTGGGGTTGTGCGCGCTAAGATTAGGGAGATAAGAGCGTTTAGTGGCGCAGTTGTAAGAACCCCCACCATTATGTGGCTTGACTGCGCAAGGCTGACGGTAGCCTTATAACTTTTTTTTACAATTTTGTTTAACATCAAGAATCTTTTCATAAACAACGTTACCACATACTCGTTGTGATCAGATTCTACGATATTCCTCTCCTTTACACCTAACATAATGCCACCACGTGGAAGAGGAGGAAATTTCAGAGGCCGCGGCGGTCGTGGTAGAGGAAGAGGTGGTCGAGGAGGTAAAGCGACAAGCCGATTTGGACCTAATCGCCGATTCGACGGGACCCGACTGGCAGACAATGATGGGTAAGTAAAAAGGCGTAAAGCCGTCGAAATCGATTGGGATATTCACTGAACTTATGTATCAGCTCAGAAAGCTCCGGATCGGAACCAGAATCTGCGCCTGAAGATACAGTAATGGATGACATTGAATCCGAGGACGACGACGAAGAACAAACCACATCTTCGAAACCTTACATGGCTCTTCTACAAAGCTTCAACAACGAGAGCAGTGCCCCTAACGCTAAGCGACGGAAGTTAGATCATCAGGAATCTACCCAGTCTCGACGGGACGAAGACTCCTCCGATGAGGAAGGAGATGAAGATGAAGAAGATGCTGAGAAAGACATCGACCGTGCCGAGGATGAGCCCGAAGATCAAGTCGAGGAACAAATAGACGAAGACGATGAGGATTCCGAAGATGATGAAGATCCCAGCGATCCCTTCGATGTTCACTTTGCGCATCCCGATGATGATGCTGTCGCAAAAAGAGTCAACTCAGTACAGAAGGGCAATTGGGCAACAAAACGAGCGCTATTACAAAACTCGAGGGCGACAATCATGTACCCATCATCTGATGCAGGTGCTGAAGCACCCAAGCCTGTTGACGGACTCGATGGTCTGCAACTCAAGCAGAAGCTCAAGGAAACTTCATCTCGCAAAATTGGCGAGTTCGACGCTGTTCAGCGCAATCTGAGCCCATTGCTCTTCAACTACAACGATGTCCTGTTTTGCGATCGCACAGTACGAAACTCGGACTCGCTGCGAGAGTTGACATGCCTCCATGCCCTCAACCATGTTTTCAAGTGAGTTCACAAGGCTTTCGTCTATCATATGAAATCCGCTAATGGCAAAAGAACGCGAGATCGAGTCATCAAGAACAACTACAAGCTGGCTAAAGAGGGCCAAGATACCGATTTGGAACTTCGGGATCAAGGCTTCACGCGGCCCAAGGTCCTCTTCCTTCTACCCACACGCAACTCTTGTCTTCGTATGGTAAACATGATTCGTGATCTTTGTCAGCCGGACCAGCAAGAAAACCGAAAGCGATTTGACGACGGCTACGTGGATAAGGAGACCAAGTTTGGTGCAGACAGACCAGCTGATTTCAAGGATCTTTTCGAGGGAAGCGACGACGATATGTTCCGCTTGGGCATGAAGTTTACTCGCAAGACTATCAAATATTTTGCGCAATTCTATAACTCAGATATTCTTTTCGCCAGTCCATTGGGCCTGCGAATGGCCATTGGCTCCGAGGAGGATAAGAAACTTGACTTCGATTTCCTGAGCTCGGTCGAGATGGTCGTTGTTGACCAAGCTGATGCTCTTCTCATGCAAAACTGGGAGCACGTCGAGTTCATCTTTGAGCACTTGAATCTTCAACCCAAGGATGCTCATGGTTGTGACTTCAGTCGTGTACGAAACTGGTACTTGGAGGATTGGGCGAAGTATTTCAGGCAAACAGTTATCTTGTCTGCCTTCAACACGCCTGAGTTGTCCGAGTTGCTTCGCTTGCATTGCCACAACTGGGCTGGAAAGGTTCGGTTGCAGCCTGAATATCCCGGCATGCTATCACAGCTTGGTATCAAGGTAAAGCAGACCTTCTCAAGGTTCCAGTCTAGCTCGGTCGACAAAGACCCTGATGCTAGGTTTGAGTACTTTACTTCTGCCATTATTCCCTCACTCGCCAAGCGGGCAAAGGATGCTACTGGTACTCTCATCTTCATCCCTTCCTATCTTGATTTTGTTCGTGTGCGCAACTACTTTGCTACATCAAGCGCCGTAGAGAACGTCACATTTGGCGCGATCTCCGAGTACGCGGACGTCCCAGAAGCATCCCGAGCGCGCTCGCACTTCCTTAACGGTCGTCACCGCGTGTTGCTATACACCGAACGAGCGCATCACTTTCGACGATACCAATTCCGCGGTGTGCAGCGAGTTATCTTTTACGGATTACCTGACAACCCCATCTTCTATAATGAGATTGCGGGTGGATATCTTAGCAAGAGTGAGCAGGATCTACGGCTTGAACCTGGCCAGGGAACTGTCAAGGTCGTGTTCTCCAAGTACGATGTGATGAAGTTGGAGCGAATTGTGGGATCCAAGAGAGTTGGTAAGATGATTCAGGACCGCGGCGATACCTTTGAATTTATTTAGATGTGTCTTACTTCAGGAGTATATTGGAAAAGTTGATATATAATTTGGGCAGAGGTTCAACATTTAATTGAAAAATCAAATTAGATGAAACCGACATGTCATGATACAATAATTGATACAGTTCTTTTGCGCAGAGCCTCGCCCTCCTCGTGATATGGTACAGCTCGCTTCGATGGCGATTTCTTTTATTGTGATGTCTTCTTCACTGACTCTGGCACGATTCCTGCGGCCATCTCCTTTGCCCGCTCAGCATTCTTATCAGCCATCTTTGCAGACTCAACCTCGGCCAAGCTGCTCTCGTCTCTTTGTGGTACAGTCTCGTCATTGGCCTTGAGAACCATAAACCTTCGCACCATCTCCTCGAAGGGCTCCTCGCCGCGGAACTGTGTGACCTTCTTCATGTTCGTCCTTGTAACTGGTGTGTGCTTCATTCCAAGCATACGGTCGCGGGCGACTGTCTTGGCAGTCATCATAAAACGTGAGTCCTTGGGACCGTCGACAAATTCGAGGATGGCGCTCTCGCCCTGGTCGTAGGTGTTCTTGGACTCGGTGCGAACCACACGAGTGTAGCCGCCCTCTCGATCCAAATATCGTGATCTTAGCTCGCCTAATAGTTTGGGTAGAAGTGTGTGCGGTGTCTGCGAGAATCTTTTAGCATAGTGGTCGCATGAAATGATTGATTCGACATACGTATAGGATACCCTGTGCTGATCTTCGTGCGGGTTCGTTATCCCTCTTTGCCAATGTGATAAGCTTCTCTGCCATGCGCTGGGCCTCCTTTGCCTTGGCATATGTTGTGTGGATTTGTTCGTGTTGGACGAGTTGAGATACAAGACCGCGCAGCAGCGCCATACGAGCTGCTGAGTTGCGGCTCAGATGCCGATATTTGACGGTACCACCAGCCATTGTAGCGGAATTCTAGGGTCTCTGATCAATTGGGAGGGCGATTTTCAGTTCGGAGAAAACGAATTCGCTTGCGTTTTCTTATTGTCGTTGTCCTGTACGTGGGCGCCACCTCTCCGATCCGCAAGTCTGCCTCTCTTGGTCGGTCAGTTTTTGGTGGAGGGAAATTTTTGGCTGGGACTTTTCGGAGCCGGCTTGTCTTGTCTGCCGAAAGAGCCTCTGCGCTACGTCAACCCACCACCATCAGAACCTCTTCAACAGCTTCCTAAAGGGAGAATTGCACGCGATACGGGGGCAATTGAGCTCGCGCACGCTATGATACGTTGTTTTTAAGCTTTAACCGACCGTCGTTTTCAATCTGGTCGTCTATCGATACATCAAGAACCCGACAAATTACCGCATCCATATCGGCCTACTGGGCAAAGCTCTAACAACATAAATCATGGGCTTCACCACCGGCTTTGTGCGTGACTTTATGAGCAACAATGCTCTATCTCGCATGGATTAAATTGCTGACTCGATTGTTAGACCGGCGGTGTTACACTGACCCTCTCCCTCGCCTACCTTTCAGTGCTCGCTCACCAACGTACTCGTGAGCAACAAGGCTCAGCACTTCGCGCCCAAGCTCTTGCTCTTCAGGGCTTGATCGATCCTTTGCCACCGCTGCCACCACCCACGCGGTCCGAAGTTGCTGCTGCTCAGAGGGCCAAGACTGTCGAGATCGCCAAGGACCGATGGAACACTGAAGTCGAGAACGCAGCGCGATGGGTACAGCACACCGATTGGGTTCAAGTGCGCGAAGGCCTTGAGGAGACTGCATCACGACTTTGGGCTCGAGCTGTCGGCGCTAGCCCTTCAGAAGTTGTCGAGGAGGCTGGACAAAAAGCAAAGGCGGCCGAGCAACGGGCCAAGCCCTTTGTGAAAGAGGAGGCCGCTAAGCTCGGCGACGCCAGTGGAAAGGTTGCTGCGGCAGCTAAGAGCGCTTATAAGAAGGCAAAGGCTGAGAGCAAGGAGTTTGCTAGCATTGCTCTGGATCACAGCAAGGATAAGGAAAACGTCGATATTGCTCAAGAGGACGGAGCTCTTTCCGCGCTGACTCCTGTGGAACGAGCCCTGCAGCAACGATTTAACAAGCCCGAGGACAAGGTGAACAAAACGGTGGAGGATGCACTGAACGAGCGATACAAGCCTATGGACTCCAGGGACAACACACAACTGAGGGGAGTCTAAGGCGTTCAACAAAAGGATCGGATGATTGGCGATGCATGAATGGAGACTGTGATTTATTCGTTGTACACTGCTACTGTACCACTAGTTCTTTGAGTCACTCAAATAGAAACCGAGCTTGGGAATGCTTGGTATGATCAACAGAACTGCTGCAATAAGTGAGTTCATATGATAATGGCTGCTGATAATCACTCTTCAGTATGAGTATATATATAAGGTGGTTGAACTATACCAAAGAATTACCCCTTCCTCGTTATACTCTATTTTCTGGTCCATAACACCTTCAATCATTTACCAAGCGATAGTATTATAGAACACCCATCCGTCATGTCTGGTGAAGGGTCTAAGTCGAGGAGCAACACACATCACGAAAGTGAGCATAGCAAAAGCCACGGTGGCAGAAGCCATGGTAGCAGAAGCCATGGTAGCAGAAGCAGGAGAAGCGGCCACAGTATTAGCAGACATCACGGCAGGCCGCCGTTTATGGCTATGTTGCTTTGCTGCACCGACTCTTGGGGTCCCTACAACGCTCCCCCTATGAAGAGATCTACTGGGAAGTCGAGATCACACGGACCTAAGCACAGTCATAAACACAAACATTCAAAGAAGAGTTCTCATACAGCAACCGAGTCTCGTGTGGGACATTGGGTTGACGAGGTGTCAAGTGAAGCACCACCGGCAGGGGAGCCGCCAGCAGAAGAGCCGCCAACAGAAGAACCAGCTGAAAAGCCACCGGCTGAGGAGCCCTCAACTGAAGAAGCTTCAGCTAAGAGAGCGTCAACCGAAAAGCCGCCACCTCAATCTACAGCAAAAGAATCACCACCCGCTGCTGCATAGGCTTCAACAGAATCTCACATAAGTGACTGAAGCTCCTACACTTTGAGCATAGTATATATAGAGAGTAACAACAGTTTATGACTAAATATAAAGGCCACTGGAGTATTTATGGTGATGTGAAGCTGCATGTGAATGGCGTCCGGAAATCAACAGTTCTAGCATGATTTCATGTGAAATGAGAGTCAGCTTCGATTTCCGGTTAAGTTATTAACAATAAACCTACCAAATACAACAGTTCAAGAGAAATGACACATAAAGCTCGTAGTTTACTTCGTTCTATTCGCTGTGATGATAAAGTTCCGCGGGTGTCTTTACAGGTGACCACGTATACTTGTCAAAAACTGCAACTTTACGGGCTGCTTTGTTACTCTTTCTCCAACTACACTGAATTCCACTTCACATATCAACTGTTTCGTCATGTTTTCCATTAAGCAGCAAACAGGACTCGACTCTCTACTTGATCGTCGTCGTCAACGCCCATCGAGATGGGAAAGGTTTTGGTCTACGCCATGCGCTTTTCTAGCACAATGCATCTACACGCGTCGGCGCATCACCCAGAACCCCCCAACAAACCCTTTGGAAATAGTATGCATTTCAGACATGCATAATTACCTGCCAGACTTGCCTTCCGGAGATGTCCTCATTCATGCCGGGGATCTTACACAGTCAGGCTCGTTGAAAGAACTCAAGGCAGTCATCACTTGGCTCAACTCTCAGCCGCATCCACACAAAATGAGTTTCCTCCCCTTGCCGAGGTAGTTCTTGCATTGATATATGACTAACCATTACCACATTGTCGTAGCAGGTAACCATGACATTTCACTTCAGAGAACCCGCAATTGCACCAAGATATCCGAAGCCGCAAAAGAAGTGCTTGACTGGGGAGACTGCATCTATCTCGAGAACGAGGCCAAAACCATCACCTGCGCCAACGGTCGACAGTTAAAAATCTACGGAAGTCCGCTTTCGGTTTGTAATGGAAATTGGCCTTTCCAGTACCCTCGGACCGAAGATATATGGTCAGAAACGGTTCCAGACGACGCAGATATTGTCATTACTCACGGCCCACCATTTGGCCATCTCGACTTGAATTTCGGTTGCCATCATCTTCTACGGGAAATTTGGCGTGTCCGTCCCCTGTTGCATGTTTTTGGGCATATACACGAAGGATATGGGCACGAATGGACCGTCTTTGATGGACTACAAAAGGCGTATGAACGGGTATTAGCGAAAGGTGGGGTCTTGAATTTACTGGTAGTTGTCAACGAGATGCTAGTCTCGTTCTGTAGGGCTGAGAGAGTGGCGGCTTGTCAACTTGTCAATCCTGCAATTATGGGAGGGCTACGGGACGATGAGAGAAGACAACCTGTAACCGTGATTATCTGATATCGTTTACCACGTTGGGGGCATCTTGTTAGAGTCTGGGTTGGGAAACATGCATCAAAGTAACACAAAACTTTGACGCTAGCATTGTGGAAGACGGAAGATGTATGTATGTATCAATCGGGCAGGTCTTCTGCCGTCCGTCCTAAGCGGAGTGCTTCGCCAGTGAAATGTTCAAGGCTGAGACATGGCGAGCTGAGAGATGATTTGGCTCAGCTTATCTGCATAGCACCGATATTTTGTATCCGAATACGGCGGGAGAGAAACCCCGACTTAATATCCGAATCTGACTCCTTATTTGGAATGAGAGGATAAATCATCCCGAGGAGATGTAAAGTGTCAAGAACAGTCACGCGATATCTTTACCATTGCTCTGGTTCTCCGGAGACCATCCCCCCACTCGGTCCGTCCTCCGGGGACAGGGACCGGTAGCGGCCGGAAGGGTAGAAATATGGAAGGCCTTACATGGAGATGGAGGTGAAGAAGTGATTAGCAAAGCTGGGGTCATCATTGGCTTGCGGGGGCCGGCAGTTTTCAGCGGCTTCTGCAGTACAGCTAGTTTCTAAGAGGACAATTGTGAAAAGAATAAGAGCAGATAGGAAAGGCTCAATGGCATTCTCTCAATCTATTGACGTGTGCAGTCAGTCCCTGATGAATATTTTTGTTCCGAGGTTCTTTCTTCAGGGTTACCTAGATCTGGTTCGATGCGATTGCGAGACCGGTAGTCGCCGGCGCAGGGCAAGTACGACTAAGACTATTGAGGAAATTTTCCAGTGGCAAGCGAAGGCGATTGGCAGTTTCAATGGAGTCGGTGGGCGATTGGTTCTTTTGATTGGCCAAGCCACGGACTTTCCGAACATGACCGATTATGCCGTTTTGCACATGAGCGAAAAGGAAGTCGCTGACGGGCTGAAGTGAAATATAGCGGCACTCTCATTGGCAATTGCCATTGCTATTGATCCAACACCAAATCCCTTTTATCATCCTTCGCCCTCCCCCATCTTCTTGATTTACGTTTGCACTCTTCATTCTTCATCCTCCAACTCTTCTGATACCCCCCCTCATTGTTTGTGTTTTTGTGTTGTGTTGTTTCATCTTCTCATCTCGAAACACTCGCCATCCTCTCCCCGACCTATCCCGCCTATCGCAAGGACCCCCAGTTGAGTTTTTGGCCACCTGGATGCCCGCCATCTCCGTCGCGCTCTGAAACTTTCGCTTTCCGACTTGAACAAAACACACATCTCAATTCACGAAACGATCCCAATCGCCTCATCCACCATGTCTTTCTCTAGCCTCGTTCAAGACTTGAGCCTCCGCGACGCCAATGGCGCTCGCCGTCCCCAAATTGGCCCCCGCTCATCCGCTTCCACTATCGACGATAGAGCCTCGCACGTCTCGAGGGCCATGTCCTACGCCAGCACCGCCGCCACCAGCGTCAGCATCTCGGGTGATATTTCAAGCCAGCTCCATGGCGGATATTTTCACCCTCTCGCCCGCTCATGGCAGGCTGAGCGTCAGCTCACCAAGGTATGCAACGCGAAATGCGCACAAAAACATGTCTGACCAAAATAGTCCATGCTTATCTACCCCATTTTCGTCACCGATGGCGAGGGCGATATGATTCTCGTTCCTTCTCTCCCTGGTCAGCACCAGCTCAGCTGTGACAAGCTGATCCCTTTCCTCGAGCCTCTAGTGCACAAGGGTCTTCGCTCCGTTATGCTCTTTGGTGTTCCTATGCAACCCGGTACCAAGGATGCTCTTGGCACTGCTGCCGACGACCCCGAAGGTCCCGTTATCCGAGCCATCCAAGTCATCCGCCGTCGTTTCCCTCAACTTTTTATCTGCTGTGACGTCTGTCTTTGCGAGTACACCTCTCACGGCCACTGTGGTATTCTTCGTGATGATGGCAGCCTTAACAACCAACTATCAGTCGACCGTATCTCGGATGTCGCTATCGCTTACGCCAAGGCCGGTGCTCAATGTGTTGCTCCTTCCGATATGAACGATGGTCGTATTCGCGCTATCAAGCTAAAGCTGATCGAGGAGGGAATCGCTCACAAGACGGTTCTCATGTCTTACTCTGCTAAATTCTCTGGCTGTTTGTACGGCCCTTTCCGAGATGCTGCTGGCTCAGCGCCTTCATTCGGCGACCGCAAGTGCTACCAGCTTCCTCCTGGTGGTCGCGGTCTTGCTCGACGTGCTATTGTTCGAGACATCAACGAGGGAGCCGACATCATTATGGTCAAGCCTGCTAGTCAGTATCTCGACATTATCAGTGACGCTAAAGACTTGGGCAAGGATCTTCCTGTGGCCGCATACCAGGTCAGTGGTGAATACGCCATGATCCACGCTGGAGCCAAGGCCGGTGTCTTTGACCTTAAGGCCATGGCCTTCGAGTCGACGGAGGGCATTCTTCGAGCTGGTGCCACCATCGTGGTTAGCTACTTCACCCCCGACTTCCTCGACTGGCTCGAGAACTAGACGACCATACACGATAAAAGGGCTGTTTTTCGGGAGTTAAAGGTGTTCAAGTAAAAAATGGGGCGTTTCTATTTAGCCATGAGCCAGGCTTTTGTTGCATTTGCATTGATTTACCGGACAGTCATCCTACAAATAGTACGTGATGTCGCTCGCTTACGATGATGGATATTATGTAAAATGTACAATACGATAAATTTTACTCTAGTCCTTGGTATCTGGAACGATGAACACTGGTGACAGGTGTGAGTGGTTTTGCTTATCTGTTACTGGTGGAAAACTAAAAGCTCGAAACGATGCCAGCTATAGTATAATGCTGAAAAAGTTGCGAGTACGCTTGAAGAAAGCTCATAAGATATAAATTAAGAGACTGGCATGTTTTCCAGAGCGACGTGCACTCATAAGAGTAAGAGTATCAGGCAAACAAGGCGGTTAGACGACAACGCCGTTTCCCGACTTGCTTTGTCACAGAGTAGATGGTGCAAGGTACAGTCAGTAAAAGTAGTGGTAGTGGCGATGACCATGCTGATCAATGAACAAATTGCACCCATTCATACTGAGAGCGGTGAAGTTGCAAGTGTCATGATACGAGATGAGGCTAGGGCAATTTACATATGTATCAAGGTACGGTAGTTTTAGACATTCATTGGACTGTATTGAGACGGTATAGTAACACTATATATCAGTCAGCCCCATGATTCTGTTGTCGTCAGCCATGAACTCAAGACGCGCCGTGTTGTTGACACCCTGCACCCATGTGGAGAGGGACGTGCTTACGAGAATACATATGAACATGTGGTTGGGGGCATGTGGATGACAGCAGAAAGCTTTGCTAGTTGTTTCGTGTTGATGAAGAGACAGATGCACAGAGATAGGCGGGTAGATCGGACCTAGAGATCGGGCCCTAGAGATCGGACTTTGGATGACGAACCAACAGATGCCAAGCCTCGATCAACTACTGTATGTGCTGGATTACTCAAGGTTCGCTCAGGACTTGGATTGAGTTTCAATCTATCACATCGCAATATGGGTGGTTGTGGCTGATAGCAACGGGCGTGGTTTACGGCATCTATTTTGCTGCGTTACGCTTCACCGGGATTATTGTCGAGTTTGTAACGTCGGGACTACTACCCTAATCGTCCTGCCGAGTAGCCGTGTGCTACAATGCACTTTGCTTTGTCTTTGTTGTGATGACGCTTGAGTTGTGATCATCAGGGCGGGTTTCCCGTCCTGTGCCACTGAGGCTGTTTCTTAATGGCGCCGTCGTAAAGATAATAGCCGCTTAGCAGATCCAAACAAATCCAGTGGCTGTCAAACGTAAAGCTTGACTAACTGTCCTGACGCTTCTGTTTTGTGCTTGACGGGTAAAGGTGAAACCCAGTGAGATATCTACTACAGTATGCACGGTGGAAAAATTGAGTACGCGCGTTTCCAAGCTACCATCCTGGCATTGGACACCCAGACACCCCATGGTTTGGAAATAATCGGGTCTGGTGGGTGGGTCAATGTGAATGTTCGACGTCAGGAGTCAGGACGAAACAATGAGCATGAGTGTCATTGATTTAGGTGAGGGAAACATTTGTTTTGCGTGCGATGCAAATGTAAATCGTCAAGCCTGGAGATGGAAGGATTCGATAAAGACAATACCGTTGTTGGTAGTCTATTTAAAGTGTGTAATGTTAGTTGGTAGTCAGATGGAAATAACAAAATACGTGAACCAACAAACTTGAGTTACCCAATCTGTTCAGATGGACAGGGGTAGGCACCTTAGTTTTTCTTGGCCAAGGCTTGTTCTTGCTCTACCCCTGGTACCTGAGACCCCCCGGTTTTAGGTTAGTTAGAGGTCTTGGTCTTAGTGTGCACGAACAAAGCATGTTATTGTTTATTAAGACGCCGACTATATATAGCCGAGCACTTATAGTATGCTGTGTAAGTGCCGCTTTACCGGCTCTATCTCTTCATGCTTCATGCTTGGCGTTTTGAATTTCGTATTCTCAACATCTTCATTGATTGGGTACCTAGGTCATTGAATCGACGGCTGCATCCCAGGTAGGTCCCGCGATCATCATCTCAAGCTTCGCCAAGTGACGACTACGTTCTGTTCTTTGACGACAAAATCTGCAGATCGCTACCCACTATCCTAGACTAGCTAATTCGACTACGACTGAACTGACAGAAGATCAGTACAGTACAGTACAGTAGTTAGGTGGGTAATCTGAGGTGGTGTTCGTATCTGCTGAAACGGGGCGTCTTGAAGCAAACCAAATCAAGCCATGGGCTGCATTGAAACGCAACATGTCCCCAGTGATTGTCGTTTTGGTTTACGGGGCGGTGCGAAGTGGTAGGTCGCTTACGACCATTCATTTATGCCATTGGATCCCAGGAGGTACCTAAGGTATCTTTGTTGCAGGTACCTATGTAATCGGAAGCCCGTCGGGAAGCTTGCTGTCACTCCCATGGCAGCGAGTGACACTGTGAGATAGGCACATACTGTATAACATTGAGTGTCGTCAATCATATGTATACTAGAGTTTCCCTCCTTGTTTCCTGCTTCCCATTTATTTCGTCCCGTCAGGATCGACGTTTGTGTTTCCCAACTGTCAAAAGCAGCAGAGATTCCCTGGTGGTTATCTCTCTTGGCATCCCTCGGCGTTTCTCTTCCTCCTCCACAAACCATCTCCCCATCTTTCCATCCATCTCTCTCCGCAACGATCGTCTAGATCTCTGACCAGAATTTTGTCTGTTGAAGTCTTGATTGTTGTCTTTTTACTCTTTTCTTTTTCTTTTGCTGTTGATGCATTGGATACCCTAAAATATTGTGACGATTGCTGCCTTCCAGTTGTTTCCTCAACGAGGCCATTTTTGGTTTGCTCCTTCCGCAGTCGTTCTTGCCGGGCTCTTTCCTGACTTGCAAAACCTACCACCACAACCACTCCTTCCTATTCGGCTTCCAAATTCTCTTACTCATCCCATTTCCACCACGCCATCTCTGGCCTCGCTCTTCCAAAAATGGCCCGTCACTCTCCTAGTATACACTCTCTCTCGGACGAAGAGAAGATGGGTTTTCTCGACAACAGGTCCGTCTCTGACGTTGACAGCGACAGCGGTCGGGACGACCACGATCACCGACCTCACTACGAGAAATGGGCCGGCCCCATTCTCGCTCCCGTTGACTACGTCCGCTCAACTCCTTGGAGGGTCTACCTCGTTCGTTTCGCCTGGTTCTTCGTTCCTAGCTATCTTCAAGGACGACATGCCCGGGACCAGATCCGACCAGCTAGGCTCTCGCCCACTGCCTATCTTGACGGCATGCGAGGTGTTGCCGCCTTGGTTGTCCTGTTCTGCCATTTCTTCTACCAGGCTTTTATCATTGCCAAAGGTTGGGGATGCGATGATGCTCACTACAATATTCTAAAACTACCAATCCTTCGACTATGGTACCAGGGTCCTCCTGCTGTCTGTCTTTTCTTTGTTATTTCCGGATATGCCCTCTCCTATCGGCCCCTTAAACTCATCCGAAGCCGAAACTCTCAGGACTTCTCTACCACTATGAGTTCTCTTGTATTTCGACGAGGCATTCGTCTCTACCTTCCTACTGCTATCTCGACCCTGATGATCGTTACCTTTATTCGCCTTGGAGTCTACGAAAAGACTCGGGAGTTTGCTATGGACCGCACTTACATGAGGAATGTCAGAGAGCCTCACCCACCACGCCTCGCAACAAATTATGCTCAATTTGCCGACTGGGCTAGGGACATGTTCAAATTTTTTCATGTCTTCGGCTGGAAGACTCATGGCGGAAGTACTAGTAAGTCAGCACGGTCATACAGGTGAACTTTACTAACGGCATATCAAGACTATGACCAACACCTATGGACTATCCCCGTTGAGTTTCGATGTTCGCTGTACCTGTTCCTTACCCTGATCGCAACTGCTCGACTTAGAACCCAGTACCGATTGATTACTGTCTTCAGCATCATGGCTTTCACCTACAGAAACTCGCGTTGGGAGTTCCTTATGTTCCTGTGTGGTATGGTTCTTGCCGAGATCGATCTTATTCGCGGCGCTCATGTTTCCCCTCCTGCCCTCCCAATGGAGGAGAAGACCTCATCCGCTCGTCCCAGATGGCACCAACGCATCTTCTGGGGTATGGTTAGCATCGCGGGTCTCTATCTCATGAGCCAGCCCGATCAGGGTGGTGAAAGAACACCTGGGTGGATATATCTCACGTCGTTGATACCTAAGTGGTGGGACGCCGAGAAATACAGATATTGGCAATGTGCTGGAGCTGTTGTTTTCACCCTCGCAGTGAGTCGCTCGGCTAACTGGCAACGCGTCTTCAATTCGGCTTCCGTGCAATACCTAGGCAAAATCTCATATGCCCTTTATCTTATGCATGGACCCGCCATCCATGCGGTCGGATACCACTTTGAGAAATGGGCCTACAGCGTGACGGGTACTGAAGGACACCGTTTCACTGCTGGATTTATTTTGAGCTCACTCTTCGTGATTCCAACCATCTTCTGGTGGGCCGATATTTTCTGGCGAGCTGTAGATATCCCCACGGTCAAGTTCGCCAAGTGGTGGGAGAACAAGCTCACGGCCAAGGTGGACTAGAGTTCATGGAGCAAGGAAGGGGAAGAAAGAAGAAAAAGAAAAAAGAAAACGGGTTCATGATATTCGGCGTTCTTCGATTCGAGTCTTACAGGGTTGGGCCTATGGAGGCTGGTCTTCACAATTAAGGCCCATTGCGTGGCGTTCAGGCGGTTGATTTTTGTTATACAGGACGCGATAAAGTAGAGGAAGTAGCGACTTCATCTTGTTCCTGAGAGACTCATGAGGTTTCGAATCTGTATTGTCAGAATTCCGACTTTGATGCTGAGTTATTAAACAGTTATTATTAAAAGAAATGTTATACCGTCTAGGAGCTCAATCTGTAGTTACAGCTAGTTAGCTTGTCGACTGGGCTTAGATTCTCACGTCCTGGTCGATAGTGCCAACACAGGCACATAAATCAATCAATCAATCATATCTCTCTCTTGTCTAGAAATCGCCTGTATACATGTCTAGATGGTATTCTGTTATTGTTGAGCAGTCTGTTGTATATACCCAAAGTTACAACCTCAGGTCTTAAGGTGGTACCACTGCTTTTATTTCAACTGTTATAGGGTATAGACTACCTCGATTCTTCATCACGAGGTCGTGTGTATACCCTTTTCCCCGCCACCCAAGTCTCCTTCACTTTCAATGTCCGTAACTCTTCGACGTTATAAGACTCGATAGGTTTATCAAGGACAACCCAATCAGCCAGTGCACCCTCGCGAATGACACCAGCACGGCCGTCAAGAAAGGCACCATAAGCAGGAGCGCCAGTGAAACCCCACATCGCCTCATCCAGGCTCAGCGCTTCATCAGTATGCCAACCGTCAGGGCTTTCTTCAGTTCCGCGACCAGTGTGAGGACTGCGGCGGGCCACAGCGGCATAGATGCCTTGGAACGGGTTGGGGGGTTCGACCGGGAAATCACTACCAAGAATAGGACGGGCCGGAAGAAGCGAACGCATACGATAGGCAGAAGATGAGGTACGATCTTTGCCCAGACGAGATTGAGCATACTTCATATCCGATGTCGCGTGAGTGGGCTGGATGGAGGGGATAATTCCAAGTGAGAGGATACGCTTTTGGTCGTCTGGATGGATGATTTGTGCGTGCTCGATGCGGAAGCGATGGCGGGATTGGCAGGCTGCACGAGCTTCAATTGAATTCTGGGATTCTTGTGAAGATTGGCCGGGTGTTGACGGGGAAGCACCCTGGGCAGTGGCCTCATTGAGGCACTGTTGCACAAGAGCCGCCTCGAGCGCGTCAATGGCATTGCGGTTTGCAAGGTCGCCAATGGCGTGGATGTTGACCTGGTAGCCATCGGCCGCCCAGCGTTGGGTTACATCAGTGAGAGCAGAAGCGTTGATAAGGAGTGAACCTGATGTCCAGGGGTGATCTGAGTATGGTTCGAGAAGAGCGCTTCCCCAGCTTCCAAGAGCCCCGTCTTCTATAGTTAGCTATTGTATAGACATTGTCGTGAGATTTATATACCTGCGAATAATTTGATGCTTTGAACAGCAAAGCGATCATCGTCCCGGGCAAACTTGACAGCTTCCTCTGGACAGTAGGAGTTACGCTGGGGGCACTCCATCATGGCATAGACACGAAGAGTCCAGTCATCACTCGAAGATAGCTCGTTGTACATAGTCAGAGTTTCGGGAGTCGATCCAGCATCGTGCATACCGACAAGGCCAAATTCGTTGAGCTTCTTCATGGCAGTTTTGACTGTACGAGCCTTGAAATCGCGGTCCGGCTGGGGCCAGATGGAAATCACCAAGTCCATAGCATTGTCGCAAAAGACACCGAGGCCAGGGTCCCGGATGATTTCGCCTCCTGGGATTACCTCGGGGAGGTCTGTCGGAAGGAGGTCGAGTACAGGCTGCGAAACCCAAGTGCAGTGGACGTCGATACGGTCAAGCATGATATAGACATTGCTAAGCTCTGGGTCCTGGGCGATATCGGCCTGTGTGGACCAGTCAGTAAGAGCGTAGCAAGCTTCATGTATCACTCACAGCACTGGGCATGCGGCCAAAGAATTCCTGATCCCATCCAACACCACGAACCCAACTATCCTTGGAACCAGCTCCCGGGTTCTCGGATATATAGTTCTTGATCCTAGTCCGCACTTCCTCCAATGACTGAGCACCGAACAAGTCAACAGAGTGCAAAAACTCTCCATACTGAAGTAAGTGCCCATGTCCATCCCAAAGTCCTGGAATCACATAACCGTCTATGGTTGTCTGATCAGCGTCACTTGAGCCGACAGCGGTGAAGACTCCATCGACAACTGTGAAGCATTGAGCCTCACCCTGGTCAGGATCGTGAGTTCGAATGGAATTATAGCAGTATGTAACCGGATTCCCGGTTTCTGAAGCTGTGAGTGGCTGTTGCAGGCGATATGCGACAGCAAAGGCGACAACTACGAGGGGCAGGATGAGACCCCATTTTGTGAAGGGGCCCGCCGCAGTCATTGTTGATAGATCTACCCTTCAATTGGCACTAAGTCTTGGGATTGGCTCTGGGCCAGGTGAGTCAAGTATTTTGAATCACAGAAATGGAAAGAGAAAGATATAGTAGTGAAGTTGAAAAGTGTTGAGTGACGACCATTGATGCAGTGGTAATGATATGCATGTTATCGATAAGAATTTGACATTTGGTGGGGAAGTCACATAACAGCCGCCATCAACTTACCTACATTGCCTACTACCTCAGTACCTGGAGTATCGAGGTATGAACGAGAGGAAATTAATAAAAAGTCTCACAGTTCCCTATAACACAGACTAATGGTCCCAGGAGTATAATTGACGGAAATTGTATTTCTTCAGCATGTACCAGTGTTGCTCCCAAAACGGTCACATTGACATGACACCTTATCCTGCCCAGGCAAAACTTATTCACGACAGACTTTACCTAATCAGAGCATTTATTTTACATGGTTAGGGAGTAAGGTATCGTTGGCGATTTCAGTTTACCATTTCTGTGTAAAGAATATCTAGGAGCTATTAATTGACTGTTAATTACTAAGTTCCATCATGAATTGCTTCCGAAAGATAGGAGATTCCAGAACATCTTACAGCCAACAAGACTAATCTGCCGAATCAGAGTAATAGTCTTTCTTTAATTCAGGTGTTATTTCAAGTTTATAATGTGTGGATGTTCCGTACCTGTCTGGCACTGCCGCCAGAACTGGCAGTGTCAATGTTAAATGCTAATGTTAATCGCAGTGCCAGTGTCGGTGTCAGCTTAGTCTGAACATTTATATTCCCATCCATCCCAGTCAACAACTGGCATAGTAAATTCAGACAACACAATACCTAGAAGACAAAGACAAGAACAATGTCACTTTCTCGTGCTGAGCTCGAGGTCGTTGCGGCCATTCACGCCCGAGAGCCTATCCCCCCTACGTCTCTCAACTCGGCTCTTAGCAGCAAACCCTTCGTTCCGACTCGTTCTCTGCTCAACATTCGCGACCTTGGAGCCGTTCCCGGAAGTGCTATCCGTCCTGGACTCATCTTTCGCTCTGGCATGCTCGATGCTGCAGCTGGTGACCCAGAAGCCATCTCTTGGCTCGCCTCCAACATCAAGGCCGTCTTTGACCTCCGCAGCGAAGAGGAACGCGCGGCGTATCCTAGCCCAAAGGTCCCCGGTATCGAGTTCATCTTCTTCGAGCGTGTCACTACCTATCCTCAGCCCATTCCCGCTGACTTCACTGCGGACGATGGCAGGGCTGCTTGGAGAGTGCAGTTGATGGCTGTTGTAGCAGCATACAAGCCTACTATCCGAGCAATCCTCGCGCACACCCGAGACAACCCTAATGATCCCTTCCTATTTCACTGCACTGGTAAGGATATCTGTCAAGCTACGCTGTTTTAGGATTTATGCTGAATGCCCGTTTCATTCATAGCTGGCCGTGACCGCACAGGCGTCGTGGCGGGTCTTCTTCAAACCCTTGCGGGCACAAAGCAGAAGGACGTCATTCTCGACTACATGCTATCACGTATCGGGATCGAACCAGCACGTGAGAAGCTGATCCATTTTGTCAAGGAGACCGTTGGCGTGGATAACACTGAGGTGCCTGGCTTTTGGAACATGGTCAGCCTGCGTCCTACCTTTTGGAAGGCCTTTGTTGAGGGAGTTGATGCGGAGTACGGAGGATTTAATGGCTACGTAAAGAGTCTTGGATTTTCGGCCAAGGATCTGGAGACCATCAAGAAGAATCTTCGAGGGTAGTTTTGGACATTGGGAACGGCTAAGCTGGGTATGATGTGTTGGGACACAGCATTTGACTACCTCACTTTGTATGGATGTCATCACAGCCAATGTCTTTTTTGGGGGCTCTAGGATAAACAATCCTTGAATAAGAGAACCTTGTCGCTTGTTAATTGAGAGATTCTTCAAGAGTCGATGCTCTATGTTACGTAGCGTCTGGTTCTGGTTCGTTCTTCCATCTCGATCCATCGCTTCGTCATTTCATCTCTACGTCTCTGAAAGCTATTCTTGGTAACAAAGATCACCATAAGAAATAACCACTCTAAAGGGAAGGAATAATCCATCTTGAAGTTTCAGACCGTTGCAATGACTCCAGCCCTATTAAACTATGACATCACCCAAAGAACCCCTGTTTTTAGACCCTGCATCTGCAACTCAACAAGGATCCACCACCAATCAAGCCTTTCTCCATACCACCTAGTGACGTTTAAGTGCACTCCCCAAATCCCCATTCATCTTCATTTTCCAAGTTTTTTCTTGTCTTCATTTTCTTTCAGGGTCCTGCAGTACAGTAGAGTCTTGTGATGCTTAATTTCTCCAGGGTCCAGCTCCAGCAGGGGTTCTCAAAATCGGATCTGCACGACATTCAAACCGCTGATCAGGTTTCCCTGTGGTCTTATTTCATCAGTAATCGTAATAGGTGATGCAATAATATTCTTGGCTAAGATTCTGTTTATGATCAAGATCTCCAAGTTTACAATTATCGAAACGTGTATATAATGTGTTGTTGAGGCCGCTCCAAGTTGCAATATCCAAATCAGTATCAACATACAACAAGACACAAACACAATACATCCTTGCAGATAAACACAACAACTTTTTACTCTTAAACGAACACTTAGTTACTACTACCACACAAACAAAACCACCCAATATGCCTCTTACACGAACTCACCATCAATCTGCCCCCCGTCGCTCCATGTTCAGCTCTCGCCGACGTACCCCAGCCCGCACTCACCATCACACCACAACTAGAACCACCACCACCACAACTACCAGAAAGCCTCGACGAGGCATGTTTGGTGGTGGCTCTGCTGGACGACGTACCCATGGTGCCGGTGCTGCCCCTGTCCACCATCACCAACGCCGACCTTCTGTGAAGGACAAGGTCAGCGGTGCTCTTCTCAAGCTCAAGGGCAGCTTGACTCGCCGTCCAGGCGTCAAGGTATGATTGTCACCTATCATCTTGCCCAATGAGATACAGTTGCTAATTGCACTACAGGCTGCTGGAACCCGACGTATGCACGGTACCGATGGCCGTGGTGCTCGTCACCGCCGCTACTAGATATCTTCAACAACTTGAAGAGGAGGCAGGACATTCTGGATTTACAAAATGTACAACATACACATATACATGTACGATTATGATAGCGAAGATACCCTCTATTGAGAGTTGAAAGAAGAATTGTATAATTTGCTCTATCACTGCAACTATCTTGCTTCGTGCCTTGTCAATCGCCAGCGACTTATCTAGTACAATCTCGTGATCGTGGCTGATCACATAGCCCTTGATCCTGTGAATGTCCGTCTCACTTCAGTACAAAAGAAAAATAAAGAAAAAGAAAATTTCCTCGACCAATATTTCAGTTGATCAGGCATGGAGGTCATGTATCTCCCCCGTAAAAGAACTTGATATCGAATCGGCACACCCGATCAGCTATCAATGATTCCCAGACGTCATCTAACACTGCAACTCGTCCACGTCATGTGGAGAAGATCCTGCTGGACGGTATGCTGTTGCCAGACGTATGTCCTTGTGTAGCTTGGCTTTCCCCTGAGATGTAAACTTGAGCATCGACGCTGAAGAACCTCGCCGGTGGCGCGCTCTATCGTAAACTGGATGCACTAGCTCGTCTAGATTGGTAATCGTAAGGTGAGTCAAGCTCAACCTCTTCCTCTCTTGCGGCCTTAAAGGGCTCTCGTCAAGATAGCCTACATTTAACTCGTTAAGCTCGTGCCTACCAGTTCCCGAGGCTTGTTCATGAGCGTATTGTCGTAATTCCCTTTCTAAGTCTTCCAGGACCTCCTTGCTAGGTGATGGATGCTTCTTGGTCCTCTTAATACCGGAAGAAGCGAAACCCCTGGTTGATCGTTCCCAAGCCCGCCGAGCTTGACTAACAGAGTCGATCAAAGCCGCTTCGCTTGGGTCAATGATAGGGGGTCTGTCAAGGTCGTTTGGGGATAAATTTCCTCTGTCAAACTGCAACGGAGTTTGGTTCAACTTTACAGCAAGCCGCCTCTGGGAAGGACTTATGCTATCAGTCGTAGAGCTGTACTCGTCACTCGATGCAGAAGTCCGCTCGACGATGATGCGAGGCGTTGAAGATCCAACTGGTGTACTGTTCAAGAACCTATCTTCAACGTTGCTGTCGAATTCCTTCTCAGAGTCGAACGGGCTGTGGGGAAGGGCGAGACGTTGTGTTTCCTCCTCGTCTGGACCTGCTTTCAACCGGTGCTCGAAACTTGTCGGGGTGTGCCAACCATCCTGTTCAGAGAACGGATCCTCAGGAGGTTTGCCAATTCTGAGAGACTTTCCATCATCAGCCAAGGGTTTTCTGTTCACCCGACCCCCTACAATTCGCTGAACTTTGCGTTTGTTGAGGTTATCTCCTTCATTCAGGCGAATTTCGATGTTACTAATTGGGGACATATTATCAGGCGATTCAGGGGCAGGATAAGCTTTATGTTTATTCAGTCCTGTGCCTTCTCCATCGTCGACGACGAGCTTGTATAGCGGCCCTTTTTCTTGAGACGAAGTCTTCGGGTGAAATCGATCCCAAGCATTCGAAACTTTGGCAAGTACTTTGGATGGCACCATACGGGTAAGCCTTGAGCTTGACGAGTTGGTCCGTTGTGGGGTTGGCTTCAGGGCATCAGTCGCGGCTAGCATGGCAATGAGCTTTCCACTGATAGCTTCGCCACTGGCACAGTCTTCTCCTGTAGGCGTGATGTTCGATCCTTCTGTAGCACGGCTTCTGATATTTCTATCCGCAGCAGCTAGCGGTACAGATGTTGGGATCTTGAAATTGTTTGTCGGATGGAACTTCAATGGATCAAGTGACAGTTGCCGCTTCAGGTTTGTGCTTGCACGTCTTTGGGATCGATCCTTCCGGACTCGAGTAGTGGCAGCCCGCCTGGGTACCTTTCCTGGGCTCTTGGATGGTATTCTAGCCACTCGCGACTGCTGGGGGTATTTCAAAGGTCGGTTAGGCGGCGTTTCGAACGGTGAAGGTAGATTCAGGGGTGAGATCGCTGGCCCATCCTCGCGAACACTCGAGATATTGCGTGTATTAGCTCGGCGCTTCTTGGGTGAGGAATCTTCATTGCCATCGTCTAGGCATTCGGGGGTGGAATCGTCCAATAACCAGCTTGCCATTTCTTCTACTGTTTGCGGACCGGGCATAGCTCTTTTTCGTGGAGTTCGTTTTGTAAAATCATCAAGGCTTAGACTTATTGCTATAGAATGGTTAGAGAAAACAGTGGCTACCGCGGAATTGGTGTTAGAAGTACGTACGTAGTTGCTTGGACAGTGATGTGCTCGCTGTGTTCTTCCGTGGCCGTGAACCTAGCGTCCTCGAGATATACCTATTTCTCCGTTTTCCGTAAGTGATAGTCGTAGGCATCCTCGGCGCCTGTGGATAATGAATGAAAGTGTTTAAGATGAATTGATCGTGTGAACCGACTCAAAGGCGGGTTTTAAATGAGTGACTGTGTTCGATTCAGTGCACCCTCTAAGGGTGACGCAAAATTGAGAAACTCGTCCGTGGACGGCCAAGAAAGAAGTCGATCGGAATACTGGTGACAAATCGAGATTTATAGTCAGCATTTGGTCACCAGTGTACCTTCATTTTCCAGCCAAAAGAGACCGTTGGGTCTAAGTATAGGAAAACGTGATGCGAGGAGATTGCGAGGGTTGATTGCTGAAGAATAAGAGGCCAAGCTGAGAAGGGGAAACCGAACCAGATGATTTGCACTTGGTTATTATTGTGCTTATTGAGCGGGAAGGAAGAGCAGTGAATGGTGGTGATTGTTTAAGGAAGGAACCTCGAAGGTGTTTGACATACAATGCGATATCGGACAAAGTCCAATATCGGTGCCTGCCACTGCTAGCAACAATGCCATTAACAGAACTCACCAGCAGTCTTTATCCACGTGATGAACCGATTCGGAAAAGTAGATCAAGTGACAGGTTTATCACCTGTCAAAACAAAAAGAAGCTGGAGAGTGACTCTTGTTAACAGCAAACTCCTCGATTTTGTTAACAGACATAAGCAACACTACCACACAATTGCCGTCCTCCACAGACTTATAACACAGAGACGCCACTTCGCTCTTCTGTGAATCTAATTCCAATATGGAGTTCACCCAAACGTTTTACCGCAGGTTATGTTCCAAATGCGATTCGTTATTACAGTCACTCCGATGGCCATTATTTTCTTGACTTATGATGAAGCGACTGGGCTGGAACTTGAACGGTTAGTAGCAGTGAGCTCTACTTCGAGTAAATCGTTTATTACAAATTCTTTTGTGGTATATTGTATTCCTGTCTGCCGCCATAAATTTAACCAGTTTTGGAAGATACATGAAAGCCGTATCAGAAACTCGACTTCAACCTGCAGCTGCTTGAGTACCATCCCTACCCTGAGGCCAGAAGTGACCTGCTGCAGGCAACGAATTGACCTACCTGCGGCCTCAAACATACCAATACCAGCATTGAGTCCAGGTTCAGAATTAGGAAATTGTAGCTTGAGACAATTCGCATCTCGATGCTCGTGCTACCTTGTAACCTTGGCTTTTAACACTCGACCTGAGACTAACAAGGAGAACTCTTAGACAGCAAGATCTTCCCGACAAAACTTTTTCAAACTTCGCCAAATTGTAACAGCGATCCGAAACACTGTCTTGAATTGTACTACTTACACTGATGTTGATTGTTTTTAGAATGATCTCAATTGCTTTGTGTACTTACATAGTAGTTAGTAGGTAGTCAACAGTTAAGACGTCTTATAAGCACGTGATAAACAGCACAGCCACATATCATAGGTGCGTCACATCATGCTGTATTGTGGCGCATTTTTACATCATGAGCTTGCCGGCCATCCAAAAATCTCCCGATCAAACGAAACGACAAATTCCTCCTGCCGAACGGGACCGAGGGAACTACAAGGGAACACAATTACAGTGTGCAAAGTCAAGAAAAAGAGACACGATGCTTTGATTATGAATCTGAACGGTTTCTTGCATTCTCACCATCACTCGAACCCGATATATTAAGTCCGAAAGCTCCGATTAGTTACGAGTTATTATCGCCTCTTACCCGCTTCAAACCGATCACGAGGTTTTCCAACAACGTCCTGCTTGATCGCAACACGAGGCATTGGCACTTTGCGTGAACAAAACAAAACTTTCTCTAGTTGAAGCCATGTTAAGACAATCAGTCCGCGGCGTTAACGCGCCACTACGAGCTTTTGGCCAGCCAGCTCAACAAGCGGCCTGGAATGGCGCATGGAGAAGGCTCTTCACGTCACAATCGGGGAACAAAACTGGCCGTCAGCTTTTGAGATGGAGGACTGGCTCTGTCCCGTGGGAGGGCATGATGGCCCGGCTCAGGAACGCCCGCTTCGCATCAAGAACCACAACACCAAACATGCTTCAGGGTGTGCTGAGGCGTGGATTTCGCTTCAGTGCAAAGCGCAAGACGAACAAGGGTCCAACCGTTGGCAAAACCGATGAAGCCACTGGCCTCACCGCCAGGCTCAAGAAGCTCACCAGGGAGTATGGCTGGGTGACCGTTGGCGTTTACCTTGGGCTGTCTGTTCTGGACTTTCCTTTCTGCTTCCTATTCGTCAGGATGGTAGGGGCTGAGAAGATCGGTAAGATACCGCCGCGGCTTCATCCATATCCGTCGATGAGGCTTTGCGGATCTATGCTGTCAAACTGATTGCTAACGTGTGCCGTTGGTGGGGTTAGGTGAGGTCGAGCATCGTGTGATGTCGACCGTCAAGCAGATGATTCCCGATTCTCTTCGGGAGGCCTGGCACACTTACTGGCAGTCTTTCCGGAAGGCTGAGGCCAGGGCACTTGGCGATGATGACATCAGTGACAAGATGGAGATGGCCACCTGGGGTGTTGAGAAGGCCCAAGAACGGAATCGCGTCGATGCTAGTGAGTACCATCCAACTGGTTTGCCCCTGGGCGCATGGAGAAAATGCTCCTGTTGATTCATGATGTGGGAAGGAGGAGGCACCGCTTGATCAGTTGGAGAGAAAGGCTAACGACTCAATCTTCTACGACAGGCTTAGCAACCCAGCTGGCGCTCGCGTACGCCATCCACAAGAGCTTCATCTTTATTCGAGTACCATTAACAGCCGCCGTAACGCCCAAGGCTGTTAAGGTGCTCCGATCATGGGGCTGGAATATCGGAAAGAAGAAGGCGTAGTTGCTGTGAAATGGCATCACGACGGTTCCAGACTGAGAACCGATCAAGCCTCAAAAGACAGAAACGTTCCATTTATGAAACGTCTCGATTCTAGTTCAAGCCACACACTCACTCATCCATCTGTATAATAGAATCACGCATAGTAGTTGGTACTGGAGTTGGCTTCATGATAGACTTTGCTGTATAGTATAGTGGTTACAATCTACCTACATGACCTATGCTGTCATTTATTTCCTCGTGACTGGATCGCAGTATTTGAAATCTTGGGCGTTCGGATAGATCGAGCGAGTTCGGGTGTGCCGAGCCAGAGATCAGCCAGGAGAATTGCCATTGCTGGATGGGCGTTCAGGTACTGACACGCCATCAAACTCAAAAACAATGGCGGCAAATGGGAATGCACCAAGTCGTGCAGGACAGTACAATGGGAAAAGAAACAGGAAAGTTAGGCGTAGTCAAGCCGCAATTCAGTAATGGTTATGGCGAAAAGCTTGGCCGATTCGTCTTTCATCCGTAGAAGGATAGTGCGCCGAGAGATCTACGGCTGCAACGCTGCAAGCCCGCAACGTTCTGAGGGACGCCATGTTCTCGCGTAGAGTTCACGACCCCTTGAGGCTTGTTTGAGGTTCTCTTGGAGGTCGTATGGCTTGATCTGGCGGCTGAGACTCCAGAACGACCTAGCCTCGAAACGCCAAGAGGTCCTAGAACAGGGGAAACGAACGAGCGATAGTACAATAGTCTAATTAGTTAGGTTAGGTTAGGTTAGTGAGCAAAGCGGAAGAGAAAGAGGCTAGAACTTCTAGAAGGGGCGGTTGTGGATTATTGCGAGTCGTCTCACCCATGTTTGACCCACGATGATATATCTAAGGCTGGCAAAATAATTTACGATTCAGTCCAGGAATAGCAATAGCCGGAGGGGAGTGAAGTAAAGTTTCGTCTTTGGAGCCGTGCCTCGTCATGGCTGGCCGTTGAATAAGGGATAAGCCTGCGCAGGAACAGAGAGCGAAGAGGCGAGACAGATGATTTCGGAGCTCTAGAAAAGACTGGAAAGAAACCCGTTCGAAGGAAGTGGAGATGTTGATGGCGCCGAAGTAAAAAGATCCTAGCTGAAGCCTAGCTTCGGAGCTCATGTTTCCGTTGATCACTGAGCGGTCCATGCCAATCCGTACTCCTGTACATAGAGTCGAGATAACGTGAGAGCCCCTTGCAGTAGGCCCGAGTAGAGTGGCAGCGCGGGCATTAGCTAGCGGGAATAAGAGTAGGAATCATCATTTGTTTCGAGTTTTGGCACTTGCAGTGGAGAAGAGCCCCTAGGTTCGTACTTTGGATACATGTACGGGTCACATTGATTTCCTCTTGACTTCATTTGCCAAGTCTTGATAGGCACAACATAAGCACTTGCTGATACCACCTGGCAGATCCGAGGACAGTTTATCAAGTGTACGTAGTCATGTGGATATTCATATTGGGAGGCACACGAGTCGTTACTTCACCGTCCAGGATTTAAACTCTAATATTCACTTTCTGATGGGTTTCTTTTCTTTTCTGTCTGTGACTTTGAGCTCAAACATCAGATGAGGTGAGATGATATGAGATGAGATTGACGGTGAGGAACCAAGAGTGGTAATCAGTTCGCCAACAGACGGCACAGAGATACAGTAAAGTCAAAGCAAGAAGCTACAATAGGAAAGATAAAAGGCAAATAATGACATTTATGGATACGTGACAATGGGTTGTGATTGCCCGCGCAGGGGATCCTTGAAATGATCGGCTTACGGTACATAATCGCTTAGCAAGAAAACATGGATTCAACGAGTATCAATAACAAGGCAGGGAGAGTAATTGGTGCTTAAAGAATAGAGTTTGGTGATGAAGCAACGGTGGATACGCCTAAGACAGTAGCCGACGGGTTATGAGATTACAGATACATCCAATGTCATGGACTGAACTGAAAAGAGCGTCAGGACAAGAACCTAGCAGTTAATCCAGTGGTCCAGGCTCAATACAAACCTCCCGTCGACCACCAACAGCTAGGTACGTACAGCATATAAGGCGGTTGACCATGTGGGAAAAAGTGGTCCCTCCTCCAGCGGTTCCTGAGCCAAGACTTAGTACTAACTAAGCCATGTCCAGGACGCCGTTCTAACATGGATCGATTGTGATGCAAATAAAGCTGGGGAATAGAGACCCTAGAGTTTTGCCATATCATGTCATCTGGTATTAGGTATTAGCACACCATGAATCTAGAACATGGCACATCCATAGATCTAGATCTATTGTACTGACCGTTAAGCCTCGTAAATCAACATTCAACTTCTGCACCGTTTAAAGCGCCTCACAAAACAGTACTTGGCATCGAGAACAGGCACAAAGGTGGAGCAGGCTCAAGATTCAGGTCAGGGTTGGCATCGACAATAAAACATGGGTCATGCATGATCCCCCACACATTCTGTCTCTGTCTCCGGAACAAAGATCTAAAGGATGTACAGTACATCAGTACATAGTGGACCTCAGCGGAACACTACCGGGCAAACATTCGCATCCATCCAAGACTGGAGATGTTGACAATACGACTTGTAACAAAGCGTTGATGTTGATGTGTATGCAGTGACCAGACCGGTGAGAACTTTCAAGGCCAAACAACGCTAGATAATACCTACTACCTACGGATACTCCTACTGCTGTCGATCAGCCCAGGTGTCACAGGACACACGACACACGCTTATGACGACTGGTGCAACATCGGGGAGGCATGGATGGAAATGAGACTGGAAATAATCTGTCGCTTGTCACTTTTTACTGCCCTTTCTCGGCTTGGCATTGATACCGTATTGGGCGTCCTGCCGCGGACCATTTTTTTCTGTGTAACCAAATCACAAGTGCAGAGTCGACAAGATACTATGCAGATACAGTAAAGGGGAACTGTGAGAAACTTGATTTCTGGTTAGACTTTCACATGGGTAAATTAAATTTATTCTGGTAAACGGTTGAAACGTTGACATCGACGTCAATCTTTATTGGTGTCTCAAATCACAAATGGAGTCATGTGTGATCAAAGTCAAAAATGTGCCCAATCAACAGGCCCGGACAGCCTCGGCGTTGAGTTTATCGAGCAAACGGATGAACAAACAAACAGGCGGTAAATTACTCAGAGTCATAGAAGAGAAAAAAACTTAACAAAACTTGTATAGGAGACCGTTGACGAAACGCTCAACTCTCTAGTCTATTGACTAGGGTACCTAGGCATCATGATGAGTCGTCCGAAACACCTCGGCTGAACGGATATCGCGTCTAATATTTGAACAGGTGGATATGACGATGTGAGGCTGACTCAATAGATAGGCAGTAAGATCCATTAGCCAAATTGCGACCACAAAATATAGTTCAGGACAGTACCAGACTAGACGAACAAGCGCCCATACCATGGACTTACTGTGCATCAGGTGACGGGCAGAGGCGCGAGGCAAAGGGTACTGCCGTGGATGACAGAACAGTCGGTGAACCAGATCACAATGGAAAAGTTTGTTGGGTACGGCAGACAACTGAAATCCTAACGAGACACATAGGTCACTGCCGAGATACAGTAGGCCGATGTAAGGTAGACCACACAATTAGACTTTTAGGCGAAGCTTGGGCATCACCATGTATGTATGTGTGTATGACTGAGAAATAAACCACAATCATGAAATCACAGGACAGAGCAAAATGCTGTTCAATGCACGGTCAGGATCAGACATGTCACAGAGTCAGAGCCAGTGACTGGAACAGAAGAAACAAGTTAAGTTTGCCCAAATACGAAGGGGTCTAACAAAGCAAGCAAGCAAGCAAGCAAAAGAAAGCGTAGTGTAGAGTTTATGCCGTGCTTGCTTTGCTAGGTACAGTAGGTAGGTAGGCATCAATCACTGCAACCCACCCGCTGGCCTCAACGCTAACTACTGCTGTCCGTCGTGTTTGATGAGTTGTACGAACCCTATTCAAGACCGGTACTTTGTTGGTTGTCTTCTGCCTGCAGCATGTATGTAATCAGATATGCTGCCTTGGGCATGCAGCCGATGGCGTAACAAGTGTTGCATTGCATTTCCGGTGCATGGCTGTCATTAATACAGTGGTGTGTACAGTACTCTGTACCGTCTGATCTGATCTGATTTGATATAATTTAATTTGGCTGGCTTGACATGGATGTGATGTCATGACCTCTTCGTGAGAACCCTGAAATAGGTATTTGGCAGCGCACAAACGCTAAACGAGGTCGACCAAAGTCAATATACCACTTTTACGTTGGAGTAGAACAGGTAAACTCCCTCTATTCGTGTTACCTACCTCTCATTGGCCTCGCAGTCCACTTGAACTTTCGAGGTCCTGAGGAATGGAATCGACAGGGACAAAAGCTTAAAGAATAGACCATGATCGATTTGGGAGCATGAGGAAGGCCGATGCCGGTACTAGAAAGAATCCAGAAGCCCTGTGGATATCAGGGTCGTCCTCACTGACGCCAACTCGATTAGATAGCGCCGTTTAACCAATATAATGCGCCAAGGGCTTGAAAGAACTCCGATGTAGAACACATAGGGCTGCCTGACTTGACCTGACCGGACCTGAGCCAAGCTGAGGGACAGCAACATAGTCAGTCAATAGATCGATCTAGATAGAATTCATTCATAAAAGACTGCTGCTAGTACGGATTCCTCCAGCATGGGCTGTCATGGAGTCATGAGGGTATCATGAGATCAATGACTGCTTTGCTTATTGTGCGCAAAGACAAACCCCTAACGACTGCATTTCTTGACCGCAATTTCAATAAATGGCAAACGACGTAATTAATTCCTCCTGCACAAAGAACTTTAAAAAAAAGAAAAGAAAAAAAAAGAAAGGCATTATGGGGAGGCATGAAGGTGAGTGATCCAACACCCCCATTTCCAAGTCGTAACTAAGGATCTGGTTAACCTTATAGGGAGCCCTGTACTAAACTCAATCGCGCTTAACAGCGCAGCTGCAGGTGCTATGGTTTTGCTTCTTTGGGCCATGAGCTGTCGCCATGTACTTGCAGATTCCGCGGTCCTTGGTGCGGAAAGTATGTATCTCCTGCATGTTGGCGCCTGCCAATTCGGTAAGCGCCATTGACCTTGCTGGGGCCGGGGCCGCTACCTCCTGGGGAGAGAGCAGTCCATCACCCCCCACAGGACCTACCCAGTACACTAACCTTTCTCTTTTGGGCATTCTCAAAACGTTGTATGTACGCTCGTAGACGGGCTACTAACATCAAGGAGCGACCAAAAGAAGCAAAGTAGAGCGAACCACCACCAGGCGACGCAGTGAAACGGAAACCTAAATGAGCGACAGACTCCAAAATCAGCTTCCACAACACGGACCCAACAGTAAACAGTACGGTACGGTACGGTAGATGTCTCGGCGAGATCTTCATCATTACATAGAACTGACTAAGATCCCAGGGCCCACGGATCATGCTTCACAGCGATGGGCAGCATTCAAATGGTCTCCACCATCATGCCGCATGGTCGTCTCCAGAACAAGATGCCGAGTTAACATCAACAAGGCTGCACCGTTCTTGAAACATTATTTCCGAGACAGGACAGGACGGCACGGGCGATGGACAATTAGGGCAACATCCATCAAGTCGAAACTCCGCCCCGCCACAACTGACAACTGTCACTCACGTCAACGTCAGGTCAGGACAGGTCGGCCTCGGTCCATCAATTCTGGTGATCCTCTGCCAACTCTGCATTGGTGTCGCCTAAAGAGGGAACCGCGTTATCGAGATTATCCAAGACGGTCCGGCCCAAGACGCACAGCGTATTGCTTCGCGCCACCGTTCACCCATCGATCTGAAGATCTGCAACGGCGGTAGCAGCACTGAACGGTCAGTAATCAATTATTCCTTCCCATCAGTCAGGGACTCAACTCCTACTCAGGTGGCTCCAGTTGTACTTGCAATGCCGAGTCACGCCGGACCAGGTCTTATGAGGGTCTGAATCCTGAAGTCAGAAGTCAAAAGTCCATCCTGTTGACCTACCCTACCCTGTTCTGCTGGTGTAAATAGACTTTGGGTCCGGCGCACTTCACTACGCTGCTCATTATGGCGTAGCCGCCTTTTTGCCTTTCCTTACATACCCCTTCCTTGGTTGGTCAATACCCTTCCTTTATTGTACCTTACCGATCCAGGACCCACGGCTTATCGTGACACTCCCTTGTCTACGCCCGAAGGGAAGCAAAACTTTAAAAGGAAACCAAAAATTGTCCACCATACACCCAGTCAGTCCCCTTGGTCAAGTACTGAGTACTGCAGACATGAAAGTTAAACTTTTCTCGCACCCCTGCTTTGATTTGTGGTCCCTTTTTTCCTCTCTCAATTCCTTTCTTGCTCTTTCCCTCGCATAATGCTCATCTGAACATCGACGCTCCAACACACACCCCTGTGGTGAGCCTGGTGCCCCGGGGCGATCATGGCTACATCTTATGGCGGCGCCTGAGCCTGGGCATACAACAAAAAGAAAAGTGGGAAGGTGAAGGGATACGCCCAAGAAGCCAACCTACGTAACGCGTGGTCAATGGCAAAAACCACATTCTGAGAATGAACATAGTCGTTATTGTATCGACACTCCAAGCGGCGGTTGAGCTTGTCGTTGATGGAGCCGAGACCCCGTTCCGTCACGCTGGTTCTCAGGTTAGTCTTTGGCATATCTTTCTTGAGTATAAAGGAAAGCCGTTTACTCCGAACTCCTGGGTCAGGACTTTTTTTTTTGTCTGTACTATCATCCTTCTAACATCATCAATCTTCCTATATCATCCATTTTGTTGTTGCTCAGCGTTGATCGACGTTTTTAGAGTTGCATTGCCAATTAGCATTCAGTCTCACTACCCACTCGTATCAATTACCTGTCATCGAGAAACATACTGTACCCAAAGCACCCTTGTTACTTTCGGTCACCAGTCACACAGACAAGACGAGAAAGGGAAAAAGAAAAAGACCAGGACAGGCCTCTTCCGGGGTTAAACTGACAAGGACCATTACCACCAAGACCAGGACAAGGTCCCTTTTCCTTTTCATGCCCCGACACTTCTCGGATTCTGTTTGGACATCGCAGCAACCATCTCTGTCCGTGTAAGACATACGCCAACTCAAAATCCCCGAGACGGACGGATCGAGCCCGTGCCATACCTACCACCTGTCTACATCAATACATACGTACAGCATTCTTGTACTGTACTACCATCTACAGTTTGGCTGGAGCAAACCTACCTTCTCACCCCTGTCGTACTCCGATCCACTTGAGACGTTGTTCCAGATCTTGGACAGGCATTAACATCATCACCACCAGCCTGTCAACCCACACAAGCCACTCGCCCCCCTCCCTACCCCATCCTGTCTCTCCACTTGTCTAAGTTACCTACTTTCCACAAGGGCAGCTCTATTTCCAGCTACTAGCCTGGAAATCTCTCTCTGATACATGCGCGACTCGCCTGCATCAAGCCCATCCACTTCACCGGCTTATATTACACATACAAGTACTACCATGATGTCCATCGCTCCCCAAGAATTTCAGTCCCAGTCCTACTACTATCTTCCCTACCGTTCTTCTGTCTCTTCCCAACGACAACCACAACATCAAGAGATCTCCTACTTCAACTTTACCAACCTCAACCATTCACCAACTCTCGACTCTGCAACTACTGCCGCAATGGCCGCTGCCGCCGCCGCCAATGCACGATCTCAACAAGATGCGAGTGTCGCACAGGCTCTCGAGATCGCTCGTGAAAGTCCTGATGGTTCATCGGATCCTACCATTAGCAAAATTCTAGAAGCTGCCCTGGCACGAATCTGGAGCAAAGTCACAGAAAATCCTGACTCATATGTCATGACAAAAGAGGAGTTTGCCGTCTTCAACTTCTTCCAGCACCGGTTCACCGGCAACAAAATGGCCATTAGCGCTCGCAAGCGATACTGGGACAACACCCACGCTTGATCGCCCCCTGAGATCACACTCATACAAGGCGGCGTTCTGATGGACACATCAAACGCTCCTCATATGCATGAGCAGTCAGACGAACACGCATTGTCCGTCGTTCATGAAATCAACTTATTTTTTTTCTCTTTCCTCATCTTCAACAGCGACGACAGGATACTCGGCCAAAAGTACCCATACATGCTCATACCCATATCCATATCAATATCCACAAAGGCGAACCAGGCTTTGCCCAAACCCGATCCCATTATCCGAGTTTCCGACAGCTTGCCGTTATCCACCGCCCAGCTCGGCGAATATCAGGAAGCGAGAGCTGAAACCTGAGGGCTCGTGCAAGAGATAGGCAAGAAATGGGAGCAGACACCCCCTTGTGCTTCGACATCGGATGGAGCAAGTCGCCCGCCGGGATACATGACTTGGTACATGACGCTATCGTGGCAGGGCTTTACAAGTCATGGCAGTCCGGGAGATGTGCAGACATCAGGTTATACCCACTATAGCGCGGAAGCCGAGAAGAAGAACATAAGAAGGAAAAGAGAAACATCAAAATCAATTTCGAATCCACCCAGTGGGGAGAAACCCTGGTGATCCGCCACAAAGCCCCGGTTCCTGAGTCCGAGCCTGTTAGCTCGGTGGGTCATTGAGCCTGCCATCCAGCATTGTTTACATGGCGCCCCGCTATTTGGTACTGAAGGCACCAATCTCCGACAATACTGGTCTGCATGTACAGTACAGTACAGAGCCATCCATTCTGCAGAGACATGGATGAAGATTCGTGTGGTATCGTATGCAACCTATCCCGTCATCTTTCGCAGGGCTGCAGAACACAATAGCGTGGCGTTTTTCACAGGGGTGGCGTGGCTTTCATGTACGGCTTCCAGCCTCAAGTCTCTTGGATGTCTTTTCTTTACATCTTCCCTTCATCTTCTCGCCTAAGTCTTGACTCATGCGAGCAGACCTACGTTGTATCGTCTCAAACCTTTGACGACGATGCGGGTCACCGCAGCCCTCGGACTGTCTACCCATTTGCCCCTGTTTGGGTCCTTCGAACTTTGTTCTTGACTCATTCCCATCACATAGTGGACATTGGCGGTGCTCTTGCTCTTCTCGGTTTTCCACTTTTACAGTTTTGCAATGACTCTTGCTACTTCTGCTTCAACGGATTTTCCCCTGGCTGCTGGCAGTCGCCTGCTTCAAGCCGCTTCCTATAATTTCTTTTATTTTCGAGTCATACTTCATGAATAACTTTGAGGTTTAGTTCAGCGCCACGCTGTTTCCTCTGCTCATTTTCTTAACTTTACTCTTTTACTTATTTCTCCATCATGTCTTATCAAAGAAATTTTGTACTATAGAAATACCACAGAGCGCATTGCTGCAGTTTGTGTTTTTGAATCATTAGGCATATAGACTCTTATGAAATCATGTTCAATCAAGCAAACAATATCTCGATCTTAGCCTAGCCGTTTGACATTCGTGAACACTCAGCGAGAACCGTTGACCTTAGACTCGGTCGCATACATAGGTTTGACTTATCACACCAGTTAGTGACCATGTTAGACTGGGGATCATGTGTGTCATGATTTATCTTTTGCCTCTTTGACTTACTTTCCTGCGTCAGTCAAACCGAGTGTTCTATCTCAGTAAGCCACTGCCACATTAACAAGACATATTATTAATTAAGCGTGAATAGCATCATCCTGGTTCAAGTCAGAGGGACCTTTGTCAGCGACTGACCATGATTTCATGGCCTGTCACTGTTGAGTGCTGGACCTTTGAGTTTACCCTAACACCGCCGGCCATGTATGCACAGTTATATACTTGTGGATAGCATTCTGTTCGCCAAGAAATGGTGATCCTTTTACTGGGCAGCAGAAGACCTGTCCTCTAGGTTAAGATGCCAAAAATTCAGTAGGCTAAGTGCCGGCTTAAAACAGCATCAAGTGCCTAAACTATTTCGCCTTGTACGTTCTTAGTCGTCAAGTTTTCTTGTGCCCTAATGCCCTTCCAGTAAAGGTCATTCAACGCTGCAGTGCAGGTCCTTGATCTACAGTCATTTGATGGTAAAATATCCAAACGCATACTCCGTACTGTACCCTACCCGGCCGAGCGTGGAGCTTCGGTAGCTGCAGCCCTGCCGTTGTACCGCCCCGTGATCCCGATCCCGAGGCCGGTGCTTACCCCCACATCGACCGGCGTCTAGAACATCCACAATCTTGAGTAGGCAACACCTCGCGAAGCAGTGGTCAGCTCTAACGCCAAACATCAATATTTCCCGCCGTACGTACGATCTAGCGATCGAGATTTTGTAGATCTGTATCGTTTTGGTTGGAACATTTGTATGAGCGTAGCGTAACGACTTAAGCTTCAAAGTGCACGGGTATTTCTGCCTTACCGGCCGCGGGATCTTTAAAGATCGACAATGTTTGAAGGAATGCAACGCCTTTAGAACCGTGGAACCGGGTACTGTTGAGGCGTTCTGCTTTACCGGTACCTAAAACCAGTATAGCGGCGTTCAGCCATGCCTGGGTCTATGTCGAAGATGGAATCTTGATGTCGCAAAAGGCACTCTAAACTTTGTAAGCTGACGGTTGATAAGCTCACTGTCAAGAAAAGCCTCGATGGATGCAGTGAAGCATCACATCTTGGTCCGTAAGACGCATTGGCTCGTCGTATTGTGTAGTCGATGATTGAACACACCGCCATTTTCAATAACGTTGCGCCACAATATTGCCTTTCGCAGAACCTGAGTGACACAAAAGAGTTAAAGCCATTGGAAAATAAGTCTTTGAGGTAACTCTTTGAGGCAACGCCGTCAAGGAACGGAGCCAGATCAGGGAATTGTGCTTCCGTCAGCAACTATCTTGATATCCCAACTGGGCTGAGGGGAACAAATAAAGTTTAGATATGAGCCACTGATGCTCCCTGATGCATAATATCGCTCCATGAATGGAGAGCGGCCGCTTGAGTACTGTAGTTATCTCAGGGCCGGAGAAGAACGTTGCAGGCGCCCGAGAGGAAAGTTTATCTTTTACTACCATCATACCGACATGAAGTCAGGCCTTAGAGTCCGACGACTTTCATCATCGTGATGTTGAATTCGGTGGAGTATCTGTAGGAAACTGATCATAAATTTCTTTGGCTTTTGGTCTCAGACGTTGCGCATTGATGCTCCTGGATACCCACGGCAAGTGGATGTTGGATGCTCCGACTTTACTGGTGCTAGCTGGCGATGATCTCAAGGCTCATCTGTTAATTGTACTTGCTAATAAGCATGTCAGTGCCAGGTGACTGAAGATGATCTAATCTGTAGATTAAAAAAGCAACCGTTCCATTCTCTGCTTAACAAGCCCTCCTTGCTTCTTCACAGCCCAATCCGGAACAAAACTGTTGTAGGTTGATATCCTGGCTTGAAAGCTACCGATATTGAGGCTTGCGGAGGACCCTTGACGTGAACGTTGGGATTCGAACGTCATTAGTGAAAGTCTGGATCCAATAGCTACATTTGGCCTGATATCGTGAGCGTGACGCCCAATATGTCTTGTAGGGTGCATAATATTGCCTCGGCTTCGAGCCCCTGTGCCAGTTTCGTTGGCAATGGCCCTTTTGGGTAATCCAGAAAGTCGGTAAGTTGAGGTTTTGAAACTCTAATACGTGGGGAGGTGTGCAAAAGCATAAGATGTTGGCCAATTGTATAGAAGCCTGACGAAATTCCAGAAGACTGCCGGAAGAGGTAACGTGTGTAGCTTCATGAGGAAAGGCTGGGACAGTTCTATTGCCAAAAAGGCGCAGAAGACAGGTTGGTGGAAGCGAGTAGACCGATAATCTTGCACCAAGTAAACGTTATTTGTCTCACGCCCATCACAAAGGGCGTTTCTCGCAAGAATGCAGGTATGTATTGGGTACATCACGACCAGAAGGACGCCAAAAGCCCAAGAGGTTTAGGGAAAGGGGTAACTCCAAATTTGTGTCGTTGCTCTCACATCATAGAGTTAAGCCAAACCTAGTGGTGATGGACATGAGATGTCCCGAGGTTTTGGAAGTAAGGACCCGGAGGACGGGAAGCAACTGCTATGTTAAGATAGGCGGCAGCTATTAACTTTCTGGTAAAGGCATTTGCAACAGAGTTTGTGGACGAGCCGGTGGCTCGGTACGTGGAGCAGTAGGAGCATTTCCGCTCGGTGATTAGAAGCGGTGAAGAGTGACGTATCGCCTGACGCAACATATTGTCGAGACATGAAAGACGATAGAGTATTCCCTATAATGTGGGCTATTGAAGTTGATGAGGCTCTGAACTGCAGTCACTGACAGCGGATCTACCCAACGATCCCGGGGCCGAGATGAGATTGATAGCTGCTGCAAGGGTTGGTGCCGTCCAATAGCCAGTCGGCAGCGGTGAGAGTGATACAAGGGCTGCAGTGTGTTCGTGAGAAGGACCTGAGGGTATACGAGGCTCTCCGGGTGGGTTGGGTGATATGTGCTAAAGTGGCTAGCCAGTAAATGATGTCTTTTGCCAAGTGGACCGGTTACTGTTAGTTGCCCACCAGTCATGAGAGTCGCATATTGGAGTCCCGTAAAACATCGGTCCCAGAATTATGTAGGTAGAAATAGCGACTCTTGTAGATCTGTGAGGCGTGTTCCGGCGGAAGCGTACAAATACCTAATTGCCGTGATGTAGATCTTGCGGCATCTCTTTCCGGGCTAAGCGCAACTTTAGGGCGTGGTCAGGAACAGAATGTCGGGTTACCACATTGAGGATCCAACAATAAATGTTTACTCAACAAATATGACTGCTGAGTATTGATAGAGTGGCAAAAAGGATGAACCACTTTGCCAAGAGACAGACTCTGACTAAACAACTTGCAGTGTGTTGCGAAATCGAGTCTCTCCACACTTGCCTTCTGGAATAAGTTTGAGAGAGGGTCAAGCGTGCGGCAATACCAGGAGAGATTTGGCAATGCCAGTGCTGTGTAGAACTGCACACCGCCATATCCATTTCATTTCATTTCATTTCATTTCGTTCCATTCCAAGGGTATTCTAGAAGCGGTTGGTGGAAGAAGTAAAGGCGCCACCGTCATCCTGACAACGAAGCATGTCACGAAATAGGATAAATGGTTGGCTGATGGGGTGCGGCAGTTGAACATGACAGGTGCCTCTTCCGCGAAGAAGCGAAATTCAACTCGAGGCGTCAAGATGGCTGGCTGAAGCCGGATGGATAGTTGGTTGAAAGCTGGTTTAAGTTCTTGTTAGGAGCTTAAGTTGATGATAGAAAGGCGACTGACTTATTGGAGAAGTGAAGTGGAAAGTTGAGTTGAGCTGAGTTGAGTAGTGCGTCCAATCGAAAGCTAGATCAGTGGCCTTGGGAGGGGCGGAAGGACCCTTACTTGCAGCTGTCGCCCGAGTGGCTGCATGGTAGTAACTACCTCGCAGCGAATCGGAGAGAGGATATCTGTAGCTGCAGCGCCCACTGAAGCCGCTGTCATTCCCGGGCAGGGAATACCTGAGTACCACCAACAAAGTCGTTCAACTCAATTCGAGTTCGTTCTCATAACTTAAAAGTCAGAAAGAAATCTCTTGGCCAAGTCAAATAACTCTGTAGTAGAACTAGCGATATCTACTATGTTACTACGTAGTAGATATTCTTTTCCTTTTCGTTTTATGAGATATGTACCTAGGTATGCTTAGGTAGGTGCTAGGTAAGTCAAATCATTCACATGGCCAATCAAAACTCATTTCAATCCAAGCCAATTAAAAGCCCGGCTTGCCTTAAGTGCCTACAGTACCAGTTATACCCGGTCCACCTGCCAACCGCTAGAATTGGCTGCACGATAATTAAACAAATCGTTCTTGATTGATTACCGCTGAGCACGCGGTTGACGAAACGAGTGCCCAAAAGCAAACGTCAAGAATGTTCTGTATCGAAGAATCCTTAGCCTGTTGTCTTGCATTAACCTGCATACTCATTATTCTGTAGCGGCAATGGAATGTAAATATCTTGATGGCAGCTCTGAGAGACTCTGATTGGCCATCAACTCTTGGGTCACTCCTGGTGATATTGAAGCCAGTTTCAGGCCATGAGTTCATTATGAAGCATGATGAGAGATTGGCGTGACGGATTAGGAACATGTTTCCTTTCCCGGCGTATTCGTATGTTATATCAGTCCAATATTAGGGAAAAAAGCCGCGCGAGTGTTGCAGAAATGGTCAAGAGCAGGTAGGCAGGGTTCGAGCTTCCCTGATTAAAGTAAAGTCGTTGGCCGTTGCTTGGGCAATGCGCAAAGAGAGTTAACCAACCACGACCCCATCGCCAACGTCTCATTTAGAGCCCATCCCATCTCATCACGTCAATTTACTCAACTCCACATGCATCGCATCCTCCATCAAAATTCGCAGCCTTACTGAGGTAGCTGAACATCGTCATCCCCGCATTGATCCAGCTTTGCTATCGATCAACAACAGCTCTATCACCACTTACGATACCGATCAATTTATTGAGCCGCTCTCTGCTCGCACAGTCCGGCCTATACCATACGCTCACGGCGTAGCGACTTGATCCTACCGCCGACAGTACCACAACTATTGTACCGTGTAACCGCCACGGCACTTTTCATCTACAGCATTCTAGACCGCATATTCAGCATCAATTGCCCATCATGCGTTACAACCTAATTCAGATGATATTGCGAGGCACCGGGCTGCTGATGACCCTCCTTCTCACGGCTCTTACCGGCAGCGTTATCTCGTCAAACATTGATGCTGCAGGCTCGGCAACTGCTGCTGTCAACTTTATCATGTTTGTTGCAATCATCTGTTGGATCGTCTGTATCATCGGTCTCCTCGGTTTCTTCGTCTCCGCTCTCGACAAACCGCTTATGCAGCTTCCACTTGATGGCATCGCTGTTCTCTTCACTTTCATCGGAGCTATCGTTCTTGCCGCCAAACTGCGCGTCGTCAACTGTGGGGAGATCAATCCAAAAGCTCTGCCATCAGACTGGATTGCATGGGGCTCAGCAAGTGACGAGGGTCGTTGTCGTCGACTGCAAGCAAGCACAACATTCATATGGTTCCTGTTTGCCTGTGTGTCTGGAAGTCTATTCTTGACTATCCGAACTGCTCGCAACACGTTTGGTTCTCTCCGCAGTGCCGCTTCAAGGCCATCCATGTCTCAAATCTCGTCCAGTGTCTGATATCCCATGATGTAGCTAAAGGCTATATCACGACGCAATATTGATGACATGAGAAGCTTTACTCGCAACCATGGTGTCGAGTGGTAGAACCGATGAAACTACATCAAGGTTGCCAAAAGAAAAAAGAAAAAAGAAAAAAAAAAACTGTCACTTATTCGTGGCACCATATCGCACGAAGGACTGGAGGGGCATTGTCGGCTCTGCGCGACAGGAAGCAAGTCATAGTAGCTTCCAAAGGGAGGGTCTTGTGTTTGGGGCTTTTTGATACCAGGAATGTTTGAATAGGTTAATTTATTTGTATGGGAAAAGAGACAGGAGCATGACCAGCACAGGAGTTGGATGACGGCTAATGATTATGTAGTAATTAGTTTGAGTGCAGACATGATTTATTTCATGATTCCATCCACCCTTCTGGGTTAGTAGCCATCAGCTGGTGATTGTTTTCGAGAGAACATTTCTGGTGGTGGGCATCGCTGAAGCGTGATTGTGGTCGTAGTATGTATGGATAGGTATAGTCATCTATTTAAAATATGCGATCACGAACACCCCAACACCGTATTAAAGCCATGCATGCCCCCAAAGGCCCAGTATTCGTATTTATCCTTAGAATGGTCCACGTCCTAAAGAATGCATGTTGTCTATAATGTTGCCGCAGTCTCGACAACACCTGCTGCCTTGAATTTCTTCTTATCTGTTAATCGAATGTCGACGTTATGTGCCCACTCCATATACCGCGACCAACCTAGATCGAACCTTGTTAGCGAATCTGCCGAGATTTAGACCGTTGCTCTGTAAAACTTACTCCAATAAGCAAACTTTCGACCAAAGTATTTACCCATCCAGGGGACGATCATCATTGTCAGTATCAATTGCAGCTGCTCGAGACTGCGCTCCCACTCGGCCTGCGCGTCTGAGTCTGATACATCGGAGTAAATGTCGTCGGTGGATATGGATGGGAGAGAGTCAAGATCGTCCTTGTCAATGTCGGACGCATCATGGAGGTCGACGAGGGAAGAGTCAGCGGCCATGTTTGTGTTCGAGTAGAGGGAATCCGAGTTTTGAGAGAGTGTCGAGTCAGCGCTAGAGTTAGGCCAGGCTGTGGTGTTATTCAATCGGGTGGTAAAAGGACTAAGTCGATATGTAAGGTTGGGGGTGGACAGTGGATGATGGAAGACGTCGAGATGCTGGGTCGCTTCGGTCAAGGTAGTTCAACTACAGCAGCTGACAGTTCCTCTTTTAAAGATATCGGTCGTTATGAGCGTGAGTACAAAACACGATTAGGATCACCCAGCGAGTTTGGGTGTGGAAGTCAAGTTCCTTTCAACCACGATGATCGAAACCAAGCGATGGCCGAGGTGATGTTCGTCACAGTTGTCGGGCCTGTAGTCACTGCGGCGCCCGGAGCGGGATTCCGAGTAGAGCTGGGGAAGCTACAGCCTACGACTTTTCTGATTGGTTGAAGCGTAGTACTGGCATCGTGCACGTGATCTAACGCGTGACTCGCTATCGTGAAGCTGAGGGTCCGCTTGCGCTGTGGTTGACTCAAGGTATCGCATCCGCCCATGACGTTGGATTCACTTCCCTCTCTACCTTGTTAACCCGCAACAGAATCCATCAGAAGGAACAGATCAACAGAGCGCGACAAAAACTCTGCGACTCGAAAACACCTGCCATCGTTGCGCGAGATACGTGAAAGGGAAAAGAAGCTTTACCTTATACGAAAGTCGACACCCACATCCCAAAAAAACTTCCGGTACAACAACTGCGCGCGGTAGCAGCAGCCCGATTAAAAAAGAAGCACATCAGCTTTTAAGCACACACAACTACAAACGCAATCATGGAGGGCGAGGTGAGTCAACGCACATATATTCCCTGTCGACTCTTTTCTGAGTCAAAATGCGACCTACCCGACACATACATTACATTACAATCACAACCTATAAATGCTGGGATGGCTTGTGAATCATGGACAGATACTTAGGTATCCCAGGCTGGGCTCTCTGTCTCTCATGCCGCTGGCGCACAGGCCCAATCTTTTACCCCTCCAAACCCTCCAACGCCCTATCAACGAGCCTATCACTGCTTCTCCTTGCCGGTTTTTTACCCCACCATCATCCTCAGATGTCCAAGTACCTTTGTACTGTCCTACACCACTTTTGGGGGGGACAACAGCCGATTTGACATCAATTTATTTTACTACCTGGGCCTTTGACTCACATTTTCCCAACCGCCACCTTCACCATCATCATTCATTATCGACAACCACCGACAGCGCCGTCCCCTCAATCGAATTCTTTACTAACGCATTCATCTTTTTTTGCTCAATTTACAGGCACCGACCGAACGCAAATCCCGCAAATCCGTTGCTTTTGACGACGAACAAGTCGTAGTCGACGCTGACGGTTCCGTCACCATGGTTAACGCTACCGAAGAACCCAAGGATTCGGCTCAGTCCCACACGCCTCGTACGCCGCCGCTCTCTGCCGCCCTTGAGTCCTTTACTGATTCGCAAACGACAGCCGTTGAGGATGCTCCCCCAGCTGAGGATGGTGGTCTTGATCTTTCCCTCATGAAGAAGAAGAAGAAGAAGTCCAAGAAGGTTGATGACGATGCCGAAGCCGCCCCCGCTGACGATGCTGCCCCCGCCGAGGATGGAGGTCTCGATCTCACCCTCAAGAAGAAGAAGAAGAAGCCTAAGGCTCCCAAGGACGACGACTTCACCAAGCAGCTCGAGAAGCTCGAGTTGCAGGAGGGCGCTGAGGAGACCGAAGAGGCTCCTCAAGAGCAGGAGGGTGACATGAACGAAGGAACTGGTATCTGGGCCCACGATGAGACTAAGACCATCGGCTACACCATGCTCCTTTCTCGATTCTTCAGCGAGCTCACCCAGAGGAACCCCGACCACGTTATGACTGGAACAAAGAGCTACAAGATCCCCCCTCCTCAGTGTATGCGAGAAGGCAACCGAAAAACCGTTTTCGCCAACATTGCCGATATCTGCAAGCGCATGAAGAGAACCGAAGAGCACGTCACCGCCTATCTGTTTGCTGAGTTGGGTACTAGCGGTTCCGTTGATGGTAGCCGAAGACTGGTTATCAAGGGTCGTTTCCAACAGAAGCAGATTGAGAACGTCGTCCGAAAATACATCAGTAAGTGTTTGCAAATGTACTGCACGACAACCATAGTTACTGATTATGCCCCCTCCAGTCGAGTATGTCACCTGCAAGACCTGCAAATCTCCCGATACCGAGCTCAACAAGGGTGAGAACCGTCTATACTTCATCACTTGCAACAACTGTGGTTCTCGACGAAGTGTCACTGCTATCAAGACCGGTTTCTCCGCCCAAGTCGGAAAGCGAAGAAAGATGCAGGGTTAAGCAACCACACGTCGTTTCTTCTCTCTCGATCCTGCCCCTAACCAATGCCAACAAGGCCGCTGGCTTTTGGTTCCTGGGTGGTTACGTTTATCTTGGTGGTGTTCTATCTAAGGTTACGCAGCTGACTCCTCTGAAAACGAACAAACGGTTTTCTCTTCGAGCAACGTAGCCTGGATATGGATGTGGATCTCGCACTTTTGGATGAGGCTCTGCTGATAGTTGCCTTCTCCCCACGATCTGGTCTTTAGGGTCAAAAGGAGTGATGTCGGTCTCGATAAATTATGAAATCGAGTGCCGGGGTTATGATGTTGGCGTATGGATTATGTACATGATGCCGGAATGAAATAAGACTCCAGCCAAGAAGCTTGATGCCAGTGACAATGTCCGCCCATTAACTTTTGTACAAAGATGATGTTTGCAAGCCGATGATCAACAACGAGGCCGGATACGCGTAAGTCGAACGGTATGCAAACTTTGCATCCTTGAAAATCTTTATTACTACACGACGACAATTTGATCCAGTCGTGCCCTCAGGTAGTCGTCAACCCAGAACTGACCCCAACTCCCATCTCTGATGAATGGCTTCCATTTACGAGACTCATACATGAGAGACCAAAAAGAAAAGTTAAAAATAAGAGCACACGAACCAAAAAGACATGTCTACCTCTAAACGCAGAAGGCCGTAGCCAAATAACTCTCCCGAACCAGCCCGATATAGCCTCCCGTTTTCTTTTTGCCATGCATGCATACGTGTTTCCTTTGTTCCATGTACGTTTAAGTATGCCCTGCTCATGGCATTGGCAGTAACTTCCATCTTCATGTAGAACATTGTATTATACAAACTGATCAACGTAGCGGACGAATCAATGATCCAGCCACCACATGTGGACAATCTAGCTAAAATTGTACACCGGGGCTCGTGTCCATTGACATGTCCGTATCGAAAATCGAGCCAGCCATAGCATTGTCTGTGTCAACAATGGTGGCATTCTTGGTCGCAGTGTCAAGGTTGTTATCCAGCTCTGTCCGTGCGGCATCAAAGGTACTGTGGACCCATGAGCCAAGACGGTTCTTCTCGAGGAACTGATGAAGGACCTTGTCCTCGTGCTTCATAATATCAACCAGTTTTGTGCGGAACGATGTCTCGAAGTCGCGGAACCGGCGGTCGAGGTTCTCAGTAAAGGCACCCAGCGCCTCCTTGGGGGACAAAGGCCGGAAAGGCTCTCGTGGGTTTTCTGTGTCCAAGTTAGCAGAGGTCCAAGTATCTAGGTTAAAAAGTCAACTTACGAAAGCTAATACAGTCTGTCATCATAGAGTAGAGTTCTGTTTCTGCCAACCTTTCGACTACCTCGCGGTCGTCTTTGAGCTGGGTATCGTTAATGCGCGACCAATCATCGCGAATAAACAACCTCCTCCAAATCATCCTCTTGGCTTCCTTAACTTCGTCGCTATGGCAGCTGCTCTCAGCAACGAGAAGAGCCAGCCAAAACGGATTAGGAATCTCGGCTCGAGACTCAGGCTTTAGATAAATCAAGGTAAGAAGGTCGATGAGCGTCATAGCATCCAAAGCCTCGTGTTGCAAGAGACGTTTCATGCCATCTTCAAAGATCTGGTGCTGAGCCTTTTGGCGGCGAGGGATGTTCATGCTGTGGACCTCCATGGCAAAGTTGAGTGCGGCCGCATCGTCCACCGCATCATATGTGCTAGGGAGGACTTGGTGGTACAGTTGATCTTGGATCCTGATCGCGACCAACTCTCTGTCGACCTTCTTCAATTTTTCCTCTGTGCGAACTTCATCGGCGTTGACCTTGAGACCGCTAGGGTTGGTGTCCTTGTCTTTCTCTTCAAGCTCGGCCAAAAGAGCCAGTTTGCCGAGACTCAATTCGATCTTCTTGTTCCAGACTTGCTGTTCCTTGGTGAGTGCCAAATTGATGAGCGTATCGGCACTGTGGCCCACATCCTTCTCCTGCTGCACGTCGTTGATCCACGAGATGCGCGCTAGCTCAGGCTTACTACGCAGGAACTGCGTTTTATACCCCTGGTTATCAAGGTCGAATTCCAGTACGTCCTCAACTCCATGTTTTTGAAGGAGGAACTCGTAGGCAGGGAACGCGAAGGCCTGGCCATAAGTAGAGAAGCTGTTCTGCAGCTTATTCTTCTTACTGTCTCTAAGCCGCTTAAGATTCTGTGTTTCCACTAAGGACAGTCCGGGCTCGCCAAGTCGATCTTCGAGAATTTGAATGTGATCAAGCAGAATGACAGAAAGGGCACGGAGACATTCATGCTTCTCGGCAATTGAAGCACCTTCTTCCCATTTACCAGAGCGCGCCAGGGCAAGAGGCTTCTCGAAACGATCAGTTGCGTAAACCTTTGCAAATTGCTGAGAGATGACCTTTTGGTCAGACTGTACTTGTGACCAGCGAGCGCACTCCAGAACCGAAGTGAGCATACCATCGATAAGACTAGGGAGCTCCTCAAAAATCTTGGTGACGATCTTGGGATCTGGGTGGTTTGCTCCCTTGGTCGACTCGCCAGCGTCATGGTTCTTGAGTACCCACTGGTCTGAGAGGTCGACAAGACGTTTAGCGTTATTGGCGACATACTGAGAGCCAGTCCAGGGCTCGGGAAGATCTTCGTATCCATCACGTAGAATACCCAAACGCAGTTCCTCGAAACCAAGACCGTAAGAGCTGAGGCTGTTCTTTCGGAAATCATGAGCTGCTGTAAAGGTGCAATTGTAGACCTGTATCGCTTCGTATATCATGACATTAACCTTGGCGTCATCAAGAAGATGATCTTTGTATAATGTTTTGATGACCTCGTAAGCCCAGGCAACGAAAAGCTCCAGGCGGAAGACATCGTTAATAAACCAATGCCGAACTCGATCAACCTCGCCAATCTTAGCGACGGGGTTGTGCTTCTGATCTTGATGAATGAACTCGACAATCGTGCCGATAAGACTCTTTTTATCATTTGCCGGCCGTGCAGCAGTGAAAGCTTCGTGTCTTTTCCAGAGCAGAGTAGCCACATGCATTTTCTCAGCGTTGTAAAGCAGATTCCAGCGTGTCTTGCGGTCGAGGTCTGCTCCCATAACTCTGAGCTGTGTGATCAATCTCTCCAGTGCGTTTGATCGAGCTCGCAAGTTGTCTTCTAGCGAGGCCGGGAGTGTCGAAATAAAGGGTGTACTAGAGCTCAAAATTTCGTGACTGACTTCGAGCGCAGCTTCGGCGATTTCGTCGTTGGCAAACTTGATGTCTTGTCGTCCATCGAAGATCAAAGGATTGTCTTGCTTCACACCGAAGAAGACAGCCTGCTCAATTTTGCTCTTCGCGGAAACCTTTGGTGGTTGGTCACTAGCAAATTTATCCACATCGGTTGTCACGATTCGCACTGCGCCAGCTCCTCGAACCATGAGGACGACAGCAGGGTTCTTTGTCTTGGGTCGATGAAGTCGATGTTCTTCGTGGCTAGTAACTGATGCCATTTCTTCAAATCCAGAACCAATAATCTCGTGCAGATCGTCTTCTCGGAAGTCGACTACATCTTCGAAGGCGGCAGGGAGGATGTGACTGTCGGTTTGAAGTTGCGACTCAGGAGACTGGGGTGGGAGGGCGATAGAAGCAATGACAGTTGCACGGTCAAAGACCACAAAGGCAACCAGAGCGGGTCGAGGAAGATATAGGCGCGGTCGTGAGGCTTCGGATAGTTGTGATGAGAACGGTGTACTATATGATGTTATGGGACGGATCATGCCAATCTGGCAATCTCTGGGGGTCAGGATAGCCTCGACCAATGCGTAGCGAGAAGTGCTTCGTAGGGTCAAGCTAACGAGAACGAGGAGGTGCTGCACTGATGAATCGTCGGTAGCCATAGCATCACTCAGCCTGCTCAGCTCCAGGTACTTGGACTCCAAGCCCTTAGGAACGTAGGTAAAGTCGATTGCTTCAAAGGAATCTTCGGGGTAATCTTGAGACACAGGGTCGGCCTCCTGTAACGCAGCAACAATTTCCTCTCGTACGTCTGCATCGCCAATGATTTCATTATGACCTCCGCGATGAACCCTCCAAGCATTAAGTCGTCCCTTGCTGGTAAGAGCCACAATGTTCCTCTCGCCTGTCCGTGCAGACCGATCTGCTCGGACAGCTGCAACATCTCCTTTGAGAGACAGGTGTTGGAAGGCGTGTCGAATACTGCCAAAGATACCACCGGTGGCGGGTGACAGGTTATTACGCAGGAACTGAACGGAGATAGCAGGACGGCCTTGGCTGTCGCGCACGTTCATGTACGCAAGGCGTCCGGAGTTGAAGGTCAAGATAAAGCCAGCAGATTCAGCGTTGGTGATAGCCACAACTTTCTCGCCTGAGTGCATTCCTGGGATCGTATACTCCACGCCTGTGCGGTCCTTCTTCATAAAGACAAACGTGGCAGCACTCGCAATCGATTCCCAGTACACAACTTTCCCACTACCTCCCATTACAACAACCAAGCCGGGCTCTGCCGATGACGCGGATGGTGAGACGAGGCATCCTACGGGAAGGGGTTCGTTCGGTCTGGTAGTCGATGGAAGGCTAAAAGAAAAGGTTTCGGGGGATTGCGATGTGGATGTGTAAGGCCAGACAAGGGCGTGTGTTTGAGTTAGGGAGAGGGCATAGCCTGTAGAGAAGATGTCGGCGGTTTGGTAGGCTAAGAAAGTGAGTAAGGCATCGAAAAGTCAAAGAGGAAATGCGCATCAACTTACCTGGCCAGTCGGCGCGAATTCTGTCGGGCAAAGCTGGTAGCTTGCTAACTGTGTAGGCGTTTGTGCTTGTCTGTAAAGGACAATCAGTATACGACATTGACGTGGAAGAAACAAGTTCCGTCTTCTTACCAGCACAAGGCTTCCGTCGCCTTTATTAGCGGCGCGATCGCCATGCTTTGCCTTTTTTGTGCGAACGTTCAATTCCTTGCGCAAAACTGGGCTAACAGGCTCGGGGGGCTCGATGTTGATGGTTTTGTTTTTGGCGGGTAGAGTCGCGACCTTGGTATCAGCCTTGACCTCGATCATCTCCTGTCCAGCTTCAGGATTCACAAAAGTTTGCTCCGTCAGAGGAAGTCTCTGTCTCTTTGCTTTCGGCTGTTGAGTTGTACGTTCAGAGCTCACTGGGCGCTGGCGACGGCGTGAACGAGTCGCGGTCGCAGGGCCGCCTTGAGCGGAGGACGGGGAAAACATTTTGGGTGGATCGCAAAGTTGGTGTCGATGGATAGATGGTTGTATCAAGAAAAGATGTCGCGAAATAGGGCGTGTCGTGTTAAAATGGCGATAGAATCAGCCGCGGGATCATAGAGGCATTTTGCGGCGTAAACGTGACGATGATCGTGATGGATCGTTGACGTGAATGTGAGAATGTGAGCGGTGACTTTTTGTAATGATGGATGGGAGAGAAAACTGGGCTTTGGAAGTCTGCTGCACCTGTAGTGTACTAATGGAGGTATCTTGCAGAGCGAACAGTGACGAAGCGTGCATCAGGAGCCAATCGAACAACAAAGTTGGTTGTCCGTCTCCCAGCTACGGCCCTGTCTGGCGCGTTATGATTGGCTGGCGACTTTTTTTCTTCATGAGGTCCAGCGTGCTAGAGCTGCTGTGCTGAGCTGGCATTGCCTTGTAGCTCCTTGAGAGCTTCTGTCAATTGTGTTCGTGGGCCAACCAAAGCTCTGCATCTGCTCCACTCACTTGCAGCTGACCCATGAAAAGTGGCGGGTGCCGCAAACCACTTGCATCTCCAACTCTCACAATACATCATCGCAGAGAAACCAAACAAACATTCAGTTCATGCAGTTCCATCAAAAAACATTATTCCATCATCCACTACACGATACTATCACGAGATTTTTGCCCAGCATCTTACGATGTCCAACCATCACGATGACGCATCCTGGACGCGCGCTGACAGAGAACTTTTAGAGAACACTGCCAGAGATGCCAAGTATACCAACGAACAAGGTATATCAAATCCTACCATTACTTACTCAACTAATTATTTTAGTCACTATTTTGGCCGAGCAAATCAAAATTCTGGTGTCTCACTCCCAGCAACGCGAAGAGAAGGAAGCCCGAGATGCGCAAGCCAAAATCAGATTGCCGTTCTATCGCAAGCTCTGGAACCGATTTGAAAAGAATACAGCTTAGATCGTTGCATTAATCGCGTTTTTTCAAGCCTTACAAGTAACTTTCAATATTATCTACCTATGCTAATTAATTAGTGGTTACTCGAACTGATCTGGAATGCGATTAAGGCCGTCAAAACCGCGACCGTCTTCTTCTAGGGTTCTCTCGTGGTGGTTGCTCTATTCTTCTGGTGGTGTGGCTTTGTACTGTACTCGATTTTAATTAAATCAGCGACTACGAATGAGCGGGAAACCAAGTCTGAAATACATCTTCAATCTCTATGCTTTTGGTGTCTTTGTCTACGTAACCTGACTTTCCAATTGTACAGTATCCTAGATCGAGTCTGCAGCCAAAACAATTGGCCAGGCTAGACCCCGATCAACGACTACCCTATCCCTAGCACTGACTCCACATATGTCGATATTAACTCAAACCTGCACACCGTGACGATTCAATAGCGGGCTCATCATCATGAGACGGTTCTCAACAGCGGTGATTATCACGGATCCTCTGGTCAAGTATCAAACTCATGTAGCGGCTGGCCTGTATGCGCCAGATCCATCGCAGCATCGGCTTGCCAGGCACTTACAAAAGATATATCTCCGCATCAAGGACTATTCTCCCCAAACAGAATACCGTCAACGCTTGAAACAAGTTGCTCGTTTGACCGAGGCAAAGTCAAAAGAGAATCCGGAAGAAGAAGGGAATATTCTTGCGTTACGCAATCACTCAATATGGCGGAACCCGCTCTTCAAGCATCTCCTCGCAACACCTGAAGGGAAAGAGAGTCTCGCTATGACCCGAGTACTTGCGAATCACGAGTCTGCAATCGAGATAGACTCACCTAAGGGACTGTTTCTTTCAGGTGAAGTGGGCACTGGAAAGTCGATGTTGCTTGACCTACTTGCAGATGGTTTACCAACTGAGCGGAAGCGAAGGTGGCATTTTAATACCTTTATGCTATACACCATCTCTCAGCTCGAGCATCATCGAAAAACCAACCCTGGAGTTGAGGAGGGAGAAACAGACTATTCCATCTTATGGATGGCCAAAAAGTTGGTCGACGAATCTCCGATCTTGTTTCTCGACGAATTCCAGTTACCCGATAAAGCGGCCAGCAAGATCCTCAGCCACCTGTTCATTGCATTTTTTCAACTTGGTGGTGTTCTCGTTGCGTCTTCCAACCGTATGCCTGAAGAGCTTCAGAATGCAATTGGTGTCGATTATACACCTGCGCCAACAAGGGGCTTGATTCGCAAATTCTTTGGCGGCGCAGTACGTGCTCGAGGCGAGATGTACGGGTCAACCAGCGATTTTGCAAACTTTCTCGAAGTGTTGAAGGCTCGGTGCGACTTTTGGCAGATGGAAGGAGCTAAAGATTGGAGGAGGAGAGAAGAGACCGACAGCCCTCTTGTTGTGGCTGAGAGTGCTGCCGAAGGTGAAGCTGTTGTGGAGGAGGCTGTCACTCAAGACAAGCCGGAACGAACTACTAAGAAGCCAGTGAACTATTACCTGTCAACGGATGAGCAAGACGCATGGCGAGAGCGAGTAATGACTGCTATTGCATGGACGGACCCTGTTTCACTACCATGGAAACCCTCAACGGTCGTGGTATACGGACGAAAAGTTCACACACCTCGACACTACAACGGCTATGTGTTCTGGGACTTTGGAGATCTGGTTGAGGCCTTTGGACCAGCTGATTACATTACAATGGCCTCTACTTACCATACATTTATCATTGACAATATTCCTATCCTAACATACGCAACAAAGAACGAGGCGAGACGATTTATTACCCTATTAGATGCTCTATACGAAGCTCGCTGTAAACTCATTATTCGGGCGCAGAACCCTCCGGATACACTGTTCTTCCCCAAAAAGAGAGGTCTTGCAAATGGAAAACCAAACAACACAAACGAGCCGGATGATCTCATCTCTGAAACCATTGCCGAGGTATATCAAGATCAGATGTCTCCATTTCGACCCAATGTGGCATACTACGATACAAAGTCAAACACCGCAAACTACGATCCAGACCAGGACTCAGACTTTGGCATACAGACCAAGCCCATCGACTTTGCGAACAGAAGCGCGTTCACCGGAGAAGATGAGCGGTTCGCATACAAGAGAGCTATCTCTCGATTATGGGAACTATGTAGTGCGCAGTGGCATGCTAGGACAGGGGATTGGTGGCAACCGCTGCCCCTCGAGGCACGGCACTGGGAAGGAGGCACTGTCACGCAGCGAGTCGAACATCAAATTGGTGCAAGTCGACTGAGCAAAGAAGAAGGGATGGGCCAGAGTTTGGAGGTTGATGAAATGGCTGGACTGTCAAAGTGGAGAGTTGAAGATCTGAAGAATAGCTCGGAAAAGAGTGTCTGATCCAGATACTCTGATGTAATTGGGTAAACAGCAAGTATGTGCGCGTACATATCAACATCAAGTATTTAGAAACAAATAGATTTAAGTTATTCGTGAATCAACCAGTTGCCCGTATGAGGGCAGGATCTAGATAGTCTATGACCGGATATCCCGTTATGCCATGCTCCAAAACGCCATGCACCTGTATCTTGCTTTACTACTTATACATTGCTCCGGTCCGTCCAGCTCAGAGGCTCGTCACACCTGGCGTCCAGCCTTCGCCTATTCTCTTCATGTCTTCAGTGAATTTACGACTTGTAATCTTTTTGCCCCCTCTTCCCCCTAACGGCGCATGCTCATCCGGGTCATAAAATGGGTTCTGTAGCAACTTGACATATGCGTGTTGCATAGCGCGAAAGACGGGTTTGAGCTCAGCGTCGCGCAGGCCTGTAGCAGAACCCCTACTCGCAGCTGCCGGAGCGTTGCCATCAACGCGACGGCCGCGCATATCAACGACGCAAACCATGCGAACGCCCGTATTGGTCTCGAAGCCGTAGGCGGCGAGGCGGTCGTCGACGGCGTGTAGCAGACCAAAGTCGCCCGAGAGACCTACGCCCGAGACCGCATTGTTTCTTGCGCGAAGATCGAATACATCGATGGTGGAAGAGAGAAGGAGCGAAAATTGGAGAGGCGTGCGGATCGGGGCGAATGTGTTTGTCGCTGGATCGAGCGAGGGGAAGATGGAGATGTGGAGGGGGTTGTTCTGTTAGGACGGCGAATTAGTAACTTATCACATGAAACAACGGACTAGAAAAAGATGTACTCACGTTTCTACCAATGACGCCTAGACAGGCGATTGAGGGTATCGCGGTGGACATGGTTATAACAGCTTGTTGGCGAAGATGGAGGTTGAAAGAGGAAGCTCGGCTTAGTGGGAGCCTCCATGCTCGCTTTGTGCCAGCGGGCAACCTTAACTTGTAATCCCCACCTCCTACATCCAAGGACATCATGATGGGCGACTTGCAGCGAAAAATGTGAACTCGTTAAATGTGAATAAGTCAAGAAAGGACGACGAATCTCAGAACTGGGAATATTGAATTCATTTATTATTCCAAATTCGAAATATGATGGTAGCGGCTGGAGGCTGGAATGTCTCTCTTTAGCTTGTCTGTCTGAAACCGGCCATTAACTCAGAAACCATTACAAGTCCATCATCACCTCTCATCACGAATTCAACCATTGCCAAGTAGGTACTACGTGTGCATAGACTTTTGCTAGTCGATGCTGTAAATGTGTTCAATTCAATTCGTAAAATCCACAATTCGCTTGCCCTATCGCGTACCCTCTATTAAAGTCCACGCCGAATAACATGATGTATATATGCAGTGGCTGAGTGGGCAGTTCTCACTCTGAGTATTCGTCGTCTTCCATGAGACCTGCGGTATCCTCAAGTCCTCTTAGAACCTCCTCGACCTCTGATGGATCTGTGATGGCCCACACACCTCCACCCTTTACTAGATCTTTGCCGCGCATACCGACTTCTTTGCCTACAAGGTTGCGACCGACCTTGCCCGGCCCAACACCAACCCATCGCCGTATACGGGCCTCTTGGTCCAAGTACCTGATGCTGTCCCACCAGCGTACTGTGTCGAGGCAGCCGCGGGCCAGTAAATCCTTGAGCTCTTTTTTGCAGCAAACTGGCCGCGCAGACACATTGCTGATGATCGGCAACTTCCCGGGGAATTTTACAATGTCCTCATTTTCGCGACCCTTCACTTTGCTGGGTTCTTCGAGGAGCTGGCGCATCACGGCGACAGCGGGTTTCATGATGGGGCTGTGAAAAGGACTATCGGCCTTGAGACGTACAGCGCGAGGGTCGTAGCCAAGGAACTGACGAACGTGAGCAATGAGCATCTTTATCCGCTCTATATTTCCACTCAGCACGATCTGGTTCTTGCTGTTTATGTTGGCTATCAACACCTGCTCGATAGGCGGTAGATCTGCCAGGTCCTCAGCAGAAATGCCGACAAACTCCCGGATGGCTTCAACCAGTTTGTCCATGTGTTCTGGGTGGGAAATGACCGCCACCATGCCGTATTCTCCGCCGTACTTTTCGATCGCATGTTTCGTAGCTTCGGACATGGCCTCTGCTCGTTTGCGCACTAGGTTTAAACTGTCCTGGAAGGAGATGTACCCGCCAGCTACAACGGCAGCGAACTCGCCGAGTGAGTGGCCTAGTGTAACATCGAAGTGATCGGTGACCTTGAAGTTGAATTCACGTTCGAGAATGCTCAAGATGAAAATGGATGTTGCCATGATGGCGGGCTGCGCATTGGGTGTCTCAGTAAGCAGCTTCGAAGGCCCATTCTGGATGATGTCGGAGAGCTTGTAGCCCATATACTCGTCAATCTCGTCTCGTAGTTGTGATGCCGTAGAAGGGAAGGCCTCGAGCCATGGAGTCAACATGCCCACTCGCTGGACGCCTTGGCCTGGGAAGAAGAGTGCCGTTCTTGTACCTCCTCGATGTGTAGATCGCCATCTTTGTTGTAGTTGAAGTAATGGTCGATTGTGGAGGGTAGTCGGCGTCGAAGAGAAAGAAGCAGGGGAGCAAATGTGAGTAGTAGCTAGAGTATAAGTGCGACGGCACCGCATCGTGAACGTTGCCATTGCCGTCTGAGCGGCGGGGCAGAGAATAGACGTCAAGATGGACGAAGTGAACGGTTCATTCTGTGGCGATCCAGCTTAAGGAGACGAGAGAAAGAAGAAGTGCAAACAATCCACTTTCCTGCTGAACTTGAGAAAACAAAATAATCAATGTCCAAGCCCAAACCCACGAGAATGATCACCCTTTGGGGGGTCTGGGTCTGGGTCTGGGTCTGGGTCTAGGTACCTAGTAAGTTATGGAGGTAGGTCTGGGGTTCGGGAGTTTGCGTGACGTCGGGGTCATGTTAGTGCTAAGGTACGTACCGAATTCCTCGGAATTGGGGGAATTTCTCTCCAATTCTCATGAGAATCATCGGAATCGCTGCAGACAGAGTCGTGGGTCGTCCAATCATATTACGATCGCATGCCGAGCCGTCGCTATTCCAGGCGCCCTTCGACCTTAGACTTGGGGCTCCGGGTCTGCCCCCACACTTAGAGCCGATACCCCGACCTGAAGCGGCTTCGGAGCTCCGTTGTTCTTTGGGCGCATCCTCCGAGGCTCTCTCGAATTACATGTTGTCGGATTGGCTCTCTGAGCAGCACTTCCTAATTGTTCCTTCACCTCCCGCGGGAACACACTCCGATCATGCACCGGGTGTGCGTTACATCAAATATGTCCATTCATTACGTTTGTGCGTCGCTTCTAAGAGGTATTGGATATTTGTCGGGTTTGACCATTCTGAATTTGCTTTTGTTTCTGCCATGGCCTCTAGCTTCCCGTGATTGGCTCGCAAATGCGGCATGCACTGTACTACTGTTAACGCTTCACTCAACACAACATCATGAGCCCATCCCATCGTATGCTTGCCGTTCCATGTCCCCGGTTGTTGTAGCGTCTAATTTTCTTTCATTAACATCGTATCTCCACACCTCCCTTGCTAACCGTCAAGTACTTGACTCCTTTGTAGGGCTTGACACTCTCTCCCAGACCCCTACTCTTGCGTGTGTCGAGCTGTATGCTCTCTACTTTCAATCCACTTGCCAACCAACCCTTGACCGAGAAACTTACTGATGCCGATGTTGGCATCAAGATCTTGTTCTGTGCGATTTTCTTGGTGTCCTTGTCATCACCTGTGCTTTCGGGATTCTGTGCCGCCTTGGCCACAGGCACACTTTGATATGGCCCATCAAATGTGTAGTCAGTTCCGAATCCAAACCCGTTAGGATCGAATCCCTCATCATCCTCACCTATCAGTGGTCCCACAACGGTACACCTAAGACCGAAGTAGCTTGTACCGCCTGATAACTCCTTTGCGGGGATATACCACTCCAGAAACTTCTCGCCGGGGTTGAAGCTGGCATCACCTTTGCTCGGTCGAATCTCAGATAGGTTTCTAACATCGGCTGGCAGCGGAATCGTCACAGTTAAGTCATCCATCAAAGGAGCTCCTGGAGATCCAGGATGAGGCCCACCGAGTCGGCCTCCACTACCGCCTCTCCCTATACCCGATGATGCTGGCGAAGGTGCCCCGAGAATCTTGTTAACCTGCAGCCGAACCTCAAAATCTGATCCCGTTGCCCCTAAACCTGTCTTGACCTCCATGTTGATGGGGAGCTTCAGATTGTTAGAGCTGAGGCTCCCGCTCTTCCCACTCGTAAAGGGCAGCAGGTCCACTTCGTACCCAGCCAGAATGAATCTCCCGTCAGGTGGAATAAAGCTCAGCTCGCCTGGTCTCTCCTTCCACCGGTTCAGCCGCACACATGGGTGAAAGACGGGTAGTTCCATGATACTGCCAAGATTGTGTTTTCCGGATGGACTTGTGATGTTCAAAGTAATGTCCGGAACGCCTGATACTTTACAAGTGAATGCGATAGTGCCGTTGGCGAAAGCTGCCAGAGGCCTTCCTGAAGGGGCGAGTGTAACAGACAAGGTCTCCACGATATCCGCGTACATTTCGTTGGACGTGTGCCGCACGTTGGCTCTCCTCCATGGTAAAGCGGTCGAGTTCGATGGCAAAATGGAAGACGTGCTTGAATTTGAGAAGTTGGCGCTCAAAGGTGCTTTTCTGATCATGTATTAGCACAAAGGTCTGTTGCAGGAGAAGCTCAATGGTCTACAAACCCAGGCAGATTGATGCTTCCCAACAATTTCCCAACCCAGCCTTCCTGTTCCACCACCTCGCGCAGAGCATTAGGTTCTGTCGTACTAATTATGCCGGCGTCGCACATCTCCGTCAGTAGTTGCGCAACAATATCGTAGTTATTCTCGATCTTGACGGCCAGGAGCGGCGCGCCAAGGAAGTCTTCGAAAGCATCTATTATGCGGTGTAGGAACTCAAAGACAAGCAGCGGTTCGATCTCGGTTGAAGACGTAGCAAGGAATAAGAGGTTCGCATGTGTTAAGCTGAAGACAAGCGTCGGAGGACTCGTATTGGGGAGGTAGATGAGGTTCGGTCGCGGTGCGGGATGTTCTAGGTAGAGGGGTAGAAGATGGGTTGCCGACAAGGGCCGCCCTGCATAGGTATGCGAGAGAATAGGATTACTAGATGTAGATACATGGTTAGAAGAGGTCTATTCGAGTGATCCAATGAGCCATACCGGTTATCATCGTAAATGTGAAGCGCCTCAATAACGCCGTTCATTGTAAAGACCAACACCTCCCTCTAGTGTTGACAGGCGAGAGCTCAGGTACTCTAATGGCGCTCTAAACTAAGTTAAACGGTGGGACAGCAGCACAAGCAATGACGATTGCAGGTGCAGACCCCTGGGAAGTATGACTCAGCGACCAGCAGCTGATTTGTCCAATCAACATCGGCCTTAGTGCGACTCTATGGTTGAAGCTCGTGATACTTGAATGGATAGTTGAATTCTTTTTATTCGAGATACCAATTTTCACCCCTAAGCAGCAAGTCCCCACAATGGCAGGCGACAAGATTCCGACAGTCCAATCTCTGGAGAAGCCAGAAAAGCTTGAGGACATTTTGCGCCAGGATCGAGGCGAAGACTGTTTACCTTGCAAAGTCGTCGGTCAGTTCCAGCACTCAGTTCTTATACTCACTCAATCTTAGGGTGGACTGACAATGTGATAGGTAGCGGGGCATTCTTTGGCCTAGGAGCCTACAGTTACTTCTCTGGCATGTCCCAGCTTGAGAAACAAAAGGCTTTAATCCTCAAGAGCAAATCTCCCTTTGGAATGCGAAGTCGCAAGTTCGGCATTACCTCTATATCGCTGGCTCTTGCGTGGATGGGACTCTGGAGGGCATTCAAATAGTCAAACGACGGTTCACCAAGCATTCAAGTACTCCCTCTCACACCATCAAACATCACTGTATAACACCACTTCGCAAGACATCTTGCAGCTTTATCTTTCGCAGGTACGCCTATAGTTTGAGATGTCAGAATACCCGGGGTGTCTCTAAGGATCTAATCGGGATTCTCTCATGTCTCTGTAGCAATTTTCTTACAAAATAATAGAAGGAGTTGGGAGTTTGTCTATGGCTCATGTAGAACTACTAGTGTACTGCGTTGTAAAATACTGGATGTCTGATAAGATTAGTATTTAACTGCCTAAGTGGTTTGAGATACTAGGACTTTCCTATCTGATATATAATGACTTTTATGAAAATATAATGATTTACTTATTCTTCTTTATATATTTAAACGTACGAGCATTACATTGAATCGCTGGTTTATAAAATGGCCGATACTGGGATTCTCTATCGGTTCCAGGTACTCACTCTCATTAAGCCACTCTCCTTGCTACCATGCACTAAAATCTCAACCTCAGAGACCCACATTGAATCTTTAACCAAACTCATCCATCAACCAGAAAAATCGACAACAAGTTAATCCAGCTCAACTTCTTATCCTGCAAACACCCTATCGGTGTATTTAATTTAGTACTACCAGTCACCCTTGGAACAGTTCAACGGTTATCGGGCCTCAACAACTGGCCGCTTTCTCGCATCGCCATCATCTTCTCTTCTCATCTCATCATGCCCATCACAATTCTTAGTCCTCAACCTCCCACGCCCAGGAGACCACAAGCAGTCCCTGTCGCAAATAATGATTCCGACTCTGACTCTGAAGGCGGTGCTGAGGTAGAGGGTGACGACATCTTCACACCAGGCACCGTGATAACGTCGAACCCTCAATGGATGCGGTAAGTCTGAGCATCTCAGACGTCACGACTTTTCAACTTTGATACTGACATTTTCACTAGTGGACACGGCACATATATTCCTGCAGGATCATCTAACATCACATCATCCCTTGCTGGTACTCTCACAAAGACAAACAAGCTCCTCTCTGTGCGTCCTCTTCGCGCTCGATACACCCCAGAGATCGGTGACCTTGTCGTCGGTCGCATTGTCGAAGTGCAGGCAAAGCGATGGCGTGTCGATGTAGCTGCCTCGCAGCTTGCTATTCTACAGATTTCAGCCATTAACTTGCCTGGTGGTATCCTCCGTAAGCGTACCGAGACCGATGAGCTGCAGATCCGCAGCTTCTTCGCTGAAGGTGACCTTGTTGTGGCAGAGGTTCAGCAGCTGCACCAGGACGGAGCCGCGAGTCTTCACACCCGTAGTTTGAAGTACGGAAAGTTGCGAAATGGTGTATTTGTTGCCGTTACTGGTACCGGCGGTGGTGGTGGCGTTGTCCGCTCCAAGCGACAAGTCTGGACAATGGACGTGGCCAACGCTGGTGGCAAGGTCGATATCATTCTGGGAGTGAATGGGTATATCTGGATCAGTAAGCACATTGAGAGTGAGACTGCCGCCGAGGCTGCGGGTATCAACCGCATGGAGGAGACCGTGAGCAACAAGGTTTACTCAAGCCAAAACGACCCCATGGAGGTGACAACTATGCGCGAGATTGCAAGAATTCGCAGTGTCATTCTGGCTCTTGTTGAAAACGGGCTGAAGGTTGATGAAGGTACAGTGAACAGAGGGTACAGCGAGGCTGTGGATATCGCCAGAGATTCGACTGATGATGATTTGTATCTGGGAGGGGAGAAGGGACGTCGCCTGGCAGCCGCCTTGACTGGTTACTGATCTATCTTGGATTTCAAAAGTCATGTCAGACAACTATAGTCATAATGCAAGATACCACTACTTTATGAATCGAAATTATTGGCCTTGTGATTTTATTTCAATTATTAACATTGGCTAACTTAATTAACACTCGGTTTTAAAGGTCGAAATATGACTATTATACAGCACAGATATAGAGGGAAATGCTAGGGCAGACAGTCGTTTTCTTGTAGCAATTGCAGATAGTGTCCGTGTATCATCGCCATCTTGACTGTTGCTTCCATCGATTGAAATGAGAGTATTAGCTAGATTAAATCATCATTGTGTGAGCAACTGGCTTATAACACCTTTCTTCGCTTCCAGAATAGCAGCAGCAACCACAAGGAATGCCCACCTGAGAAGAGCACCCTTAGACTTCTTAGATCCGAGGCCGAAGACCAGAGCCAGGAAGTACCCGAAACCCTTGGTCTTGTTGCCGTTACGGTCAAAATTGGGCTTTGGTTGGGCAATAGATTTGAGACGATTCATGTTTGGCCATTGGTACGGCATGTAGCGTACGCGGAACAGGGCATCAGCCCAGTAGGGGACTTCAGCGATGGTACGCTGGTGACTGAAGGCCCTGATAGAGTAGATGCCGTGATAGTTGCCCATTCCAGATTGGCCTACACCTCCCAGTGGAGACTGGGGAATTTGAGAGTGGAAGAAGGCGTCGTTGCATGTGGCACCACCTGAGGTAACATTATCCAGAACTATACTCTGTTAGACATTTTGCCAATAAATAGATGGAATTGCACTTACCCTTCTGGTTTTCAGCCTTGCTTCCAAAGGTGCTGAGTGAAAGTGGTGTTGGGTCAACCGAGTTGGCAATGTCGATAGCCTGGTCAAGGGAATCGATAGCCATGATTGCAAAGATGGGACCGAACGCTTCGTCGACCATCATGCTGTCCTCAACATCATCAACAAGGACCGCTGTTGGCTCCATGAACAAGGTAGACTCATCCATGGATCCTCCAAGAACGATCTTTCCCTTGCTCCCATCTAGCATCTTCTTGAGACGGTTAAATTGGCTTGCGTTGACAATACGGGCGAGATCGGTACTGTTCTTGGCGCCCTTGGGGAAGAAGGTACGCAACTGATTGTTGAGCTCCCCAAGGAATGGAGAGAGGACGCTCCGCTCAACAAGGATGTAGTTGTGTGACATGCAAACCTGGCCTGCGTTCAATGTCTTTTGCCAGAGTAGTCGTCGAGCGGCCAGCTTGAGGTTGGCATTCTTGGTGACAAAGGCCGGGTTCTGGCCACCAAGTTCAAGAAGCACAGGAGTCAAGGTCTCAGCCGCCTTCTTGGCGATGATCTTACCAACAACCTTGCCACCAGTGAAGCAAATCTTGTCAAACTTTTGTTCGAGTAAACGCTGGGTCTCGGACAGAGCACCGTTGACGTAGGTGAAGCACTCGGGGTCAAGAGACTCATCGAAGATCTTCTTGAGCACCATGGCACAGTTTGGAGACGACTCAGATGGCTTGAGAACAACACAGTTACCGCAAGCGATGGCACCAACAACTACAGGAAGAGTGAGCTGGAAGGGAAAGTTGAAGGCTCCGATGTTGAGAATGACACCAAGTGGTTCGAAGCGGGTGCGATGCTTCATGAGACGGAACTGAAGCGGAACATTGGGAACAGGCTCGTCGCGCAGCCAGTTCTCCATGTTGTTGGTCATGTCGATACATTCTTGCTTACACCAATCAATCTCGGCCAGAACAGCCTCGTACTTGCACTTGCCAAGATCCTTGAGGAGAGCATCTTGCATGAGCTCAGTGTTGTCGACGATGGCCCAGTAGAGCTTGCGAATCTGACGGAGACGGAACTCGATTTCTTTGGTGCGTCCAGATCTGAAAGTCTTCCTCACGAGATCAACTTTAGCATCGATCTCATCGAGGGGCGTGTGCTCCAGGGGCCCGATAGTGTAAGATAGAGTGCCGTCAGCCATCTTGATAAGCGATGCGAAACGTGGTTGGTTAGCGAAATGATTAAGTGCTGACGAGTCCGATCTGGATGAATGCGCAAAGCCTTTGATTGGAAGGAAAGGCGATCGCAAGAGTAACGGCCCTTGAGATTAGAGAAAGTTGAATGAGATGAGTCGAGGCGAGATGAGATGGAAGGCGATATTCGTAGCGGATGTATTGCCTGTAACTGTGCCTGTACCTGTCTGCACCTGCCTTAGGTACGGGGCTTTCTCCTGATTAATTGGGTATTTTTAGTTAAGTAGGCCGGTTGCCCCAGAGGAAGGTGATATGGATGTCGGACTAGGTGGGTTCAGAAAGCAGGCTCGACCAATACTTTGTCTTGCTCCTTCACGATATAACAGTCATAGACTGGTAACAAAACACAAGCAAGCAGTTGCTGAAATGTCCCAAATAAATGACAATTAAATTCTGTAAAGGATAAAAATGTCTGGATTGGATCTGGACATTCCTTAAAGGGATACAAATGAGGGGCTACAGTATCAAACCCCGGATCAATTCTATCTCCCCGGTGTCCTCGGCACCCTTGAATCCACGTGTATTCGAATCCTGCCGAGGCACTGTCTCGTTAGGGCCATGAGGTCTGCTTCAAATGGAATAAGAAGCGATGCATATTTTCATGGATGTCACATCGATTGTTGAATGAGGACATTTACGATTTCTCACAAAGGTGATCCGTTGCCAGTAAAGCAAGCTTACCTGTGGCTTATTAGCCTATCTTAACTAGAGCGCGTGAAACAGAAGCCCACATTGCTCACAACTTCAGACATTCGTATAATACATACTCTACTAGGACAGTAGTTGTTGCGCCAATCAGAGCAATATACATTGTCGAAGCAAAAGACATCATGACTTATACTCGAGAAGGTGTCTGGTCTTTTTGCGAACGCTTAGACCGTGTTGAAAGGGTCTGACAGTTAACGTTTTTGGCTGCTGTATTACTTGAAGTGTTGGTAGTCAATTGGTGTCTTGTGTAACGTTGGGGTTACCTGCATATTCCATAGACTATCCTGTAGCTTCTTCTCTAAGGCCCAGTTGATGCATAGTTGTCTTACTAATTCCCTTCCCCCAGGACTCGGCTCTTGAGTGCAGCTACCTGGAACACCTTTTATACTAGAATAGGTACTCTACTACGTAGTAACTTAGACCCAATATCACGACCCTGCACCCATTAAAGTTTCCTTATCAACACCCTTCTTCTCTAGTACCCTTGTAGCCAACTCTTCGACCACATCCTTGACCCCATCCCCCCAAAGAGCCGATACAACCCCAAACTTTGCCCCCAGCTGTACTGCGATTTCACTGCCTTCTTCGATCCCCTGCTCCCACGCTTGTCCCGCGGCCTCCGCGCAATCCGCCTTGCCCGCAACCACAGCCATGGGAGGTGCTGCTTCTTCAAGATGCGAACCCAGCACTTGGAGCCTCATGCGCTGAACCTCCTCCAGGCTCTCTGCTGATGAGCCTTCATATATCAGGATGAGCGCATCTGCTTCGGCTGCTGAGCGACAGGACTCAGGGTCAGAGCTGATGAATGTTGATGGAATGCGCTTCAGATTGATGAGAGTGGGAATGCCCGAGATATTGGCTAGGCGAGAGTCCCCCGATGTTTCGGTAATGGGTTCGTATTCATCTGTAAAAACCTCCTCGCAATACTATAATTCGGGCATGTATGTCAACGATATGCTTTATCGGTGTATTTGAATAGATCCTCCATTCAAAACCCAGGGTAGTTTTCTCATACTAACTCACCCTTCGTATAAAACTCTTCTTCCCAGAAACCGGAGCTCCCAGGACGACGATATTCACCACGTATTCGCTCTTCATTATTCACTGACTTTTCGACTTCAGCTGTGCTCGTGTGAGATAGCAGTATGATCAATGTTTAAACACAAGTTAGAAATAATCGTAAAGTGATCATACGTCTGCTCACGTTGCTCTTGGCAGTCATGATGCTCTTAGTCAGCAGATCCAGCATCATGAAAACATGGACTGAACCTACCAATGTAAGGTTTGATGGACGTGTCTGTTATTTATTGGGATGAGAATTCATAGAGACCAACGTTGATCGATTAGCCAAGTCAATTTACCAAGTCAGAACTCAGCAACTGACCGATTGATGTATATGACGGCACTCAAGTTGTGGCGGAATTGAAGCCAAGTCATGAGAACTCGCTTCATTTTCAACAACGACCTTCCCAAGCCCATGTTCAAGCAATCGCGAATGTACCAAGTTAGCACAGGCATTCGAGTAGGTAGCCTACAGCGGCCCATTTTACGTGTTCTTGTAAATACCATCTTAAACATACATCGTACAATGGGACATGCCCCGCCAAATCTAGCGTATAATACATCTCATCCCACATCACACGTCTCAGAAGAATTTCTTTTTATGTCATTTTACCTCCTCACGCGGTTACCACCTGAACTCTTTGCGGGCGCAACAGTAACGAGCTCCTCAACCTTGGCCTTCTTATTGTCCTCGGTGGACTTTTTCGTCAAGTATTCGTCAATAGCCTGGGTACCATCGATCAATTGGCCGCTCTCGGCCATCTTCACATCCTCAACAGCCAGTCGCGAACGGTGCTCATCGAGCTGCTGTCTACGCTCTGCAGTCATGCGCCACTCCTTGGGAAATTGCGGCTTGGGCTTAGTTACATGATGTCGGGTGTCGAGAGGGATGTCCTCAAAGGTATCCTTGGGGTCCTTGGCCGCGGTGATGAGTTCGTCGATTAGGTTGGAAAGGTAACGCTTGTTTTGTGCTTGATGTTCGAAGCTGTCGCTGCTCATCTTGATGATCTCTGTCTCAGGGTTGTAGCGGGGGCCGGCGAGCTTCTTGAGCTTCTCGGTTTGAACAGGGGTGAGCTTCAGATCGTCGGGAGCGAACTGTACCACCACCTTCTTTTCGGCGGGGTGGAATTCACCCATGTAGGATGTGTATCGCCATCGGAGGACCTGTTGGTCGGATGGAGGCTCGAAAGGCTTGGCGTACTCTGTTAAGACTATTAGTATGTATTCGTATGTTTGAGTCCTTTGCTGAGCTCACTTGAAAGAAGAGGTAGCTCCCAAACAGCCATTCGGGCGTACTTTCGCATCTCTCGGATTTCGTCAAGTTTGCCGTGTGCCATTGATGTGATATCGTCCTCGTCGAATTCCTCAAGTTCCTCGGTGTTGGTCTCGGGATCCTCCTCGTCGAACCAGAATGACTGCTTGTTGGGCTTTTCTCCCTTATCATCCTTCATAATATCCTCCAACGTTGATCGGTCCTCAGACGCCCAGCCAGGGTGGTAGTCTAGCTGATTTTGCAGGTATTGGTCGATGGAGTTGAAGCCGTTCGCTTTGGCCAGCTGATCCAATTGCTTTAATCCTTCCGGAGTAGACGCCTCAGCCAGCGCAGCCTCGAGCTTCTTCAGTTCCACAGGACCAAAATCTTCCTCCTCGACATCGTCCTGGCGCTGATCCTCCTCTCGAGCCCATCTTATTGTCGATGTGGTAAATGCCCGCTGGGCAAGAGACTTTTGTCGGATGATCTGCCGAGACCGGGAAATTTGCTGGATTCGAGGCGCCCTGCGGCAGGCCGCAGCGCATAGCCTTACGGCTGCCGATACTGAAGCCATTGCAAATCGGTCAAGGGGAGCAATGGCTGCGTCGAATTGTCATTCGTTTAGAAAATGGTTTGGCGGCGTTCAAAAATTTGGCTGTAGCACCAAGCACATCTGCGTTGCCGGAGCTCCGATGTTTAACCGCTTCGACCTCTTACACGAATGTCCTACCCTATTGGTAGTACATGTTTAACTTCAACATTGACAACAAACCCCTTTTATCTTTTTAATTTTTTCTTATTACTCTTGTCTCGTGAATTATTTCATCGAGGATGGTCGCTTCCAGCTTACGACGCGTTTGTCTGGTCACAGTTGGTGCTACAGCTGGGTTCAGAGCACTTATCGACTCAGTGCTTTCACCCGAGTTCTGGCAGTATATCGCTTCCCAAGGGTTCACTGAGCTGCATGTCCAGTGCGGACCAGATGCCGTTTCGGCAAGTAAACAACTCGCTCTCTCTAAAGATCAAGTTCCATCGGGCCTCATCATCGATGTTTTTGACGTGAAGAAAAATCTCATGAAAGAGGAGATGATTCTGTGCAAGAGGTTGGAAGGGAAACGAGAGTTAGGACTTGTGATATCTCATGCTGGTATGTAAGACGAACGTTTTTCTGGAATATTCATTCACAAATTCTAGGTACTGGCACAATATTGGATGCTTGGAAAATGGGATTGCCCATAATTGTAGTACCAAACACGCAACTACTGGATGATCACCAAACAGAGATGGCAAAGCATCTCTCCAAGGAGGGGTACGCTATCATGAGCTCTGGGAGGTATGACAATCCAAGACATGTTGATCAGTACATGTTCTTACACGAAATAGCACCGAAGACCTTCAAGGAGCCATACATAAGGTGGAGCTCCTATGGGAAGAGAACAAAACTCGATGGCCCGCCAACAAAATCCTCTCGCAAGAGTCTGACAAACTCCGCCTGTGGGATCTTGCCCCTGTAGAGGTGTCTAGAGAAGAGAATGCCACGATGGTTCACGATTAGTAATTTGGAACCCGCTGAGCGCGCTATCTGCGATCTGATAACGTACGATGTACGGCTCAAGGGGATATGCTTTCACTCTCGATCTGGACGTCATATGCTCTGGAGTCTTGGCGTTGGAATGCGCATCTATGTTGTGTATCTGTTTTCGGTCATCCCTTTGCGATGATCAATTGAGTCTACTTTAGGAAGTCATTTAGTTCAAGGCAGGTTCTGAACGCTCCAGATCTTCACGTTAGCATCTCCTCCCGCACTGGCGACCTTGCCGCCTTCAATCCAGGCCACACCATTAACACCATCTTTGTGAGCATTGGCAGCCTTGATGCGCTTGCCTTGATTCTTCTTCTCCAAGCACCAGACGAAGACGTTGGTGTCGAGACTGCCACTGGCAGCATAAGCGCCCGTGTCGTCCCAGGCAATCGAGGTAACTCGGGCAGTGTGAGCCGACCAGCGGTCTGCCACCAGTTCCCAGCTCCCAACGCTATAGACATAAATCTTTCCAACACTGTTTCCAGCAGCCAGGTGGGAGCCGTCCTTGGAGAACGCAAGCGCCGAGATGGTACCGGTTGGGTTGCTAAGTGCATTCATCTCCTGGAGCTTGCCATCAGAGCCAGCATTGTAAATGCGTACCGAATTCTCATCAGCTCCAACAGCAACGAAAGAACCAGATGCCGCAATGGCTCCGGGAGTGTATTCAAACGACTGCTCGCTAACCAGTTTCTCACCAGAGTAAACGGACACACCCGAGTAGGTTGCGACATAAACAAGTCCATTGGCCGCGCTCACACCCTTGGGTTGAGCTTGTAGCTTGATGGAAGAACCTAGGAAGGTCTTGGCCGACTCGTCAACGATTCGGAGATTATCGTCCCAGCCCGCACTGAAAGCCTTGCCATCGGCAGTGGTGAACTGAGCCACCTGATTTGTGTGTGCCTGACCATCGACAACCGAAGCAATGCCGGTTTTGACATCCCAGTGGCACACTCGGCCATCGAAGCTGCCAGACCAGAGGTCAGCGCCCTTACCGTTTGATGCAGTTGATAGGGCGGTAATGCCTCTGTTGTGACCGTAGACAACGCGGACAGGCTCCTCCTTGCCCTCGGTCAAGTATGTGAGGTGACCATCCAGGCTAAGGCTAATGATAAGGCCGTCGCTACGACCAGGAACGAAAATGACACCGACTTGCTGATCACCAACACTAGCATCCGATCCGAACTTCCAGGTCTGGATAACGCTGCCGGCATCGACATCCCAGAGCTTGACAGTTTGGTCAGCACTGGCCGTGACGAACTTCTTACCATCTTGCGACCACGATACAGCAAAGATACTTCCGGTGTGCTCGCCTTGCCCAATATCCTTGGTAGGTTCACCAGTCTTTCCATCGTAAAGCTGTATTCTCTTGTCGGCGCCAACAGTAACTAGTGTGTTTCCATCAGGGGAGTAAGCAGCACCTAGAACAAAGCCAGTGTGCTGAGCGCTTTTGTTGTTAAACTTATAGGGAGCTCCATGGTAAAAGACCATGTTGCCATCATCGCCAACGGTAGCAGCCCGGAAAGGACGCTGAGGCTTCATGGCAACAGCATTGACTGACTTGGAGTGGCCAATGATCTCGCCAACAGAGTTTCCGCTGTCAGCCGTAATGCAGCGGCCGAACTGCTCGCGACCATCGCCTACAGCAATAACACGCTGCGACTCGCCGTCCCAGGCGATGTCGTTTAGACGGCCAGAAATGATACCATACTCTCCTCTTGTGCTTTCGATAGACTCGGGCTCCCATACCTTGAGCATTCCGCTCGAGTCACCACTGGCGACCTTGAAGCCATTGGGCGCGAAGCGCGCAACAGTCGTAGGAGCGGTGTGGCCGGTGTATTCCTTTGCGTCGGAGGGATTATCGATGGAGCGAACAAAGATTGATTTTCCACACTGCGTGGGTCAGCGATCCCGTTTGTATCAGATACGATGCTCACAGAAGCTGCGTCATACAGGATAAGCTATTCGTTGACCCTTGGAGTCGGCCGAGATTTGAGTTGGTTGACCACGGTTTGTAACTGGGACTGCCGCTAGGACACGATCGAGAGAGATGGAGGGAGAAGCCATGGTGGCGATAGGAGGATATGTTTGCTGGAGAAAGATATGTAGATTCAAAAAGACCAGTTCAAGAGCCTGGGATTTGGGCCTGAACTTGGAAGTCGAGATGTCGTCAGCTTCTGATAGGAGGTGTTGTTGTGAAACGTGGGGGATGCGATTCTTGGATGGAGGGGCGTAGAGGGGTACTGCGCTTGTTAGGTATTAAGCTGGTGTGGGGCAATGGCGTAGGTTAGTAGGTAGACAGCTTAAAGCTGCCCGTTGCACTGTTAGCAGTTTCATAGGTAGTATTTATAGCTTCCATTCATATGAATGAAACGGCTCTTGGTATTGGGTAGAATAGATAGCTTCCAAAATGTATCTGCCGGATATCTCTGCCTGATTTAATACCACTGCCTGTCTAGTGGCTGATGTTTATCGCAACAACACCATAGAAGTCATCTATAGCTGAACCACATTTCCCAAATTCCAGAAAGGATGAGGCTAGGAGGTCGACAGCTATCATATGTGGGAGATGCTTTTCCTCAACATGGCTTTCTGAGTCAGGGTCGTACAAAGATGGCAAAGTCAATGGCTGAGCCAATACAGATGTAAAGTAAGTGAGTCGAGAAGATAACGTGTACTGCTAGATGAAGCACCTGCTGTACTTTATTTGGATACGATTGTGTGCGTGTGATCCGTCACGTTGTTGTTATGATGACCTGTTCGTAGGCCTCCATCTTTTCCCCAACATGAAGAATAACAGATGGATCGCAGGGAATACGAGACTGCTGAGGGATCTCACGTAGGTAGCAGTCAATGCACGACATGTTTGTTCCAACACTGACTGCATCAAGTATTGCTGGTCATTCTTCATGGCCGCCCAGGCCAGTGGGTCAGGCCACTACAGTACAATCAATACATAGATGCCGGAGCAAAGCCCCGACCTCAAGTTTACGTCTATCCACTGGCTCCATCATGATACGCATGCCAGTTTGGGTATCTAGGCGAGGTGAGTTGTTGAGTTGAACGGAGTTGGTTAGGGACTTTTGGCGGCGTCTCCAGGTATGTATCCGTACAGGAGTATCTGTCCACACACCGATGGATCTGGCTGGGCAACCGAGCGCACGGTACAGCACGAGAAGGGACAAGAAAGACGATGATCAGGACATGGCGTATCCATACGATCAATGTTACAGTTACATACACCTTGAAGTATGGCACTCTGACCACTGATGGCTCACTGCATAATATTTATAGCACGACAAAGCAAGACAGCTGAGGTAAAGATACAAATGGATGTCACATATCACAAGAACTGCGCACTGCTATCGCGGTTCAGCCTCCTCGTTCCCCCTAATGGAGCACCAGAGGACCAGACCACCTACCTCTAGACTAGAGCGCACTAGCCGGCCACCATCTTCTCCATGCAGGGACGTCTGTCAGGGATTAACAACTGCTAAAGCTTCCCGTTGGAGGATCACAAGAGAACGACACAGGGACATGGGTCACTTAATCTCCACTTGCTGACGGGACCATCGTCAACAGAATGCACGTCGTGTCTTTGCAGGCTGGTCTCATCTTTCCAACTGGCGGTCGATAGAATCTTGTCTTATCTGTATTGCAGATGGAGATGAAATGGAACACCGTGGATGCATATGCCAAGTAAGTACCTAGGCAAGTATTGAGAGTAGATATGGGAGAATGTTTTCCCTGAGCACAGGTAGGAGTAAATAATAAACAAACCAAAACAGGCCAAAACAAAATAAACAAACACGATCGACACAGACACAGCACAAAAGGCGCCAGAGCTCAAGCCACAAACCACAAACCACTAACCACTAACCAACGGCAACTCGCATGTCCTCCTTTTGCCCTCGGGACTCAAAAGACTCAACTTTTCAAGACAAGAACGGTCAGTCAACCCCTGCAATTATTGTACATGTCTAGTACTGTACTTGTCATGGGCCCTAGTCGCAATGGCTGGTCTGGTAATGGTTGGGGGTGGGACGGCAGACCAGACCAGACCTGGAGCAAAAAAAAGGCACGATGTTAAAACTAGGCCCTGTTGCTAATATCCCCCGTACTCTCGCCTGTATGATTAAAAAACGCCTCCTCCTCCTCAATCTATATATCAGCTTGGTTCCTCCCTTCCTCTTTTACAGTGTCTCTATCCGTACTTCAGTCTCCGTTTCTTCCATCTTACCACTACTATCCTCCTAACCTAACCCTCAATCCTCTCAATTCACTTACACAACCGCCATCATGAAGTTCTTCTGGTCGCTCGCCCTCTTTGCCGCTGCTGCTGCTGCTCAGTCCACTACCGACTCAGGTGCTGTTGCCCCCTCCGCCTCTGGCGAGTGTGACGCCGATTACATCGTCAAGCGATGCCTCGAGACCGAGAACGCCAAGGTTGAGGACTGCAAGGCCAATGACTGGGACTGCCTTTGCCCTGCTTATGAGGCTGTTGCTACGTGAGTTTAATTCAAGTCAATATATAATATATGACTCTTGTCTAACGTCGTTGTAGCTGCTTCAACAACTGTCCCGATGACCCTCGCGCCAGCTCTGCCAAGACTCAGGTTCAAATCAACTGCCAGAACCAGTCTCTCTACGGAACTGCCACCAAGGCCACAAAGACCAACTCTGCCACAGCTACTGCCTCGGACGCCTCCGCTACTGAGTCCGATGATGCTGAGGAGACCGGCACAGCGACTGAGTCTGCCGCCGCCGCTGAGAACACCAACAACGCTGCTGACAAGGCTCGCAACACTGCTGGTGTCCTCCTCGCCGTCGCTGGTGTTGTTGCTGCTATCCTATAAAGTCGAGTTGCAAAAAAAGGGGTCACGATAAACATTTGGACGGATTATGTATGGAATTGATATGAATATTATGGTAAAAGTTATGCATCGACGGAATATTAAACGATTAATCTTTTAATTCATTAATTAATAAACTATGGACCAAACTTCGGTCCAGTTTACCTTTATTAAGCATCGCGCCCATTCATGCAAGTCGTGTTCACGTAGTTTACCTAGCCCATCCGAAGATGTACAGTGATTTGCTGCTCCAAGTTTTGGACTACCTAATGGAGCGATTGTGCTTCGACCCTGCAACTTTAATTAAGACTAGGTAATCAAATGGAAGCTAACAATATTATGTACATACCCCAAACTGGGCGGCGCCACTGGCGATCTTCCTAACTGTACTTGCTTGCGGAGACACAGAGTAGACAAATCACATGTACCATACTGCAAACTTCAATACAGTACTCGGCCAGTCAGGAGGAGATGCAGACAAATCTAGATATTCACGAACAAGGGAGGGATATAATATACTAGGGTGTATTGTCAACTTTTCTTCTTTGCTTACTCTATACCAACAGCAACAGATGGGCGAGCAGCTCCAAGTCTGCCTGATATAATGGCAATGGTGTAGGATAACCCTTCTCCAGGACTTATCGCCCAACAAAGCAATAGCGGAACAAGAATGTTTAACAACACCGAACCAGGCATGTTCCCAGTTCAAATACGCTGTCCTAAAGCGCCCAAAAAGATATACGTGCTTGTCTATGTAACACAAAACAGCATAAAAACAATGTTTCCCAAACTTTGTAATCCACCAAGACGCCCCCAATACCCCATGTTTTTCGTATGTAAGAGGCTGTGACCATGCAGCCGTCGTGTCTTAATCGTGGCCTGTTCCCAGGCAGTATTCATAAAAAGTTGACTAAAAGTGATAATGGTGAAAAGTGAAATTTCAAGAAGAAAGAGAAATCCAACAGTTTATGGCTATGAGAACCCATCCAGATCGGATGACTGGCACACGTAAGAATGGAAAGCCTCAAACAATTTAGACCTTGCGTGGTCGTCGTTCTCTGGCATTATTCTTGACGGGTGTCATCAAAGTAATATGCTTGGGATCATCCTTACGGAGCCTCACAGCACCCGATACACCACTTGATTCTCGACGCAGGGAACGTGGATCTTGATCGTCGTCTAGTGTTATCTCTGCCACGTCTGATACTGACTCGGTGTCGAGGGCATCACTGGCGCCAGATACCGAGGAGCCATCATCCGTGTCGTCGTACTCTCCGTCGTCACTAACCAGAGAGGGTGCATTATTGCTGATCATTGTGTTGGGACTCATGTCAGCATCCTCCATGTCCAGGTCTTCGTCCGAGAGCACGGCAGTGGTGCCATGTGGCTTGGAGCTTGAAGGAGTCTTGAAAGCAACAGCAGGAGGAGCACGCCCCTTGCTACTGGCTGAGCGGGTTGTGTCCACAACGGAAGTAGAATTAGTGGCCTTTGCAGGCACGCGCATAACAACAGGCGTTCGCACAACGGGAGAGCCCTTTATGTCGTTGACCTCGGAGGGTGTTTCAACAAGTTCGGACTCTTCTCCAGAAGTCATGTCTTCCATAGGCGTCTTTGTTGTAGCATCCGCAACAAGTTCATGCAGATTTCCGTCGAACTTCCGACTTTGCAGCAGACGTGATAGATGGGGTACGCCCGGGGTTTCGTCCGCCGAGGCAGCCTTCCGAGCTTCACGCTGTTGGGATTTGTCGGGTAGTGAAGGGATGTGTGTTACACCAGGCAGCTTGCCTTCGTGATACAGCTTCAAAGAATCAGAGATTCTCGATCTCAGAGCAACATATGCCTGTTGCTCCGTGATATCAGGACGGGCAAACGGATGCACGAACGCAGCAGAAGGGATTGGTGCGGAAGGCGCAGCAACCTTCTCTTCACCAACGGCCGCCCCTGCATCAGCAACCTCGATAGGGTGACCGCTATGCACTGCTGCTTCTTCATGACTCTTGAAGTCACGCTTATGAGCGATCCGGCAGTGGTTGATGAATCCTTGGGTACTTGAGAAGTTTTCACGATGGCAATCAATACAAACCAGCTTGACTGTCTGCCCATCAGCACGCTTCAATATACATGGACCAGCCTTGTCTTTCGGTTGAGGGTAACCGCTGGACAGGGAATGTAGTTTCTGGCTGCCAGCTCCACGAGCCGAACGACCTTTGAGTGCGGTGACAGGTTCAGCAAAGCTGTTTCTTGTCGTTCGTCCCTCGTTTTGAGAAGCCCTTGCGCGCGAAGCCTCTGGAGTAAATTGCCACTCAGGTTGTTGTCCATCGAAAGAAGGGTCAGGAATGAGCCACTTGGCATAATGTCTTGCATAGGGACCGTCAACAACACCGAACGGAGGCGCCCATCTAGGTATAGACTCTCCTGGACGTGACTGCACAGCCGGACCCTTACCAGCACTGACATTCATCATCTGTTCAGGAGTTGGACAATTCACAGGATAAGGAATGAGGTGACACCGTCGTAACTGCTCCAGGGCAACCTGGCATTTAGCGAGTTCCTGGTTAATGAGCCGGAGCTCATCATGCTTTAGCAATATCTCGAGACCAAACTGATGGCGAATCTCATCACGAGCACTCTCCATGCCAGGGATCGTAGAGTTTCCTTGCATCGTTACGTCGGATACTTCAAGAGTGTCGGCGACAGAATGCTGGTCAGGTTTTATGCGCTTAGCCGGCGCATTTACATTCGAAGACTCATCAGAGTCGTCGGTGCTCAGTCGCCTCCGCTTGGGAGGCTGTGTGGTAGGCGACGCTATTGTCGTGTTTGGCGACGGGCGTGGCTGCAATGGCTTTACTAATTCTGAGATCGGTTGTGGCGCCTGCGGCGTCTTGTCGCTTCCCCTTGATTCAGATGAGAAGAATCGAAACATGAGGAGTTCTTGACTGGATGTCAAGAAACACAACGTTTTACGACAAAGAGCCGTGATCAGCGTTTAAAGCAATGCGACAGGCAGAAATGCACCGTTGCAGATGCAGGTAGGTGCGAAGCTTGGTGCGAATTTGTTGAGCTGATTGTGGCGCAAGCGTGGCTGACGTAATCGAAAGTCGGACAATCGGAATTTGGCGCAAAGGGGGTGATGATGTGGCCCCTCAAAACAGGCCAGAACCGGAGAGGAGATCGGGTCAGCCAGCGACGGCAGCGACCAGGGGCTCAAAGCGACAAAAAAAGAGCCTGAGAAGAGAGGAAAGTAATCGAGCACTAGCGAAAGCCTCGATTTGTTGCTTCTGAGAAAAGGGTAACAAAGAGATGTCTCTTTGAGTGTCAGAATATGTATGAGGGAGGGAGATTGGGATGAGATGAACGGAGAGAGCGTGTAAGAGGCAAGATTAGGTTGTGGTGGTGAGGCAGCAATAGAAAAGGCAGGAACACGGGGGTACAGGCAAAGGAAGGTGCGAAAGGGAAATCAATAACGGGGGAAGAGGGAGAGTGGAATGGAAGGGAAGTGGAATTGTTGTTGCGGGAGTCTGACGCCGCGTCCAGGGAAAATGGGGATAAAGTCAAAACCTCAGGACAGGCAGGGCAGGAAAGAAGGGGGAAGCAGGTGGCACTTGCGTGATGAGATGAGACCTCAGGATTTGGGCTGGTTGATTCGGTCGACTTTCAGTCAGTGCAGCAGAACGCAGCGCAAAGCAAAGCAACCTACGGATACCTACGCAGTAACAGCGAGGGTGACGACTGGACGCTTGGGTCTCGTCTTGTTTTGGTGGTGCTTGTGTGCTGGGTTTCCTCCCTGATTGACTGAGAGATCGACGAAGGACGTCTTCTGATTGAATGAAAGGTAGGATGTCTACCCACAAAACGCAGACTTGAGGCGAAGCCTGTTGGGAGCCGTCGAGTAGGCTAAACAAGCCCGAACCTAGGGGGACCTGGGGGGACCAGCGGTCCATTGGCAGGTTGTTGGTGGGCGCCCCGGGGCGATATTGGTTTTTGGGTGAGTGGAACAGTGGACAGCCAAGCAGCAGGGGCAGCCCTGAACGAGAACGCTAGGTAAAAGGAGCTATCCACTAAACGAGCCACACCACCACTCCGTCGCTCTGGAGCAGGGCAACAGTCGTAAACACCATCATTCCCCAAGCATTGTACATTGATGCGAGTATTGAATATCTACATCTGGCCAAAGTCTGCAGACATTCGTAGATAACTACAGAGTACCTATCCATAGGGTATGCCTAGATGCTCTATATTCAAGGTTTTGGCTGGAATCTTCACACCGCGATCATTGTTTGTTTACTGCTTCAGACGTGTTTCGCAGGTAGGCTGTCAACTTACAGCTATCTAGGTTACCTCCACTTAGACCAAGATTAATGCCCCGGTCTCGCTTCCCTGCTTGGTTACGAGACGATAACAAACGAGTCCTAGATCGAATAAGCTCGACGATAGGACAGGAAGAGATCCGTAGAGTTGATGGATCCATGTTATCGGTGACTCTCTAAGGTTCTTTATTTTGCTTATTACAGAACTGTCATGTATCAAGATTCGACGCTGAACAAGAATAGGTACCGTGGAACGAGAGTCAGTGCATGCCGGGGACGGCTATCACCGCCATCCCTTTTGGTAAATGATATTCACTCATCAACACTTTTGGATGACAGTCCCAGATTCAGCGATTCAAAACAAAGCATCTTTGACTTTAGACAGTGACTCGAAAGTATAATGGAATAGGTTGTGCGGGTCCCTAATACAATACAGTGCAACCCATTCCATCACTTCTTCTTGGTATTTAAGCCATCTCGTTGTATTGCCTGCTCTGAAAACATTACCAAGAATGCCTGTTCTTGTGGCCTTATTGCTTTACCGTGCCTACCTACCTACCTATACAGCTTTCGCTTGTATGTCTCGCACTTTTGTCTTTCTGTCACATGTTGTTGCTTCCCAGCAGGCAATCATTCCTGCACTCGGCTTCGGGACGAGACTTGGGTGTCTGACAGTGCAACCATTTACGAGACACGTTTGGTTAGAGCAAGACATATTGGTGTGTAGGACATGATGGCCAGCCTTGATGGGGCTCCCTTTCTAAGTTCCTGCAGCCACTTCCATCCAGCTCGCTTATTCTCCACTTGGCTTGGGAGCCAGACTGGATTTGTTAATGCGATGCCAGCACCTTAACCTGCGACAGCATGCGACTCAATCCAAGGTCTTTTAACGTCGTTATTTGCGGTAGTGTAAGGAGCCCTGGGCCCAAGCTCCTTGGTTTTCAGCTGTGAGGGTTGATGAAGCTGAGCGAGAGGCACCCAGGCACAGTAGTATGGGAAGAGCCCACCAGGAAACTTTAGTAAGCGGCATGGTGATTCTCTTCGAGTTTCTACATGCTACGGAACCACTCCCCGCCCCACTGACAACATCACAATCGTCATCCATGACATCGCCAGATGGCATGCTCGTGGAGTCTCAAGATTTAGATTTTACATAGGCCTCAGAAGAAACCAATAAGGCAACGAGAAGAGGCGAGAGGAGCCAGGCATATGTCAGCTTGAAGCTAAAGAGGCAGGAGAGAGCCTACAAAGAGTTGATGATTCGATAACCTTAACTATTTCAGACCTTAAAGGCATGACTTATTCTATGGCGCAAATCTCTCAGCCACACTTACCAGGTACTAATTTCTAAGAGCTCTTTCACGTGACCATCAACCACGTGCGTTTGAGGTGAGGCTTAAGTTGTAATGCAGAGATCTACCTATTGGTAACTTCAGTTCAAAACTGGACTGGTATTGGATAACTGTCTCCTGCAAGAATCCAATGAATGCTCTTAAGTCCAAAGCTCGATCAAAGTTAACTACATTCATATAACGTGATGTAAGATTGAGAAGCATGCGGGTCTATACTAGCCCTGTCTGCTCATTCGATTTATTTCTAAATAATGTAACGAACTCGTCTACAACGTCTTGATACCTTAGGAATGGATTTGGACATTCAGAATGATCTCTCCCGCGTCTATTAGAATCTACGTTGGTACCTACCAGTCAATAGAAATCTCAGACAGGTAGCGCCGCCTAGGCGCCTAAACGAAGTACTACTGCATGCTCACGCCCCGCCAAACTCCAACAGCCCCAGAACCACACTTTTCTGCCTGTCACATCAACATTAACATCATCCTTTCAACATTGGCGCGCAATGATGTCTGCGACAAATCTGGAACAGGGCTCCGGAAAGAGAAAACCTGACACGAGCCTGTCGAGCGATGCGCAACCAATAAAACGATCCCGAAGCCACGAAGTTCCGACTCAAGCATTTGCGCTTGCAGCTCCTCACGAATCCATCATTGCCGAGCTCAAACCCAGATACGATGTCCTTCCTGCTTCGGTTATATCATCAACACAAATCAAGAAGCGTATTACATATGTTGCCAATCACTTACTAGCCCAGGGCGACCGTCCACTAGTAGCTTTGCTATATGCACGCACAGATGATGTTTGCAAACTCATCACAGTGGTGGAAAAATGCAAACGTGTTTTGAGCGAGGAGGGAAAACCGTACTATCAGTACAACCAGCTTTTCGACCAACCAGAAAAGCCGAGGCGGAAGGACATTGTTGAGGAGACAATACTTGAGGACGGCGCAATGAACAATGGCGACGATTCTGACAGCGACGAATTTGAAGTCATGCACAGCCGATTCGAAGACGCCGTGTTGCCTCGCCCTTCTCCTCGGACCATTAAGTCAATGAGGGTTTTCCTCTCGATCACGCCCATACCGGAACTGAAGTTGAAGAACAGTGTCACAGTTCAATCAGGGTCAACAAACTAAATTTGGTTAAACCCACGAGTATGCTTTGAGTTCCATACTCGATACTCGCGGATGGATGATTCGGCGTTTTGGAGCAGCAATTATCATGGTTATGGAAAACTCATCTAGCACATCATTCAAGATACCCGGCGCAAGGAATAAAACCATCCTGCTTTCGCTTATGCCTATTTAAACCAAAAATACTGCATGGAGAAAATATACAGAAAAAGAAAACCCGGCTCGAACGCCAACGGCCCAATACACCTTTGTATTCATCCACCCACTTGTTTTGATCTCGTCGCTTCGTTCACCCCATTCGCACGCTGCTTCGTGTAACACCCAGTTGCTGCATCTGTAACCTTTGTTGTTGCCAAGCTAGTTGACTAGTTAGAGTGGTTCTTGGACTTGTCGGTAATTCGGAGGACGAAGTTGACAATGACGGCCAAGAGAAGGATGATGGCCAGAACAGTAGGGCCGAAACGGTCGTCGAAACCGGCCTGTCCCTTCATTCGTATAGACTTGGCTCGCCAGTGGTAGGTTATGAGTGCGTAGACCATGGTACACATAGCGACGCCGGTGAAGAGAAACGCCGAGATAAAGGCGACTCTGTCACCGAAGTTGAGCATACCAATGGCAAGGGCGCCCAGGATGACGGTGAAGTTGAGCCATGACAGGAAAGTTCGTTCGTTGGCGAAGAAGACCTTGGGCTCAACACGAGTTGGCAGGGCGATGCGCTTACCTAGATTTTACGTTAGAATACACAGTTTGTTGACAAATTAACGGCATAGATTGATGGTGTCTTGTGGTGACGTACCCGGGGTGGTCTGGAGAAGTGGTTGAGAAGACATTATGAAGTCGGTTGTTGTTGGTAGTATTTGATAGCTGGAGTAGCAAGTGATTGAAGAAACAAATGAGATTCTGCCGATTGTACGGTTATACTGCTACTAGAAGTTGAATTAACCGATCAATCGATAATGAGAAACTGACGCAATTGGCGAATGAGCGTTTCACTTGGCAAGAAAATATTGGAAGAAAAAGGTTGAAGTGAAGTCGTCTATTATGTAGGTACGATAATAGCGACGGGAGGAGCAGATGCGACAGCCCCACTTCTCGGTCTGTTTCTGCAAGCTTGATCCTGCTTGAGAAGGCACGTGGTTCATTGGTTGGATAAAACGGCAGCACGCATCTTCCCTGTCCAGGTTGCGAGAACAGCTGCAGGTACAGGTCTACTAATATTCCTTCTCACGACCCAATATAATAGAAATTTGAATGTCGATTATCTTCGTGTTTTTCATATTTTCTGAATATAAATCTCGCACTAGAACTTATGGCAAGCAGCAATTAGACTGTGATCTTGATCCATGACACTAGAAGTGCTGTTGAGACATCAGTGCGCGTCTCCATGACGTCCAATTGGAAGATGGAGGAGCCATGCCATTGATACCTGACCTGAAACTACCAGCGTATCTAATTGTTCAAAGAAGTTGAGAAGAGATAGGTGCTTCATGCAGCTTCATCTTCATCATGGCAAAAGCTTCAAAACAGCTCCAAAGACGACTTGAATTTCAACGAATCGGATCCGACCAATGGAAGCTCGTTGTCTGTCGGATCACGTGCGTAGCTCTATCGCAATTCACCTACGCCGAAAGAGGAAGGACTTCCTGGGTTGGTAGATCAAAACAAAGACCAGCAAGACAATATTATTTGTTTATCATGTGAGACTATATGCATTTAAGTGCGTTGCCAGACGCATGATGTTGAAGAAATTAGAGTTGATGCCGAAGAAATACAACATGGGTTGTGCAAGAAGATTTTGCCTATCAATCAAAGGCAAAGCAAGCATGTAGATAACAAAGTGACCGCTGGGCTGTGACGCTTGTTTGTTTGCTGACCGACCATTTTCTTCTACTTGTATCCGTACCTGGACTATCCATCTGATCCTCCACCACGCCATCCACCAACCCCGGTTTCTAAACTCTGATCACTCAACTACATACTCACGTCTACTTTCAAAATGGCAACTCCTGTACGTGCAGCAACCGTTGAACCGCCATATGAAAGCTAATCTTTTCCCAGCCTATTCCCGCCAACCGTCTCAAGCAGATCGCCACCGATGTATGCTACTCCCCAGGTCGTTGCTTACCGCCGACGTCAAAAACGACCGTATTTTCCAACGCGCCCGTACTGATATCAACGACTGTAGGCTTGTAACAGCGCCATCGGCAGTGCTGATTTTTACGACCATGCTAAGACCGAGCAATGGAACTCAACAATCATTGTAGGCTGAAAAGAAACCGCTGCGACAAGCTCTTATCTCGGATACTAACCGTGCATGTAGAGCTCCGTACTGAAGGCTGTCATCTCCGAGTCGACCCCTGAAGGTGCCTCTGCTCCTTCGTTCAAGTTCGCCTGCAACAGCACCATCGTGCAGCACCTTGTCCCTACTTCCGCCCTGAACAAGCCCCGTGGCGGCACCGAGACCCAAGCTCAGGAGCCTCACATCTCCACCAGCTCCGAAGCTACTGCCACCGACGGCAAGCCTCACGTTGGCCGACGAGGAATGCACAGCGCTACCGGTGCCTACTGGGACGAGAAGAAGGACGGCATGTGGACCTTCAAGTACGACGGCGGCGAGGGCAAGGGTCTTGACGTTGTCGTCATGCTCATCTGGGTTGCCATTTGAGCTGCAAGCAACAAGATAAGCAGCCAGGGGCGTTCTCCCTGCTCTGGACCGACTTTGCTTACTGCCGACGTGCGTGACACCCTGTTTCAGCTATGGCGTTGAGGAACTTGGGAAGCGTGACATTAGGACTACGAAGGGTACGATCGAGCTTCCGGTTAAGCTATCTGCCGACGACTTTGGTGTTCTTGCAGACCTCGTATGTACAAAATGCACTGGAATTGATAATATTCAAATGATAGGCGGCTGAGGCTAGCCACAATTATTCTGTTCATGGTATCGTTCAGCTTTCATTCCAATGTCTAGGCCGAAGTAACATATGGATCCTTGGAAAGACTTGGAGCTTATGTTAGAACCCTTTGAGTTTATCCTCTCCACGGGCTTTGTGAAGCAAAACGAATGAACGACGAGATGCTTTCCATTAACCTGTGGTGAGGCTGTTAGAGACGTATAATATGTGTCAAAAGAACCTTTGCCTACTTTACATACGGAGCACTGGGTCTCTGCATTGTTGAGTAAGCGAAAGTGAATGCTATTAGTCACATGCGTCCCTGTTTGTAGTTCAGCTGTACACCTGAAGTGGTAAGCGTGAGTTGACCAGATGTAAGTCGTTCGTATGTATCTCTATCGATCGACCAGATAAACTGTGACTGCCGGTGTACCTTACCTGGGCCATCGTGGATACCATATTAGTTGCACTGAATGTTCGGTTACAGCCGATTCTCGGGAAGCATGTGTTTCGCAAAGCGCCTCTATAAGATGAATAACAGCTATCCGTACCTACTGTTGACTTGATAGCAAGACAACGAATCATGCCAAAGCATGTCGAAACACCTATGCAGGCATCATCTGTCATGATCTGATGTCAGAGTTGGGGTCATAGTCGATTGATATTAGCCACTATTGCAGCGTGGCCTCCATTACTATCTACATCATCTAAAGGTTGGACAGAGAACAGGATCTGATAGTTGGCAAATGCTGCCGTTGATCGTTCTATATGCAGGTATCAGGAACCGATAAATCGCATGATACTCTTGACGCGTTTCGAAGTAGATAGCTAAAGCCAAATCATACGCGTTCCATTAGAAACAAGATGCAGATAATGTTATATACTAAGCTACTGGAGAGTAACAGTGTAGACATGCCACTCTTTCAACGTTGAAAAGCATTTTCGATTGTGCAATTCAAGAATTAGGTATGATGGTGGGTTGGGGAAGTACAACACAACTTTCTGGGTTCATCTTGTCCTTCTCAAGTACCTAGGTGCAAGTCCTGGTATCATCAAGCAGGTACTTTGTCTGTCATTCTACGAGGGGCACTTGCCTTAGTACCTAACTACTATGTATGTGCCTGCCTCGAGCAGGAATCAGAAGATCTTGCACACGTGATAGCTCTTATCATGATATGAAGAATTAAACGCGGGTTCCTCAGCAATATCATGACGCCGGCGAGTACCCGTCAGATCATACCCGTCTGGTGTGTGGCATTCGATTTTATCCGTGCAGCCGCAACACCACTGAGACTATCAACGATCCACGCATGCATACCAACTGCACTGAGGCAACCTACTTACAGTACATTGCCAACGGGTTCAATGAATCGCCGATAAATTGATCAAGCTTTCTGGAATGCTTCTACCACATTCATGTCCATAAGAAGCATCACAGACACCTTCTCTCTTTAGATTCTGTTCGACGCGGCAATGAGAATGTTGCAACTGACACTTTAGGTTGAAAGCAAATGTCATATCGACAACTGCTTGTCTCCCTCAGTACACCACCTGGCTGCAAGTACACGTGGGTGGGGGGTTCTGTTACATCAGAACCGGATTACAACCTCAGCAACGCACGATCACGACTTGTATCATTTAACCAATTGCGCCGCATTGGACGACAGACGAAGAGAAACCGCTCTTCTGTATTTATGGACGAAAATGAACATGCAACCACCATCAATCCACTGCCATGAGGTCGGAGGACCCGAAGACTGTACCAACTAGCGGCAGTGTTTTAATCAAAGGTACTACAGAAGGTTGGTTAGTTGGTTGAACCACATATTTACTCATTGAAATTATTCTATTCTTTACTGTACTCTTGATTCGAGCCGAGACTCCAGATCTTGAGGACGCTTGCTGTCATACAGAACAGTCTCGACACGCTGGTCCAGACATTGAACGACCCTGAATGACGATCGGTTCCGCTCCGCAATCAGCGGCGGGTCTCTTTATGCGCTTGAATTGAGGGGACTGACGGGGTTTCTGTTAGTTAGTACCCATAATGACGTCGAGACTGGGGTCAACAACGCTTTCTTGAACGGCTTCGACATGGACGTTCCGAAGGGA